TAGAGGAAGTCAGAAACATAAAACAAAAAGAGCAGTTCTCATTTTAACCCAACAACATTATTTGGATCGTTTATTTAGATTGATCTATACTCGGAGGTTCGAGTATAATTAACTCTAGTTTAAACCAAGCTACGCTTGCTCGTACACATGCGCACACGTGTAAGCTAAAGTAGTGAGCCAAAGTAGGCCCACTACACCTCCCCTTCTCATTACCGGGCGTGGCTGTGGCCTCGGCACATGTGCATGCAGCTTAGCCTGCCGCAGGCTAAACTCCTCCTGCATTGCAAGAGTAATTGCAGCTTCGAGATTACTCGGGTACTCATGGAAGAGATAGGTCTTCACAGGCCCATCTCTCAGCCCCTTCATGAACGTGACGACCTTGGTCGCCTCGTTGATCGGATTGGTCACGATGTTCGAGACCAAGTACCGTGCTCTCTGAGCGTAAGCATGGACATCATGCTTGCCTTGCTGCAGGTCGAGAAACTCCGCCCTCGACCGGAACTCGTTTTGCGGGGGCTAAAACGCTTGTCTGAGCTCTTCCTTGAAACCCTCGTACGTGCTAAAGCACGTAGGATCCGAGAGTCAGGCGTCCATACGCCCAACTTCTAGCACGTCCGCCAAGAGATGACATGGCGACCGCAACCTTCGACAACGGGTCGACGATACGTCGAGCCGCGATGGCAGTGTCGAGTTCGACAAGCCAGCGGAGGAGAGGGTCACCCTCTCTTCCGACATAGTTGCTCACATTGAGCTTTAGCGATTGCGCGCGTGGTGTCGTCCCGGACGGCACCGCGCTAGTAGCAGCAACACCGTGTTGCTCCTTCAGGATGAAACCCAGAGCAACACCGTGTTGCTCTGTCGGCGTTACCGTACGCGGCATCGTAGCTACAGCCGCCTCACCAATGACTGTTGACAATCGTTGGAGGGGCTCCCACTCTGGATCCGACAGGTGGGGACAGTCAGCGCATGCAACGTGAGTTGCAGGCGTAGTGGAGCTTTCCATGGGCACCTCTGTATCCATGGGAAGGTTCTCAGCTCCGCGTTCGTGCGGTGGCGTACGAACTCAGGTAGTCGATCGTTGGACGGACTACAAAGTGCTACCAGGTGTAGTGGGCCTACTTTGGCTCACTACTTTAGCTTACACGTGTGCGCATGTGTACGAGCAAGCGTAGCTTGGTTTAAACTAGAGTTAATTATACTCGAACCTCCGAGTATAGATCAATCTAAATAAACGATCCAAATAATGTTGTTGGGTTAAAATGAGAACTGCTCTTTTTGTTTTATGTTTCTGACTTCCTCTAAATGTAATATTCTAAGATAGGAATCTGCCAACGGCTGGTTGGCAGAATTCCAATGCTATGCATGTCGCTCATCGGCTAAAAGATGCTGCTCTCAGCCAATAGGAATCCTAAGTCTCTATGGACCACCCGTCGTGGTGGTCGTAAATGTATGTAGCCTTTGGTGTGTCTACACCAAGGTCGAGAAAGTCTTTCGAACCTTGTGCGTGTAACCCTGTTACAGAAGTAGAATGACATTGAGTGTCGGGTACAGACTGAAACCTGTCGGAAACGTACAGGCGAGTCATACTTCGAAGTAATTCGTCAGCGTGGATTAATTTCACTGAAATCTGGGCGTAATCCATACGTTAGGCGAAAGCTAGCACTCTTTCTCGTCAGCCCTATGGATATACTCGCGGCCCCCTAGGACTGGGAGGTAGGACAAATTGGCTTTGTTTGCCACACCAAATACCAATTTTGTCCTATTAATAACTCCTAGGATACGTTTGACCCCGCGTCAAACAAAATGATGCTTACGAACCATTTGGAGTTTTCGAGATAATCGCGTTTAAAGTTGACCCATCATTTTTCGTACGTAACCGAACATCACACATTAAAAAGTGAAAATCACTCATATAAAGCGGAAAACACTCCAAGTCACTTGCTTTTAGCACGAGCTTTCCGATAATGTACGGCACAAAAAAATCGGAGAAAAATTGAGGTCACACGCCCCCTATAAAATCCGGGATTTCGGGGGTTCGAAAAAGGAGATATTTTCAGACCAGTGTCACTCCTCGAGTTCACAACATTTTCAAGTGCTCAATAGCTTCAAAGAAGCCCAAGACACAGTTCTTTCGATTTATGCGGTTAAATCGCTATTCGTACTTAGGTTCGTAAGCATTATTTCGTTTGACGCGGTCACGCCAAATTTTGATGGGGATTTTAAATTATCCTTGAAATTTATTTCGACAATTTTTTGTCTGCCAACCACTGTCAGTTAGCCCCAAAATCGGGTTCGTAGAGACCCAAACGGTTAGCCCACGGCATAATTGCTTGGCGGTAGCCGTGATCACGAAGAGGTTTGCTGAAGTGCACCGCTAAGTACGGTTCCGTTTCGTACCTGAATCGTTGGCACTGTTCACCCTGAACCGTCCTGGAACGCTTCCTATTGGCTAATCTTTGGGATGGTTAACTTGGTTGGTTCGACGGTGCAGCAAGCGGTGATCCCACAAGCAGACACGAGAGGACAACAACAAGAGTAGAGTTGAGAAGGACAAGTAGGACAACTTTGGTAACTTTAATCAACTCACTTCGGCATTTGGCACCAGCATCACAGGCGTTCCTCAATAGGTTAACAGCCGCAAGGACGCTCGCCACAAGAACGCTCCGCCCAAGACATGACGACCAAGCGCGCCGAAGTCCTCCTGGGCAGTGGGAACTACTTCCACTGGGAGTACAACATGCGCATGGCGATGGCCCGGAAGGGGCTGGTTGCACATGTGGAGGTCGTCAAGGCGGAGAACGAGATCATGGAAGCGTGGCTCGTGAAAGACGCGAAGGCGTTGGGCATCATCGCGCAGGGTGTGGAGATCCAGCACCAGACGAAGATCCGTTCCGCGACGCGTGCCATGCAGGCGTGAAACACTCTGAGGGAGTACTACAACCGTGCCACGCTACACAACCGTGTCGCCATGACCAGGCGTCTGCACGAGCTCATGATGGACGCTGGAACGTCGATGGTCAAGCATCGGGACGCGTTCGACGAGCTGATCGTTGGGGTGCAGACGATGGGAGAACCGGTCGACGAAGCACGGCAGCTAGTGGTGCTGCTGAGTAGCCTACCGTCTGAGTACGAACTGATCGCGTCCATCCTGGAGAGCCCCAAGGATGTCACGTTGAAAGACGTAAAGGAGAAGCTGTTGAGGGAGTTTAAACGGCTCGAGAAGGATTCCGCTACGGAGAAAGCGTTCCGCACCAACTGGAACGCTGGACGGTTCAAGGGTGGGAACGGTCGCAAGGGGAACGGTCTGAAGAAGAACGGTGCCTTCAAGGGCAAATGCTTTCAGTGAGACCAGGTGGGCCACATGAAGCGGGACTGCCCGGGCAAGATCGGTAGCGCTGGGAACGACACCGTGTTCGCCGTGGGTGAGGAACGACTTGCCGGGTGGCTGATCGATAGCGGGGCGTCATCCCACATGACCCCGCATCGTGATGACCTTATTGAAATGGAGACATGCAGGTGACCATCGCCGACGGAAAGCAGCTGGAGGTCGTCGGGCGAGGAACGGTCAAGCTGACCGGGATGGACGGGAAACGCATCACAATGAAGGACGTGCTGTACATTCCGGGACTCGACAGACGGTTGCTGTCGGTGGGAAGCTTGCGGAACGCGGTCTGAGCGTTGAGTTCCAGCGTTCCTCGTGTGTCATCTGGAGGAACGCCAGCGCGGTCGCGATGGGCAAGAAGATTGGCAAGGCGTATGTGATCGACTGCGAGCAGGAGTCGGCATGGTTCGTGGAATGTGCCGGGGCTGACTGTCAGTGAGAGCTTTGGCACGCTCGCATGGGGCACCCAGGCGAGAACGGTATGGCCAAGACTCAGCGTGCTACGAACGGTTTGCCAACCGTGGGGCGTTGCGTCAAGACTTTGTGCGGAGGATGCATGAAGGGGAAGCAGACTGTGGCATCGTTCCCGGCGCGGTCGACGACAAAGACATCGCGTGTGTTGGAGCTAGTCCACACGGATGTGATGGGACCGATGAGAACGGTCTCCAAGGGTGGGGCGAAGTACGTGCTGACGTTCGTGGACGACTACTCGAGGTATGTCGTGGCGCACTTCATGAAGAAGAAGAGCGAAGTGGCCGACAAGCTGAAGGAGTTCAAGGCGTTCTACGAGAACCAATAGGGAGAACGCTTGAAGTGCCTGCGCTCGGACAATGGAACGGAGTTCGTGAACAAGACGGTCACGGATCTCTGTCGCCGGAACGGTATCATGCATCAGCGAACGGTGCCCTACAGCCCGCAGCAGAACGGAGTTGCGGACGATCATGGAGAAGGCACGCAGCATGTTACACTACAAGAGCGTGTAGACGGAATGGTGGGCGGAGGCAGTGAGCACCCTGACCAACCGTTCCACAGGAATGGCGTTACAGTAACCATATGACGACAACACGACAGAAATTAAAGCAACCACAAGGCCTAAAGCAACCCTAAAACAGCTGGCACCCGGTAATTAATTTTAAATGACGCGTAAATGACAGGGACACGTCGCCTTCGTCATGAGTGTTGCCAAGATATCTCTAAATTTAGAGATATCGTGGTGACGCCCAACCGATGTATTTTACACTTAACTACGTGCGATACACACGGTTATGTGTCACACGTTTCCAAGACTTGGCGATTTTTGAAGAGACCCTGTATTACTGCAATGATTGACAGGAACATTCTGTCACCAGCACTAACACGCACAAATGGCGTGAAAATAGCTAGGGAGAGAATCTGGCTAAACCATTGAATGTAGGGTGTTGTCAACTTCCTCAAACGTTACCAAGAGCAGCTATGAAACTGCCATAGAGGTCAGTAAAGACACGATGGGCTATTAGAACATGGCGGAAACAGCTTAACGGAAACCAAGCACGGCTATATATTCGATTTGACGTCCTACTTAAGCTGCACGAGTAGTTGCTGATGAATGTTCTTCGCCTTATCCGCTGGGGCACGCGATTTACGGCCTTGGCGCGATTTGCACATGGTTGTGTGTTAAAAAGCTGTATGCGTGTGCCACCACCACGACTCCACAGCTGAAGTAGTCATGTTGCTGTGGACCATCGATCCACTTAAAAGGTTTCATCAATAGGCGGGTGCGAGGGACCGAAGCTTGGTGCCACCTCTGTACGAATCCACGGAGACCTTCTTCCACTAACTCATTATTGGCATCTGTAATATCATTCCACTTTGCCTCCATGTCCTCGTGGTAAGCGACGTCAATCATAGGTTCATACATATATCCACGCACGCTCAACTTGTCCGTAGCCTTGACGTAGTGAACCTGGGCAATTATAACGCCCCAATGGTTTCCGTGCAAGTGGACTGGTAGTAGGATGATCTTGATAGGGCAAATTGGTGTTGTTGGCGCCCTTGGAAATCCGACGGCTGTTGTCAATGACGAAAGCGCGTAGTACGGCCCCACAACTCCACTCAGCATTTCCATGCAGAAATCTATTGGGGCATCATTCAGCCAACCTTCACAGACTTCACCCACGAGATTATCGAAACTTACCCAACCCTTACCAGACGTCGTGACGAATTCGGAGGCTAGTGAACTCGATGAAAACTTAGAGATAACCTCGTTCGCGAGTATCTGGTGCCGCGCGCACACGTCACCCACGGATAATTCAGCCGTTCCTGTTTCGGGTCCAAAAAGATCCACATCCACCTTAACATTTCTCCAATCTTGCTCTAGCCACTTGATGTCGTAAATCCATAATCGTGCCTTGTTCTTCATCGAATGGAACGCTCTTAATGCACCCACATACGCGCTTAAACCAATGGAGTGTTAGAGCAACCATACTAAAGCAACCTTACCCGCTGAACTTCAATGTTGTGGTATTGACGGAAGCGACAAGATCAAAAACAATACCTTGGTTCTTAACTCTGGCATCCAGAGGATCGGGCTGCTTTTGCACAATCCTTGTGGTCTTGATTGCATCTTCGAGCGCGTGTGTGAGGTTAACCGGAAGAACGAAGGCGTGCATATAGGTAACTGGACGCATCGCTTCCCATTAGCATTCTATGGTAAGCGCCGTGATGTCCTGTTCCTTGAGCTGCATAGGATACTTTTCCATTAGTGCGGCCACATCCTTGACGCTGGAAGTATGACGTGCCCACTGGTCAAAGTCGTCAAGTCTCACGTCTTCTTTCTTTAATCGGCTCTGCAAAATCTCTTTCAGCTTTGTTGGTGGGCTCTGTGTCACATGTGAATCAGCCGGATCTCCAGCAACGGGTCCCTCCATTTTCTCACCCAAGGATTCTCCATCACTGCCAATGGTGGCTGGCTGCATACGTCGAATCGGAGCGCGTTTTTCTCCGTATGATTTCCATTTTCAAAGTAGTTTCCAGGGAACTTAGTTCTTGGTAGTAATTTGCGCTCGGTAGGTTGGATAACCCCTGAAGCAGAGGCTCTAACCGCGTCTTCGCATGCGAGTACTTCTCGTCAGAAGATAGCTCATCCGGCACCGGGGAATCGGGCGAAGGAGGCACCTTTGGACTACAATCTGGATCCAGCATGGCATCATCCTGACGATATAGCAACCTTATCTCTGTCGCACGCAGAGTTAGCTTTGGCTTGTCATGCAAAGGCTTCGTAGGCGTAGTTGCGAGCGCAGCGATTGTAGCATGCGAGTGTGTATGATTCTGTAAGTGGCACAAGCATGTTAGAACGAAATCATTCATTGTCAATGTGAGTTCATCTTACCTGCTTCCTCACCACGATCCCATACTGGTTAGCCGCAATGGGCACAACAATAGCCGTCAGCCGGGCGTTGCATTTGCAGAATGCTGACTTCCGACTGCGATGTCCTTTTGATCTAGACGGCTGAGTGACTCCGAGGGAACAACGGTAGATCTTGTGGGTAAACTCGAACTGCGTAGACATTTGGTCCATGTGTGTACTACAGAATAGCAGGCGTTTGCTCCAGAGACATGCGTCGCTCGCTGGACAGACTTCGAGAAAAGCTTCACGGAATACAAGCGAATGCATAACTTGAGATTTCGAGTGCGATCGTCTGAAACTACACAGCAATACAACCAGTACGGCAAAGTACCTTTAGGTTCCACTTACTTTTATTGACGACATATGTGTGTGTTGGAGCGACATTCTCGATCAGCTCTTCTTCATTAACCTTTGGCGTATCCGGATACTGGCTACGCCGTTTACGCGGCATATATTCGCCCGAACTTGGACGCTTAGAGAGTCTGCTGCCGCTACCAAGGTCACACGGGAGTGGTTGGCCGTGCCCAGAGCTTTTCGTGCCTTGACGAGAAGATGGAGAGGGAGATGGAGAGGTATGTTCCACCACATGAGGAGAATGACGCTTCAGCGTCTCGTTCATCCGACGCTTAGCAGGCACTATCGTCAAAAATAAAGCAACCATACATGGTATTAAAGCGACCTTAAATGATAAAGCAACCATAATGAACCTAGTTTAACAATACTGTACCTTGTTTTGGTTTTGGTGCTTCCTGCTGTCTTCTGTTCTTGGAATTCTTGCGCTGCTTGTGCACTGCAAACACATATCAATCGTCCGTTGTCAGGGTCACGAGCAACACTCCGAATGACCTTACAGGATTCACATTTTCGCCGATGAATTGGAGCATCATGACGAATCGCCATGGTCGACTTCATTTTGTCGAGCACAGAACCTACACAGATAAGCAAAGGTTCAGAAGTGTCAATGATGCATATTAAAGCAACCACATAATGCGAATATGCCTTTCGCCGATACCTGGGGTTATCTTTCGTCCTAGTTCACATGTGTGGTTCTGCTTCTTCCCCTTGCGCGACTTTCCCGCTAAAACACGCGCATCGCACAATATCCAGCATTAAGTACTTTAAGTGTCGGCGAATGTACACTTCATGGCCTCACCAGCTTTTGATCGAGAGCCAGATTCATCGAAGGAGAGCGCCGTTTCTTCATCATCATCCTCTTCGCCGTCCCCGACCACGAAGTCTTCGTCTTTTTCGTCGTCCTTTTCCATTCCGAGGGCAGAATACACGTAGTTGATGCCGTCGTTTAGCTCCCGCATAGACCTCCCTTTAATGTACATACACACGCATTATAAGACACTCCAAACCTCCTGCCGTTAGCTCGTGAGTAAAAATTGCTGCGTACCGTGCATAGTGGCCCTCCGGGCAGGGGCCATTAGTTCCTCTTCGCCGCGTGCTGCCTCAGTTCCGTTCCTGATGCGCGAGAATCCGTGACCCATGCGGCCTCCGTCCAATTGCGCTCTTTTGGAAATGAGCGGCTCAAGGCGACCGAACTTAGTTATATCGTACTTAAATGAAAACGAACTTAAAACTACGAACTTAAATGATTTACGCACCTAAGGACGACCTTGAAATTTTGACATTTAAATTACGCTCGTAATTTTTGAAATCCCTAAAAGGAACCATACATGTCTCAGAATGGCTAAAAGCAACCATACTTATGGTTGCTCTAACCACTCCCGTTCCACGAACACGGAACGCTCGGATGTGACGCCGTACGTGGTCAGCTTCAACGTGAAGCCACGGATGGATCACCTGCGCGTGTTCGGCTCACCGGGGTACGCTTACATTGACGATGCGAAGAGGACGAAGCTCGAGCCCAAGAGCTTTAGGTGCATGTTCCTCGGGTATGCGGAGAACGCTAAGGGGTACCGTGTATACGACATGGATGCGTCCAAGGTCAAGGTGTCACGGTCGGTCAAGCTGGACGAGCGCGAGGTGGGCGGAATCTATGATACGCACTCGCCGCAGCATGGAGCAGTCATCCATGTGACCAAGGACGGATATGTGCCAACCGTTCCTATCGAGGTGGAACGCCAACCGGTCGAGGACGAACCCATGGAAGCTGTTGAGGAACCCGTTCCAGGCGTCGAGATGGATGAGGCTGAGCCAGAGCAGGAGGTACTGCGGCTGCCGGCACCGGAACGCCCAACTGTCATTGAATTGGAGTTGACTGCGTACCGACCTCCACCTCAAGCGTTCCAGGACAACCACCTGGTGTTCCACCCCGAGCCGGAACGGACAAGAAGATCCCGCGAAACGGTGTTTCTCTTGGGGAACGGTGACGATGAAGATGGCGAGGAACGCAAGTCGGAAGGGAGTGATGGGCCGCCGTCCCCGAAGCGACCCAGGATCGACGAGGATGGTCTCATTGCGGAGGCTGTACAGGCGTACGTGGCCAGGATCGACGATGGAACGGATGTTCCGGCAACGTATGCGCAGGCCATTGTTAGCGAAGACGCAGATGCCTGGCGGGATGCAATGGACACGGAATTTCTCTCGCACGAACGGAACGGAGCGTGGACGCTGGTACGACGTGGAACGTAAACGCGTATGATTGGTAGTCGGTGGGTGTTTGCCAAGAAGCGTGACGAGGACGGTCGCGTGATCCGGTACAAGGCACGGTTGGTTGCGAAGGGTTTAAAGCAGAAGTACGTTGTCTACTTTTTTGAGACGTACTCCCCGGTCGCGAACATGAATTCGATCCGGGTCGTGCTGGCAGTGTGCGTGGCAGACGCATACGTGATGGAGCAGTTGGACGCGGACACAGCGTTCCTGAACAGTAAGCTGACAGACCGTGTGTACATTTGGTATTGAGAACGCTGCGAACTACGTGTGCCAGCTGATCAAGGCTATCTAAGGCCTGAAGCAGGCGGCCAGTGCGTGGAACAAGACCATCCACGGTGTGTTCTTGTGGAACGGTTTCAAGAGCTGCGGGGCGGATCAGTGTGCCTACGTCAAGCGTTACAGGAATGGTTTCATCTACGTGTGCATCTACGTCGACGACATGATCATCGCTGCGAAAACGAGCGGTGAGGTACGTGAAGTGAAGAACGCGCTGAAGAACGCGTTCAAGATGAAGGAGCTCGGTACGGCGAAGTTCATCTTGGGTATGGAGATGATCACGACAAGAACGCTGGAACGCTCATGATCAAGCAGACGAGGTAAATCGACGACAGTTCGGCCAGCAGAACGCAAAGCCTGTGGACAACCCATGCACGTCGGGTCTGAAGCTGACCAAGATCCAGTCACCCGGAACGGTTGAGAAGCGTGCTGAAATGAAGTCACGACCGTACCGTTCTCTGATCGGATGTCTGCTGTACATCACGACATGCACCAGACCGGACATCGCGTACGTGGTGACCCAGTTGTCGCGATTTCTGGAGAACCCCGGTCTGCAGCATTGGCGAGCTGCCATTCGCGTACTACGCTACTTGAAGACGACCCGGGAGTACGGTATCGTGTATCAAGGTGACGACAACATTATCACGGTTGAAGCTTTCACGGACGCCGATTGGGGAAGCAACATTGACGACAGGCGTTCCGTGTCGGAAGTCATGGTGATGATCGGGAACGCTCCCGTTGTGTTCAAGTCTAAGTTCCAGAGAACGGTTGCGCTCCGCTCTGCGGAAGCTAAGTACATGGCACTGAGCCTGTGTGTGCAGGAGGTACTCTGGACGCGTGCGATGCTGAAGGACATGGGCAAGGAACAAGAGGACGCGACGCAATTGTGGGAAGACAACCAAGGAGCGATCGCGCTGGCCCAGAACGCTGGGTACCACGCCAGGACGAAGCACGTGGACATTCGACACCACTTTATCCGCGAGAACGTGGAACGCGGAACGGTCAAGGTGGACTACGTCGAGACGAAGCAACAACTGGCGGATATGCTGACGAAGGCGCTCGGGTCGAAGACGCTCAAGCACTTGCGGAACGCCAGTGGGATCGAGGAGAAGGTCACCGTACCGTAGCGGTGAGTGGGAGTGTTGAAGTGCACCGCTAAGTACGGTTCCGTTTCGTACCTGAACCGTTGGCACGGTTCACCCTGAACCGTCCTGGAACGCTTCCTATTGGCTAATCTTTGGGATGGTCAACTTGGTTGGTCGACGGTGCAGCAAGCGGTGATTGCACAAGCAGACACGAGAGGACAACAACAAGGACAAGAGGGGAGTAGAGTTGAGAAGGACAAGTAGGACAACTTTGGTAACTTTAATCAACTCACTTCGGCATTTGGCACCAGCATCACAGGCGTTCCTCAATAAGGTTTGTCGACATCTCCCAACTTCTTTTTATTTTTCATTTTCGGGGTCGTTTTGACCAAATGAGCAATCAAAACAACCAGGCCAAAAAATATGTTAAACGTCTGACTAGTAGGTAATACCTTAGTCAAGCGCCATGCCTAGAAAAAAGTGCCTTTCTCTGGTCTCTTCCAAGGTGGCGAGGCCGGTCGTGGCATTTTTCCTAGGTCACAAGTAAGATTTATGTGGAATTACTTGGACGTCAATGAAGTGTACTCACAAGTAAGTTGCACCCGCCGAAAAGTTCTTCTTTTCTACGCGAATAATGATATCCTTATACGAATACATGTACTCTGGCAATACCGTAATGCGTATACGCGGACTATGAATTCGACAACCGATACCAATTCCACTAAGTTTATACGCGAATGATAGAGCGCAAACATACAACCGCGTTTGCAAACAGCACTTACAGTGAGTTAGTGTATTGTGAAATTCACGAACATGTTTGCGAAGTACACTAGGCACTTGCCATACTTACCGATATCTGTTGCTCTCGCGGTGGGCTCTGCATGAGTCTCGCTTACCGTGTGTGTACACTGACGGCTACAGCTGTATCATATTGCTCGATTCCTCTATAGGCATGGCGCTTGCCTAAGGTATTACCTATTAGTCGAGCGTGTATATACGTACTTTTTCGGCATGTTTTTTTTTATTGAGCATTTGGTCAGACAACCCTGAAAAGGAGTGGTTGTCAGAGTTGGATGCAAGCAACGATAACGAGCTACAACTCAAATAATCATAAGAACTTTTACCAGGGAATTTTCTCCAAAAACCAATCATAAAAAGAAATTTGAGAGATATCGACGAGCCTCTCCGTGGGGTTAACCACCAATCGGGAGTAACTACGAACTCGATTTGGGGCTAATTGACAGTAGTTAGCAAACGACTGGATAAGGCCACCTTGGTCGTCCAACACGGGAGCTGAAGTACTGGTATTTACCGAGTATAGCAACTCCATGATGCAGGGCATCGGTGGGTGATAATGTCGGTCGCTTGGTCTAATACAAAATGAAAAGTGAAAAAACGTGGAGTGGACTCTGAAATCATACGAGACGGTTTCAAACGAAATGATGCTTAGACACCATTTAGAGTTTTCGAGATAATCGCGTTCAAAGTTGACCAATTATTTGAGGAAATAATCGGACACCAAAATTTCGAAAGTGAAAAGCACACGTAAAAAGCGTAAAAACACTCTTATTCGATTGATTTTAGCTTTCCGATAATATACGATACGTTAAAGTTGAAAAAATATTGTGGTCACACGCCCCAAATAAAATCGGGAATTTAGGGGGTCCGAAAATGGAGATAATTTTTCTAGACCGATGTCACTCCACGAGTTCTTAACCTTTTGGAGCGTTCAATAGCTTAATCGAAGCACAAGACACGCCGCTTTCGATTGATGTGGTTAAAACGCGATTCGTACTTATGTTCGTAAGCATCTTTTCGTTTTTGAAACCGTCTCAAGGAGTATTACCTTCTTGATCAAACGACCCAACACGATGGATGCTTGGTGCCTAAGATCATGCTGCTAACGTGTTTTTCAATCATTATATTCTGACCCGTAAATCCAAAATTCGACTCAGACTGCTCTATTGTTCTCTGAAATTTATTTTAGAGTTAAGGGGCGATTGGAATCCTTGGTCTGATTAATCCCGTAGACCAGCTTGATTCATCGACGTCTAGTAGTATAGGAAGGGTTTTATACAAGTTGTAAGTCAAACTGCAGTACAGTACAGTGGAAGAAGACACGTACCCCGTCTAGGATGATACTTTAGGTGAATGTTACCTTGGAGGAAGGTTGTGTGGAACACCCCAAATAGCTACATTCGAGCGACCTCAGCAGAAATATTGCGTAAACCGATCAGAATGTATTGTCCTAGATCGAGGAAGGCCGGTCCACAAATCAGGGCAAAAAACAGAGGCAGTAGCATGGACGACCTCGATTTACTTAGAGCGACCTCGAATTGTGCTTTTGAAATCGCAAAAGGGATCGATCTGCCGTAAAAACCTCGTTCTGCTCAAATCTTCCACGAGATCGACCTCGAGCCCTGATTTGGATTGGCGAAGGTCGAGTTATTAGCCGGACTAAATAGATCGATCTCTCCCTTTCTTTGACCTCGATTTATTAAATCGACCTCGATTTATTAAATCGACCTCGATTTATTATAACTCAAGGAGAGCTCCAAGTCAAAACAACAAAACGTTTGCAAAGCACAATAGCGATAGAAAAATATATTACAGGGGGTGGGTGCATGGTCTTACAATCACTTTTAGCCGAAGATGTCCAACCTCGTGCAGGCAAAACCGAACGTAGAACGCTACCTGCGGTTTAGGATCCGTGTGCGTAGCACGCGGGCGTAAACCCAGGCAAACGCTGGAGTAGAATGCTATCACCGACATTAATTTTGAAAGCTTTTTTTGCATTTTGGAGTAGTTACTTTTTGCGATTCGGTTAGTCACAAGTAGCTAGTCGAGAATGAAAAGGTAATAGGCAACCCGGAGCGATGCTCCGGGAGGGTACACATGTCGACGAATAGTTTCATGGACGATGATAATGGATAATAATTGAGTAAATCCTAAAGTTGTTTTGTTTTTAATCCTTAAAAGCACTACCAGCCCAACTCTCTAGTTGATTCTAACATGGGCATCTACTGCGCCTGGTTCGCAGCTGCAGCATCTGCCCGAGAATGCGTAACTGAACAAATAGTTGCGCACATCGAAGTGTATCGATACGGAAATGATGTTTCAGCCAAACATTTGTGAGGCTGGTAACCAGCAAGCCCCGCTCTTCTTTATCGTGGTGGGTTCTCAGGAACCGAAAGTCGCCAGTTGAGGTTGCCTGATCTGATGGGGCCACCGGTGACATAACACCCTGGTCAGCGTCCAATGGCTGCGTTGGCGCCAGCAACGAGAGAGCTATTTCATTCATTTTGCAGGTAAGGTATAAACTGTGCTCATTTTTGTACTATGTTGTGTGCTAACGATCAGACGAGAGAGCTACAGTAGCGGAACGAAGGAGTGACGCATGGTGCGCTGATCTTGACCTTTTAACTTGAGGATGTTAGTTAAGTGACAATAATGATCCTCAGTTTAAAAACAAAACAAACAAACAAACTTTTAACTTGAGGGCTTGTGTGTGTGTGTGTGGGGGGGGGGGAATTGTGCTGATTGGTTTGGCGACAGAAACGATTAGTATCAACCTTTGGTAAATAATGTGCATAAATCTTAGCATTTATCGACGGGTACCCAATTCCGGCAAATATTAGCTTATACATTACAATTAAGAAAGAGAGACCCGGTTTGGTACCCGGTTTTGGAAAGTTACAAGTTTTTGCCGGGGCCAAGCACAGGTCTTCGACCTGTGAACTAGTCGAAACATTATTGTCGAAGGTGGCTAGTTTAAAATGTGCACCCCTCCACAACTCGAGCCTAAGGCACAAAGATGACGTTCAAGTCGAGGCGACTGGTTGCACGACAACACACATCCCAGTACTGAAGCGTCGGAAGCGCTTCTGACTACCGTAGTGACTCTGAATGGTCACTAGCACAAGATATGAAAGTGGACCCATTGCTGTACATCAAGTAAGCCCCAGTGCACTAAAGTAGATGTACTGAGCGCAATCGTCATTCGCAAGCAAACCAACTCATAGCGACGAGTAAAGTAAGAACCAAGCGCTGCGTTCCGGCAAAATCACATTGTGGGTAAATTGCTCCCTCTGGAGTCGTCTGCGGGTATGTACAGCTACCCGAATCTTCCGCGTGTCTCCATCTAGCACGGCTGGGCAAGAGGTTTAAAGCCCGGGAACTTATCGCCCGCCTTTTGCCCATTGCAAGCATTGTTAAAAGCGCCTTGGCGGGCATCGGGAACGTTGCAGCACTTCTGGTTGCCCCTCTTGTTCGGGTCGATCGAGCCGCCCGACGCGGCGCATGCCTTGATGGTGAAGTCGGCGGTCAAGAAGCCCGTGCTCTCGTATCTGTTGTTGCTTGCTCCAGCACACTGTCGGAGCGCACCGTCACTGATGGTAGAGATCAGTAAAGACGGCATGTGAGCCCAGGTGTCGGTCGAGCAGGGCATGCACTTACGTGGGCATCAGCAGAGCGGCGAGGGCAACAATGACGATCTGAAGCTTCATTTCGGGAGGGGCGTGTGGAGCTCGCGAGTTGAGTTGAGGTGGATGAAGTAGTTTTCGAAATGAGCCCGCGCGAGGACATACAGGCAAACACTGCTATCTAGCCCTGGCTGGAAGGCGACGAAGGGCAAGCGTTCACTCGGCGTCTGGATTCTCACTTCGTGATTTCATCACTGGTACCCACATCGACAAGCTACAACCAACCCCACCGCTACACTACCGCACCTTCACCAATGCTGCGCTGGTTCAGCGGTCGTGAAGACGCTTCCGACGAGGACGGCGACTATGAACCATCAACTCCACCCGGATCGCCACCGACACAAGTTGGAGAGAATCCAGGGAGAACGATCGTCCCGCAACCGTCAGTAGAAGGTCCACCCGCTCAACGACGGCGCTTGCTGCCTTCGATGCAATCGGCCGTACCAAGTCGCGCTTGGGCGATCGGACACGATCTACGAGCGCCGTTCGCCAGCCATTCGTCGCCAACGATCCATGAACATTTTGGTGTCTTGGGCGGCGGGCCAAATCCAACGCCAGAAGCGTCAAACCGAGTGCATTCGGTTCTGCCGGCACCGGTGCCGCCGTTACCAGTGAATCCAGCTACCTTAGCTCCAACAACACGCATGGCGGTGTTTCCGGCATCAACCGATTGCCACAGGCCTTGGCATGGCGAAACGACAGACCCAACAGGGATATCCCCGCCCCAACCGAACAGGGTGCCCCAATATCCCGTTCCAATGCTTCCGACGTCCCAGCCTCTCCTCGCATCTAGTGTCCCTGCCAAAGTTGCATTTGCTGTGAGTAATTACCAACCAAAAGCTGGGTTTGAGCTCGTTGCTCAAGGTCCCACAGAGCGGTCGTTCATGTACAAGTGGGGGGGGGGGGGGTACGTGTTCGACACGTAAGTGACCTGACTGTGTGCGGCTGGATCTGTCTCGCAAGCGAGCACTGCCGTTACAACGAAAGTGTTCATGTGTTGTACGGTGGGAAGACATCGCGCGCAACGAAGCACCTAAAAGAAGTCCACCATGTTACTTCATCCAAGTCTGCGCTGGAGGATTCACGCAAGCGAACCAGGGACGAGATCGTAGCTCGTATCCGAGCGGTTGCCCAAAACCAAGAAAGCTATGAGCGTATCAACCTGCTTCTTCACACACTGCTCGTGATACACAACAACCTTCCGTTTATCATGGGTGAGTGGGAGGAATCGAGGATTTTGCGAGCCATCGTCACCAAAGACAGCTCTCAAGCCGTGGTGAATCGCAGAACAATTACCCACGCTGTGATCGAGCTCTACGTATCAGCTAAGCGCGAATTGATTCGCTTCATTATCGACAACCGCATCCCAGGTGTGAAGTGTTTAGTGATGGTCGCTGACTTTTGGAAGGCAAAGAGCTCGGGCACGAAGTTTCTTGGACTTCGACTGTACTTTGTGACTGCAGACTTCAAGCTCGTCTCCGTCTTGCTAGGAACGCGACACTTTCAACCTCTCTGCGGTGAGCGTGATGGTGGAATTCGCGGACCTTTTAAGCGGTGGATCATTCAAATTCTCGCGGATTTCGGACTTACTGTTGCAGACTTCTTCGGAGCGACTACGGACGGTGGTCCAGACGTTCAGCACATGATGACATCGAACCTGATGCTCTCATGGGAGTGGTGCATGCCTCACCTAACCAACGCGGCAACTAAAGCAGCGTTTGGGATGACGAGCAATGTAGGAAAGTCCAAGAACCTTGAGATGCTTCAGCTGCTGAAGAAGGTGACGCGAACTGTCTACCAAGTCCGCACAGTGGAGGTCATGGGCGACTTGTACGAGCAGCTTGTCCGCTTCCTTGGTGTCGGAAAGGAGAAGAAGCTGATTGACTATAAGCCGCATCGCTTCATGACCCTTACGCACGTCTTTGAGCGCATTGTGAAGCATTGGAACGTACTTTGCCTGTGGTATGAAGAACGTGCACGCAAGGCGGATAGAGACAAATCGGCACATCCGTCTCCGTTTCCTTTGGCAGGAAACAAGTTCCTTATGGAGCACCTACTCTCACTGATGCTGCCGATTTCAGCGCTCAATGTGAAAAGTCAGGCAGAAAAACCGAATCAAGTCGACGTTCTCGTCTCTGCGTACAAGGTTATCGTCACGACACTTGGCCCCGAGGCATCACTACGCAAGTGTGATGCGACGCGAGAGAACCCGACTTCGTATCACCACAGTACCCTCATGTCGCTTGTGGTCAAGACCCGAGAGTTGCTGAGTGACGCTTTCCACTCTCGCTTTTTTTTCGCGCTACACTGACCGCGAAGTGATGCGAACGTGCTCGTACGTGTGGGAGATGCAAATGCTGCTTCATCCGAATCTCAAACAACCCAACGGCGTGTTGATGGATATGGTGAAAACCTGCGGTAAGCTGCGCCGGCTGGATGACGATGTCATTCGGCGCAACCAGTCAGTCGTGAAATCTACTGTGAAGCAGAAGCTGAGGTCTATCATGCGAGATCTAGCGCCACCTTGCACCGAGCAGATCAACGTCTCGCCGCAGCAGATACCAGGATATGTCTCCGATGCCTTCTCGGACGATCTATCGGAGCTCTTCAATATCCGTACCATTGCCGCAGAGCCAGCTACTCCACAGCTACTTCACGAAGAGGTCATGGATGAAGAACTGGAGCGCTGGTTTCGCGATCCGTCACTTCTTCAGGCAACGGCAAAGGCCCAGAGTCGGTGCTGCACTTTTGGAAGCGTCAACAGGAGTCCGGCACCTACAGATTCTTACCAAGCGCGGCTCGGATCGTTTTTGCCGTTCCTGCATCATCCACTCAAATTGAACGCGACTTCGGAATCAGCGGTCAAATGGTTACTGTGCAGCGAGCATCACTGTCCTCAGATAACATTGACATGTGCTCCTTCCTGAATCGGAACAGGGAATTCATTGATGTAACGCAGTGCTCAAAGCTGACAGCGGAGGAAGCCCGAGAATCCGTTCCCGCAAACGTCACGGTGAACCTTGACCCTCAAACGGCGATGGAAATGTTCGAGAGCGACTGGGAGCAGGCCTTGGTCAACTCTTTCTCTGCGCATATTTCGACTGAGCTCTAAGACAACCCAGTTGCCTCAACGCACAGTAACATTGAATATACATCTCTCGTTCGCATTGGTATACTGCTGCATTAAAGAGATGTGAAAGCTATCATTCTAGGCGAACTCTGTTCCTTACTTCTGTCAAAGCATTATCCTACCTCGGGGATGGCTAACGTCGCGGCGCGCCATTTCTGCTTGCTTTCTTACGGCATTCGTTGACTCGTGCTTCAATTCTTCTAGTTAATGTTCGCATCGCGTCGGCACGACCACATTCGAGAGCTGATCGATTTGTTTTGTGTCGCGGATGGGCCTCTTGTTTCGGGGCTACCAGAGCTGGTTTAGCAGCTGTAGCTCGTGATTGCTTCCTAGTGTGCGCACGGCCCCGGCATCTCTCCTCGGACGAGAACGATTCGCATTTCTCAGTGCGGTTATCAGCGGTGAGGACGGCACCATCCGATCGCTCCATTGATGCTTCAGTTGGAGCGGTAGCTAGTGCAATAGCACTAATATCACGCCCGTGTCGCTGTGGCAAGCCGGAGATTTTGACTGGCGCACCGGTTGAAGTTGAACCAACGGCGTTGGCTCCGGTACCAATAGCCACTTGTAGATTGTCGTCGGCGGGATTGTTGGTAACTTCTAAAATGTTGTTTGCCTTAAGCAGCTCCTTTGCCACTGCGCTCGAAATGAACGTGCTCATCCTATTATCTAGCCGCTCTTCCATTGCCTTCATGGATTTATTCGTTTTCGCGGCATCAGTCGATCTCGAAGTACGCAAGGCTGCCATTAAGCGCGCCTCAAGTTGCTTCATGGCATCTGCCTGAGTCACCTGGAGCTGTTGATGGTGATTGTTTTGCGTGTGCAAGATGCGAGCCTCTGACTGTAACACTTCGGCGACAACCTGCTTCGTAGTATCGGTCGAGAGCTGAGCAGTAGAAGCCTAAAGAAGATCGTTCAAATGAAGCTCCAGTCTGGAGCCAATGCCACTTTGTAAATCATGCTGATCGCGAAGCTGAAAGGCGTGCATATTTTCATTGAGTCTTGCCTCTGTCACCCTCAATCGGTCAGAAGTTTGAAGCTCGACTGCTTTCAGGGCAGCATCAAGTGAGAGCTGCATCCGTTTCTCCACTTATGCGACTTCTTCGTCAACTACGTTGTGAAGGTGAGTTTCACACGCTTGAATTTTGTCACCAACAACGTTCACGAGGCCCTCCGTGTCTGCCTTCGCCCGAATTTCTACTGCAGCACAAGACTCAGCCAAAGCCGTCACCGCTTCATCTAGTTTGAGCTGCATACGAGTCTCCAGTTGCGTAATACGATCTATTGTATGTTCACGTTCGGTCGCAATTTCCTCCTCGAGAAGTACCTTAGTGCCATCGATGCTGGCCCTGGTCTGGCAGGACACGGATTCTTCAAGCCAATGACGGGTGGAATCTATAGTCTCGCTGAAATGAGCTTGACAGGCTTGCAGCTGCGCTGCGCCAGAATATTCTTGAGCAGCACGAGCATGGGCGTCGTAGCTTTCTAAGGCCGCTTCAAGCTGCGAGTGTACACGCCCCACTACTTCGTCAGTGTAAGCGATGTGAGAACGAGCCGCATCCGTAGCTGCTGTCATTACCACTGACTGCGTCGCTCTTAGCGCATCTTCAAGCTGGTTTTGTAGTCGTGTCTCCACGTCAGCGAGTGTCCCGCCTGTGGAGCTCATGAAGCGCTCCATGCGCCGCTCCATGTCGGCCGCATGTTGCTGTGCGCGGGTTTCGACATGGGCAAGTGCGCTCTGGGCATCTTCAAGCACTGGGTGACCCGCTACCATGAGCTCCTCCTGCAGCATGACGCGTCGACGCTGTACAAGCTGGTGTTCTGAATGTTAGTAGTCTGCATTCTGCACTTGCGACTGTGGGGTTGAGACTTGATGGTCCGATGCCTCCGACTGCAAGCATAGTTGGTCACTTGGGCTACCCATACCCGTCAAAGCTGCCATTGCATGCAGCATCTTGGGCTCCGTGGGCTGCTCCAGCGACAGGTGTCTCGCGCGCTCTCAAAAGGCCGGTCAAAGCAACCTGTGTTTTGGCGAATAGTGACCGCGAAGTATGAGCATGTTCGTTCGTTTCAAGTGTGCTCGCGACTCAATGTAACTGCACACGCGAGACCATAAAACCTCGAGAACCAGGTTCCTGGGGTTTTATCGGTTCGCTGAAAACAGCGGGAACCAAGGTTCGGTTTAACTTCGTTCCAGCTGAGGCTGTGCGGTCGTAAGCAATGCATGTGCAGTACGAGTGCATACGGCAGGAACGTAAGAATGATAAATACATACCTCCTCCCCCTCCCGCCCTCTGGATTGAGTCAATACTGTTGTCACGAGATCTGAAGACCAACAATCCGGTTTACTATCGTGATGTTGTGAGCCACGCAATACACAGTGTCAGGATACGCCGTGGCTACGTGGCCATTGCGTGGCTCGCGACAAGGAATTATCTTATCGGAGTGGATGTCCACCCCGATGTTTCCTATAAAAACAAGTGCAAGCTGTACTAAGCGAGTGAAGCAGCCAACTGATGTTCAACTCGAACGCGATGGACTTGTGCGTTGGCTCTCGTCTGCGCCTCGCATTTGATCGCGCAGACACGCCCGCTGGCTCCAGAAAATGTGTGTTGGGTACATCTGAGTGGGCATCTACTTGGATAGGATATTTCCTTGGATCACGACAGCACGGTTGAAGAAGATATAAACAGTATTGATGATCTACAGGTATCTACAGCCTGCAGATCTTCAATCCTGTCTGCAGACGACAGAATCTGTCGTCTGTCACAGATGTGTCCGGTCGCCAGTGTAGTGTAGTGTAGTGTAGTGTGCGTACCAACTTTGACTCGTCGGCAATCGGCTCTTCGAGAGGGCAACCTAAACAAGACGAGGACAATCAAAATGGCTAGAAAGTGAGCATCAGCAACCGCTTTTGTGATATGCACGTTCTGCCGGGACTTCCTTCTTGGGCAGCAAGACGACGAACTACGGTACTTCAAGTACCGTACTTGTGTTCGTTTCATATTTTAATTTTTTTTTAATATGTTTAAATAGAGTGGTGTGTGCTTTTGTCCGCGACTGGACTCGCGCGAGTTAAAAATCAACCAGTTAAATTGAAATTACTCATGCGGGTAGTTTGTTACGAATCAATTGACTTGCGCGAGGTCATTTGGGTCATCTAATGTGATTTTCTTCTATTTATCGCACTAATTCATGTTCGTACTTGATCATACATCATAGAGGCCTTGAATGCGATTTTGGCTCGGAAACGACACTTTCTAAATATACCAAACGGGTGTTTTTTTTTCTTGCTGGGTCGCGCACGATTGACCATCCACGACTTTTCGCCATTCACAGTTTCTCAATAAGTCGTACGAGTTACACAGTCCAAAAGCTTGCATTGCACAATACCCGATCATTGCAGCACAGTACAATCGCATTATGTACATGTGTACCATCGGATCGTAATCCCTGGTCGACCAAAGCCCGGATTTTGGTGCGATTGCATGAATCCACCCTTTGTGATAGAAACGCAACAGCTTTTCCTGTAGCTGAAGGTATACGGAAGAAGAAAAAGTTGATTAACTAGATAGTGGACATGCGGTTTCGCTAGCTACGGTAAGTTATGGTAATATCTACTTGGACAACTCAATTATTGCCGCGGAATCCAAATTCGACAACCCTGTTGGGGTAAACTAATTGGTTTGGGTGCATCAAACCCAAGTCGTTGGAGCACCGAGTTTATTGCATCACCGTCCGCTTCAGCTCTTCATAATGCTGGAACATGTATTGACAATGTCGGCGAAATGAGCTCACCAAACCTTGAGTGCTTGGTTGCTCTGTTGCTGCTTCCTCAAATGGATATCGTTGCGAAGACGCCATGTAGCATGGAACACAATTGCTGTGTGAACTCTCCATAGCAGCAAAATGGTTTTATGTTGTTGCTTCCAATATGATTTGATGTCCCGTGGCTGCGGAAAAAGCAGTAACCTCCAGCTTAACGCGGCGTGGAACGCCTTGCTCCATCGCGCCCACAGTGATTGCCACATATCGTTCAAGCCGAGGCATGATAAGAAACAGTGCTCAAGTGTTTCAATCGCCACACACGATTCTCGAACGCACTGTTGAACCGTAGGATTGAGTGCCTTGAGGAAATACAACCTTGAACCGACAATGAGATCTCCAAACAATAGTCTTAACATGACATCATGCACCACCGGAATCAAACAGCGTCGCAGCGAGATGTACAGAGCTAGTGTAGAATGAATCCGTAATTGGGGGCATCCGAGTTCTTGCATAGGGTGGCTACCAACTACTTGAGTGCTTCGTAGCAATATATTCCAGTCCAACAATCGAAGATTCGGAAAAAAAATTGGTGCCCTTGTCAGCTAGCACTCCAAATGTAGCAGGGAAGGCTCCACGAGATGAAGCCCTTACTCCGCCTGCATCGGGATCCGGTAGCACACGACGCCATACTTCCGTTAATTGCCGATACAACTGAAAGATGTCTCTTACTTCGATGTGTGACCCAAGCAACGGTAGCACCACTCTGCGGATCTTGCGAAAAAATTGGAAAGCCGTTGGCCAGTGATGGGAGGTGTCTAAGAAGTCAGCTAGACACCATCGCTGCTGAGCTGCAAGCTCTCGACACAGACATCTGAAATGAATCGTTCCTGTACCCAGAGGCTTTCGAGCCGAGTCCTCGCGACGATACACTTGGGATGAAGAAGATGTATTCCACCAGATAGGAGTGAATAGTGCATACTGAACGGTTCTTGCTCTCGTATACCGCAGCGTGTGCCGAAGTGGCCAATGTACCCGCTTCCAGTCCTTCAACAACTGGCGCCACCACATTGGCAGCATTGCTATTCGCCATCCCGGTGGTTTTGGAGGATTCTGAAGCAAAAAGTCTCCAGACCACCTTCGCGAAAATACTGCATATCGTAAGTGCAATAATTCAGCCATTGGCCTGTACCAAACGGCCGCACCATCATTTCCATGCGTATTCAGCACCTGAATGAACTGCTATCAATCAACAGTGGCACTGTTGCCGATCGTCAACAGAGCTCACTTGGTTTTTGTAGGGGGGAGGGGGTGAATCGGTCATCCCAGGGGGAGCCAAAACTAAGCCTCCGATTCAACAATTGTGTGCATGGTGCGTGGGTTTGAGCCGAAGCCTGAGCTTCACCTGGCTTCGCTCGTCCCGAGGAGGTGTCGGTGTCCTCAGGGCTTTCGCAGTTCTTGCCTGGGTGTGGTGGTGCAGTCGACACCTCAAGCGTTTGGGGATTTGACGCCCATGATACCCGTCCCGGAAACAACCTGTGCAAAATAGTTTTATTGGCTCTTTTCTGAAAATACTATAAAGAATAGCAGGTACTGTTGCCGATCGACCTACAGTGCCACTGTTGGTAAGCAGTGCCTCGAATCGCCCCTTGATGTCGACTGAGTTTGTCCCGTAAACCGTCTCGTAATCTGTCTCGAAAACTGCACCGTAGTTTACTTCGAGGTACACTGCAATGATCTGGTACATATTGTGCTGTGCAAACTTTTGGGCCTAACTGAGGTTGACGGGACATTGCCCCGTCGAGAAAATTGTGGTATTGGCGGAGGTGGGCCAAGTGCTGAACATTCGGCGAGCCGAGCACTGTTCTCGCCGGGTTCTCGCCGGGTGAGAGACAATATTTTTTTCTCGCAGGAGTGCAGCGACTGCCTTTGCGGCAAAGTTTGCGGTGCTCCACGTGCGAAGCCCTGGCGCAATACAAAAATCGAGACATAAGCTTTCGCTGTGCCAAGTTACAGTCCGAAGTACAAAAAAAATCTTCAAAGCACACTACGATTACAATCTGCTGTAAAGTTAACAAAGCACAATGCCCGATCGTTGCAGTGCGAACGCAGTTAGTTTCACATGTACAGTATACCTTCAGATGACAAATCGTTTTGCTAGCTTCCTAGAAGAACGACCCCTAACCCTCTCCATCTGAGAACAATGGTCTCCATGGCGCATCACCTCCGCTCGCAGGAATACGAGCGCGTGCGCCATTCCAAGTCGATGCTGTCTGAGCCGCGCTTGTCAGATGAAGATGCAGCGCGTCTAGTCGAGGCGTACGAGCGCAGCGACACTTCAGCGGCCGACTATATCGCACTCGTCACCGAGAACCGTCCGTTCACGCCGCCGGCAACAACGCACGTCGTTGTCATCGACTCCGGAACGTACTGTGCGTCGGTAGCGATGCCTTTCGTGTTCAACTCGTTTCTCCAAGATCACGGGAATCAAGTTGTTCAAGAACTCCTCTCGCGCTACGAAGTAGCTCTCGTGGAGAAGGCCCCCGCTGGTGGAATCTTCGTCCAGGCCGAGAAAAGACTCGTCGGTCAGGAAGTGAACCTCCTCGGCCGCAAGTTCAAGATCAAGCGCCAGTCTCCGTTTGACAGCAAGTTCTACTTGGACGTCTTCGGAGTGCGGTCCACGGCCGTCGCCAATGATCTCTTTATGGGCTTAGCCCAGCTTGGGGCAAGACCGTTTCTCTTGACGCCGCGAGACGTCAACATGGACGCTCATGTGGCTACACCAACCTGGCGTTTTTACTTTGGGCAAGAAGAGCCCCCTTCGTGCCTAAAAGTGCGCGGGTTCGTTACCAACCAGTTGGTGTATGGGCGGAAGTTTTACATTGCCCGTGGAAAACGCGCTGAAGCTCAGCCAACACGAGCAGCTAGCTTCAAGAAGTCGCCATACTCGGTGACGTTGCCTCTCGGAGCTGAAGTACGTCGTAGCCCACCGCCAGCTTCGGCTGAGAAGGCTGTTGAGCTAGCCCCAGCGAGACGCAGTTGCGTTGAAACGCTGCCACGACGTCAATCCCAATCTCCAATACCGGAATTGAATGAGATGGACCCGCACCAGCAGGAGTAAGAAGCTCATGGCAATGCCATGGAGCCTCGCCATGTTTTGCTGATAGAAGCAGCGGAACAATCGGATAGCGTTGAAGAAGGGGTGATGACTGTGGACGCTGAACCGCACGGCGCTGAACGTGCTGCTCTGCGAGCAGATGACTCGGATGTGGATATGCAATCTACACCAAGTGATGACGACGTGGACATGGCCCGTCAAATGGAAACAGGTTTCAAGCGTGCTGACCGTACTCTGTCGTCCTTTACGGACGAAAATCCCTATGCAGCTCTTGAAGTTGTGGACTGTGAGTTTGAAGCTTTTGAGCCAAATACTACGTCGGATTGGACTGCTGGTGTATTGATGGTGCCTCATCTTACCTCGACGGGAACCACGCAAGATGCTAGTGAACCCCTTCCAACCAAGCGTCGCGCGAAGACCCCAGGGGCCAACAAACTGGTGGCTGAAGAAGGTGTTTTAGTGTCAGCCGAAGAAGCGGAGCTGGAATCGCATGAGGATCGTGTGGTCCAAAACACGCAACATTTGAAACCCGTTGAGAAGCTGCTGCAGACTTCCAAAAACATGGACAAAGTTGTCGAATCTATTACGGCGATGCCAACTGCATGGTCTACGGCTTTCTGCACTGATCTCGCAAATGGTGGTGACAATTTGGAGGAACTGGCGTCGATCCACTTGTTGAACCGCATTCTCGCAGCAAATGGAATGTTGGGCACGTTTAACAAACGTGCGATCAGCTCCCACTTGCCCCTCGGGAAAACTCGGAGCTCCTACGTCAGCTACTTAGCCGCGGAACTGAAACGACAAAGTGCTGAAGCAAAAAACCAGTGGGGGATTCTGCGCCTGCTTAGCGCCTTTGAATTGCTACTGAAAGCTACGTGTCCCTTTCTGACTGGATCCAGTGAATGGGTAGATTATCTCTTCGGAGAACACGATGCAGACACGTCGTGCGGACATGGTTCTCTTTTCTCGGATTCGATACTTCTCCAGTTGCTGCGCTCTCACCTAGGAACCCAGCTACTGACAGCGCTGCTGCAGAAATTACCAACAAGCACACTTCTGGTGGACCTCCACTCGCTATGCTGCAGTGACTTACAAGTGCAAGAGCTCCCGAGTGTTCCCCTTGACAGTCTGTCGTCGGCGTTTGAGGCGGCATTGATTAATTAAGATGACTTCAGGACTGGATGTTGGTCAATCGTGCAAGATATTGACCTGGAATGTTCATGGAGTAAAAGAGGGTGGCTACCCTCTCATCTCGCAGCATCTCAAGTATTTTTATTTTTCATGTATTCAAGAAACTCGATTCAAAGACAGTCATCATGCTAAGCGCTTCAGCTACCTGGTGGAACAGTGTTTTGGAGGTCGGGTATTTTTTACGGACCAGAACGGAGCATCCCAGCATACTACGTTTCCGCGGAGTGGAGGCGTCGCGACAATTATTCATGGTTCCTGCCCAGGCGTCAAGACAGCAGTAGTCGTGTCGTCCAAGACGATCCCCAATCGATATCTATTGGTTAAGATGCGCTGGGGGGACCAGATTTGTTACATTCATAATATTTACGCGCCCAATGATCCGGCGTCAAGGAAGGCGTTATTTGAACGCCTACCGACTAATTTTGAGACTGAAGAAAATGGAGGTGATGCAATTCACGTGGTTTGTGGAGATTTTAATTTAGCGGTGGATCCTAATGTAGACGCTATAACAAGCAACTGAAGGCCTGATTCCAGTAGGACTGCGCTCACATCGTGGATGACCGAGATTAATGCGATTGATGCTTGGAGGCTTCATCACCCAGACGTGAAAGTGTTTTCGGGTCCACGCCTTCGTCGAAATCGTCTAGACTACATATTTGTTTCGGATAATTTGATTTCAGCGTGCTATCAAGATTCTTCGTATGAAGACTGGGAAGGAAGTGATCACAGGGCCCACCACATCAATCTTACTTCGTGGCATCACCCCACAGGACCAGGATTTTGGCGGCTTCCGGACTGGCTTCTGCGTGTGCCACAACTTCGTGAAGATATCCAGAAGAAAGCGAAAACCTGTCTTCAAGTTCTTCGTGCATCTGATAATCCTGGGATAGTGTGGAAATACTGGAAACAACGCATGAAAAATTATCTCATAATTTGTCAGCGCAGTATGAAGGCTAATGCAGAATCGGACCTTGTCCGCACCCGGCAACTACTTGAAGAATGTGCAAAAGCAGTCGCTCAGGATAGTGACGACGAGCAAGCCTCAATTGATTTTTATTTCGCAAAGAAACGGTATGAAGAGTGCAAGGAGGATTGTGCGGACTTTCGAAGTGGAGTCGGATTTGAAAGAATAGTCACGGAGGCAGAACGTAGCTCAGCATTTTTCTTTCGGGCGCCACGCTTTGAGCTCCACCATACCCCGTTTCAGTCGGTCAAGCTCGCCGATGGTTCAGTGTCAAACGATCCATCAGCAATTAACGATGGTTTTCAGCGCCATTTGGGAAAGATTTTTGGCGATTCTCGCTTTTCGCAGGATGAACGTCCACCTGATGAAGCAGCTCAACGTCGCCTACTGGATTCAATTGACAGAAAACTAGCGCCGGAAGCTGAAGAAGGTCTCGACGCTGATATTTCAGGAGACGAGTTGGCCTCTGCAATTCAGTCAATGCGAGGGCACTTTGCGCCAGGACCGGATGGATTCACGACGGCTTTCTATCAGGTAGACCCGGACGTGTTTGGTGAAATATTAGCAATAGTATTTCGCTACCAACTCCAACGTGGAGAGCTTCTTCCTCATCAACGCTATTCCTCGGTAGCCCTCCTCTTCAAAAAAGGAGATCGTGCAGATCCGGGCAACTTCCGACCGATAACTCTGATACCGGTGGAAGTGAAGGTGTTGTCGAGGTCGCTCACCGATAGATTAAAACCCTATATGGCCTCGCTAGTCCATCCTGACCAGAAGAGTTTCATCCCAGGAAGATCCATTCATCACCAAGTAATGCTGATTCGCGACCTGCAACACTTGGTTACCTCTCGAGGTGACAAAGGCGTTGCCACTTTCCTCGATTTTGCGAAAGCATATGATCACGTTAACCGTGGGTATCTAGTTAAGGTGATGGAGCGCCAAGGATTTGGTCCCAAGTTTCTCTCGTGGATAAAACTACTCTACGATGGCTCACAATGCTCTCTAATGCTAAATGGATGGGCGCAACCAGCTCTTAAACCTTCACGTGGAGTAAAACAAGGAGACCCCTTGTCGCCTTTCCTTTTCGCGCTTGCTTTAGAGCCCCTTGGAAATCTTCTACGCGCAGAGCGAGAGCTGGGGGTTGAAGTTGACGAGACAATTTCGATCCCAGTGGCTTTCTTTGCTGATGACACAGTTCTACTCTCAGCGGATGTGCGGTGTCTGCAACAACAACTCAGCCTAGTTGATCTCTATTGTGCTGGTTCGTGTGCAATGCTCAATCCAGAAAAAAGTGTGATGATGAGCCCCAATAACCATCGGGCGGCGCCAATAATCGAGCCGCTCCGGTCACTTCGAAAGGGCGAGACTGTAAAGTATCTTGGCATTCCCTTTGGGAACTTTGATATTTCCACAATTGTGGCAAATCAGCTCGATGAAAAATTAATGACTCGCCTCCAGCTGTGGAAAGGAAGGGCGCGAACTTTGATGGGGCGTCGACTAATTGTCCAAGCTGTAGTCATCTCCTTGTTATGGTGTTTCATGACCACGATAAATATCCCGGTCCGATTTATCAGGCGATGGCAGGGTGTCGTGACCCGTTACGTTTTATATAATAAGATTGTAGCGGGTCCAGGCGGAATCAATGTTGTGAAGAAGGGCTTGGCTACTCAGCCACGTGATGAAGATGGCATTGGTGTACCTGTGTTCGCTACAGTGATTCGAAGACAACGTTTTATGCTTCTTCAGCAGTTCATTCAGGTGCTGAATACGCATGGAAATGATGGTGCGGCCGTTTGGTACAGGCCAATGGCTGAATTATTGCACTTACGATATGCAGTATTTTCGCGAAGGTGGTCTGGAGACTTTTTGCTTCAGAATCCTCCAAAACCACCGGGATGGCGAATAGCAATGCTGCCAATGTGGTGGCGCCAGTTGTTGAAGGACTGGAAGCGGGTACATTGGCCACTTCGGCACACGCTGCGGTATACGAGAGCAAGAACCGTTCAGTATGCACTATTCACTCCTATCTGGTGGAATACATCTTCTTCATCCCAAGTGTATCGTCGCGAGGACTCGGCTCGAAAGCCTCTGGGTACAGGAACGATTCATTTCAGATGTCTGTGTCGAGAGCTTGCAGCTCAGCAGCGATGGTGTCTAGCTGACTTCTTAGACACCTCCCATCACTGGCCAACGGCTTTCCAATTTTTTCGCAAGATCCGCAGAGTGGTGCTACCGTTGCTTGGGTCACACATCGAAGTAAGAGACATCTTTCAGTTGTATCGGCAATTAACGGAAGTATGGCGTCGTGTGCTACCGGATCCCGATGCAGGCGGAGTAAGGGCTTCATCTCGTGGAGCCTTCCCTGCTACATTTGGAGTGCTAGCTGACAAGGGCACCAATTTTTTTCCCGAATCTTCGATTGTTGGACTGGAATATATTGCTACGAAGCACTCAAGTAGTTGGTAGCCACCCTATGCAAGAACTCGGATGCCCCCAATTACGGATTCATTCTACACTAGCTCTGTACATCTCGCTGCGACGCTGTTTGATTCCGGTGGTGCATGATGTCATGTTAAGACTATTGTTTGGAGATCTCATTGTCGGTTCAAGGTTGTATTTCCTCAAGGCACTCAATCCTACGGTTCAACAGTGCGTTCGAGAATCGTGTGTGGCGATTGAAACACTTGAGCACTGTTTCTTATCATGCCTCGGCTTGAACGATATGTGGCAATCACTGTGGGCGCGATGGAGCAAGGCGTTCCACGCCGCGTTAAGCTGGAGGTTACTCAGCCACGGGACATCAAATCATATTGGAAGCAACAACATAAAACCATTTTGCTGCTATGGAGAGTTCACACAGCAATTGTGTTCCATGCTACATGGCGTCTTCGCAACGATATCCATTTGAGGAAGCAGCAACAGAGCAACCAAGCACTCAAGGTTTGGTGAGCTCATTTCGCCGACATTGTCAATACATGTTCCAGCATTATGAAGAGCTGAAGCGGACGGTGATGCAATAAACTCGGTGCTCCAACGACTTGGGTTTGATGCACCCAAACCAATTAGTTTACCCCAACAGGGTTGTCGAATTTGGATTCCGCGGCAATAATTGAGTTGTCCAAGTAGATATTACCATAACTTACCGTAGCTAGCGAAACCGCATGTCCACTATCTAGTTAATCAACTTTTTCTTCTTCCGTATACCTTCAGCTACAGGAAAAGCTGTTGCGTTTCTATCACAAAGGGTGGATTCATGCAATCGCACCAAAATCCGGGCTTTGGTCGACCAGGGATTACGATCCGATGGTACACATGTACATAATGCGATTGTACTGTGCTGCAATGATCGGGTATTGTGCAATGCAAGCTTTTGGACTGTGTAACTCGTACGACTTATTGAGAAACTGTGAATGGCGAAAAGTCGTGGATGGTCAATCGTGCGCGACCCAGCAAGAAAAAAAAAACACCCGTTTGGTATATTTAGAAAGTGTCGTTTCCGAGCCAAAATCGCATTCAAGGCCTCTATGATGTATGATCAAGTACGAACATGAATTAGTGCGATAAATAGAAGAAAATCACATTAGATGACCCAAATGACCTCGCGCAAGTCAATTGATTCGTAACAAACTACCCGCATGAGTAATTTCAATTTAACTGGTTGATTTTTAACTCGCGCGAGTCCAGTCGCGGACAAAAGCACACACCACTCTATTTAAACATATTAAAAAAAAATTAAAATATGAAACGAACACAAGTACGGTACTTGAAGTACCGTAGTTCGTCGTCTTGCTGCCCAAGAAGGAAGTCCCGGCAGAACGTGCATATCACAAAAGCGGTTGCTGATGCTCACTTTCTAGCCATTTTGATTGTCCTCGTCTTGTTTAGGTTGCCCTCTCGAAGAGCCGATTGCCGACGAGTCAAAGTTGGTACGCACACTACACTACACTACACTACACTGGCGACCGGACACATCTGTGACAGACGACAGATTCTGTCGTCTGCAGACAGGATTGAAGATCTGCAGGCTGTAGATACCTGTAGATCATCAATACTGTTTATATCTTCTTCAACCGTGCTGTCGTGATCCAAGGAAATATCCTATCCAAGTAGATGCCCACTCAGATGTACCCAACACACATTTTCTGGAGCCAGCGGGCGTGTCTGCGCGATCAAATGCGAGGCGCAGACGAGAGCCAACGCACAAGTCCATCGCGTTCGAGTTGAACATCAGTTGGCTGCTTCACTCGCTTAGTACAGCTTGCACTTGTTTTTATAGGAAACATCGGGGTGGACATCCACTCCGATAAGATAATTCCTTGTCGCGAGCCACGCAATGGCCACGTAGCCACGGCGTATCCTGACACTGTGTATTGCGTGGCTCACAACATCACGATAGTAAACCGGATTGTTGGTCTTCAGATCTCGTGACAACAGTATTGACTCAATCCAGAGGGCGGGAGGGGGAGGAGGTATGTATTTATCATTCTTACGTTCCTGCTGTATGCACTCGTACTGCACATGCATTGCTTACGACCGCACAGCAAAAGCAGACATCGTGGACAGAACTGTTGATCTTCTCGACTCGGTCGATGCAGAAGGCGGCCACTGAGTGTCTAGGGGGGCTATCGTTCCTATGTACTACGGTCCCTACTATTGCGAGGCTGATGACCCTCCCCACAACAGCTCATTTCGAAAACTACTTCATCCACCTCAACTCAACTCGCGAGCTCCACACGCCCCTCCCGAAATGAAGCTTCAGATCGTCATTGTTGCCCTCGCCGCTCTGCTGATGCCCACGTAAGTGCATGCCCTGCTCGACCGACACCTGGGCTCACATGCCGTCTTTACTGATCTCTACCATCAGTGACGGTGCGCTCCGACAGTGTGCTGGAGCAAGCAACAACAGATACGAGAGCACGGGCTTCTTGACCGCCGACTTCACCATCAAGGCATGCGCCGCGTCGGGCGGCTCGATCGACCCGAACAAGAGGGGCAACCAGAAGTGCTGCAACGTTCCCGATGCCCGCCAAGGCGCTTTTAACAATGCTTGCAATGGGCAAAAGGCGGGCGATAAGTTCCCGGGCTTTAAACCTCTTGCCCAGCCGTGCTAGATGGAGACACGCGGAAGATCGACTCCAGAGGGAGCAATTTACCCACAATGTGATTTTGCCGGAACGCAGCGCTTGGCTCTTTGTCGTTGGGTTTTTTTCGACAGTGGATCACGATTGCGCTCAGTGCATCTACCTAAGTTCCGCTACGTACGGTAGTTAGAATTGTTTCCAGACGCTTCAATACGGGGGTGCGCGTTGTCGCGTAAGCGGCCGCCTCGATTTGAATGCCATCTTTCTTCTTAACCTTTTGTTTTAGCTTGTGGAGATGTTTAGAAATCGCCCCGCGTGTTCCGTGTTCGACTTTCTGGTTTCCAAATTGCTAGGCTGAGGGTTCAGTGTGCTCGGTTAGCTATCCGTATCGGTCGGGAAACGGATTGTGTGCCACAGCGAGGTATATGGAAACCATGCTGTGAGCATGATGCTCACAACAAATTTAAATTTGGGAATCCCAAAAATAAAATTCAAGAATCCCAAAATAGCCCAAGATAAAAATAAAATAATTCGGCCCGTCCGCACAGTCTCAGTCCAGTATCCTTTCGGCCGATGGGGCGTCTTGGCGTATCAACTCTCCTCCACCTGCTGCTGGCGCTGCCCGGGGCGCGGGGCGTGCTCCCCACGGGCGTTTTGTCGCTAGATCTGCTGCCGCAGACGCCGCACGAGCCCCCCGCCTTCGCGGAGCAGCTGTGCTCGCCCAGCGCCGCCGCCGGGTGGGGCGTCTCCCTGCCGGCCCGTCACGATTCCCGCTGGAAGACTTTGCTGCAGCTCCCGACTGACAACCGCGACGGGTGCGCGTCCTACCAGCTCCCCAGTGACGCTGCAACGTCGGTGCACGGTGCCGTGGTGGTCGTAGATCGAGGCAACTGCTCGTTCGTCGCCAAAGCCCAAAAGGCCCAAGCGGCGGGCGCCAAGGGATTAATCGTCCGAGGCACGAAGCGAGCGGTGTACGAGGCCGTGATGAGTCATAACGCGACCAACGTGAGCTCTGTGGCGAGTGGCAACGCTGCGGGGACAGCGAGTGTCGCCAATCTGGCGGTGGTGGCCAAACCCGTGTTCGAGTACGACTGCAGTCGAGGCGAAGCGTTCGTGGATCAATTGGCCACTCCAGTGTGGCAGACAGACGCGGAGGAGTGCAGTGGCGACCACCGCTGCGCCTCCAGGTCGTGCGTGCTGACGGGCCACACGGAGCTGCAGGAGAGCGGCAAGAAGCACCAGGTGTGCTGCATGTGGGACACGTTCGTGCTCATGGGCGCCACGAACCGGTCGGTGACCAAGGAGCTGGCCATCCCCGTGGTGTACGTGACCGTCGCCAATGGCCAGAAGTTGCAGAAGGCCATGGATAAATACCCGACGTCGCTGGTGGCGCGGACGTATCGACGTGAACTGCCGCTCATCGACTTGTCGTCACTGTTGCTGTGGGCTATTGGCGTGGTCACGGCGCTGGGGGCGACGCATTACTCGGCCAGGCCTCTGCGACGACGGAGCGAGAGTGTGACAGAGCGTGAGCAGAGGAAGTTGAGGGATGAGCCGGACGCGCAGCACGAGGAGGGACGAGAAAGAGCAGACAGCGAGCGCCAGGAGGAAATCTGGGAGCTGGACGCCAGACACGCAATAGGGTTCATCGCTCTAGCTGGGGTGTTTCTGACGGTGTTCTACTACGTGAAGATTGGCGGCGCGATCCCGGTGCTTTTCGCGGTGTCGGGTGCTGTTACGCTCACTCAAGTGGTAATGACGCCTGCAGTGGAGAGGTTGATGCCGAGCTCGGGGATCCGGGAAGTAACTGTGCCGTTGCTGGGCGACACTGCACGGCTGTCGGAGGTACTGGGTCTCATCCCGAGTGTTACGATCGTTGTGGTGTGGTACCTGCATCGACGCACGTTCTGGGCGCTGCAGGATATCATGGGGATCTCTCTCTGTTTCGTGTTCCTCCGCACGGTGCAGCTGCCGAACCTGAAAGTGGCTACGGTACTGCTCACGCTAGCGTTCTGCTACGACGTCTTCTTCGTGTTCCTGTCGCCGATTTTCTTCGGCTCGAGCGTGATGGAGGACGTGGCTACTGGCGGGCCAGCGGCATACACGAAGAGCGGCTACCCAGGTGTCGACTACTGCGAGCGCTACCCGACGTACCCGGCGTGTGTGGACCCTGAGCCCATGCCGATGCTTTTGGTGCTGCCGCGCGTGCTGGATTGGGCTGGAGGAGTCAGCATGCTCGGGCTCGGCGACATCATCTTGCCTGGGATGCTCCTGTCGTTCACACTCCGCTTCGACTACTCGCAGGGATCCACGAACTACTTCCGTCTGATGGCCGTCGGCTACGCAGTTGGCCTCGCGCTTGCTAATCTGGCCGTCATGATCACGGAGATGGGCCAACCTGCGCTCATGTACCTCGTTCCAACGACGCTGGGCACGCTGATCGTCGCGTCCAAGAGGAACGGCGACTTCCGTGCGTTGTGGGTCGGTGCAGGAGTCGACGATGACGACTCGTCCTGCATGAAGCGGCGAAGCGGTGACGGCCCCGGATACCGAGCTGTCCGATCGGAGGAGCCACCGACAGGAATCGTCATTGGCGATCCGATAGGCCGAGTGAACGACAATTCGCGAGGTGACCATGTGCCACTGCTGAGCTCTTCAAGGTCTTAGAGGCGCATCCCGTGACACGATGGCGACTAAACCGCCATCGATTTCGCCATTTTACCATTGTATTTGCTAATTCATTCTCATGTGTATGCTCCGAAAAAGTTTGGTCTGTTCTTGGCTTCGGTGTCTGTTGGTCAAAGCGTCGCTAGAAAGATTCGTGCATGGCCTCGATTCATGTTGTTGGTGAGCTCTTGGGGGCGTCTGGCCTGGCCTGGCCGGGTGACCAAGAAGCCTTCTCCGTCTCGCATGTGGTCGACTTGCTGTCGCTGCACCCGTCGTCCGAGTTCAGCTACTTCTGCAAGTGGAGACTTGTCGTCAGCGATCCGGTCAAGCAATCGCCGCATGAAGAACCGTCGTGGAAAGTCATTCAAGGAGAGACTCGAGGCCAAACGCAGGTTCATGCTGCATCGAGTGGAGGGAGTCTGGCCATGCCGGATTTGTATCGTCACAGCACTGACGTTTCACTCCCGAAGATGGACACGGTGTGGGCTCATCCCATCGACTTGCACCTTGCTCTGACCAACACGAATGCGTGGAATTGCTGGCCGAGACTGGAGTTCCAGGTGAGTCGAGCTTAATGGGAATGAGCCCACGACAGCTTGACACTGATTGCATGGCGTGGCCAGGTCTGGAGTTTGAATAGGCATCAACGAGAGGGATTGCGTAAGTGTACTGGAGCTTGCATCGGTCTTCCTTGATTTATGACACTAACGCAACTGTGCAGGTGGGGCAGCGAGCGTTCAGCTGCCTATGGTCACCAACGAGTACGTTCTCGATGTTCCGCTGGTACTACAGGAAGATCGATCATGGTTTGGGTCCGTAGCGCGGGCTATCGGTTTTTCGTCGCAGCACAACTCAAGGAAAAGTGGCAACTTAGAGGGAAAGAATGAGCGCGACGAAGTCATACAAAGCGCGGGGACGATTTACTTGCGACTTGCAGTTCTCAGTCGAGGGTTGAGTTGAACGCAACAAGCAGTTAGATGGAAGACGTGGCTATTACTAGGATTGCTGCTGCTACAGCTAACTACAAGCTCGTTCCGGGGCGTATAAACGCAAAGGATATGAAAAAATATGCAAGCCACTTACAGCACACTGCTGACGTCTCACTCGTTCATGTTGGACCCACTTAACTGGTTCAAGCAGTCGTTGTCGATCCAGTGCACGGCGTTCTCGAAGTGCGGGGCCTGTTCGTACACCCCATAGTATCCGAACTACACAAACAAATACCGTCAGTTCAACCAGTCACAATTCTCAATCCACACGAACACCGACCGATACATACCTTGTTCGACGCCTCCACGATGCAGTCCTCCAGCATCTTCTGCTTGCGCAGGATCTTGTCCGTCTCGGTGTCTTCGGCGTGGGCCTGCTCCTTCAACGCCATGATCTTCTCGGCGAAGTGGCTGCCGATCTGCAGCTGGAACTCGTCCTTGCTCATGAAGTCCTTGTCGCCGTTGTCCACGTCGTTCTCGCCCAGCTTCTTCAGGATGTCCGACGTGTCGCCCGATAGCTGGTTCTGGGTGTCGGTGGGCACCGTCACCGTCGTGGACTGTCCGTTGGGTCCCGTGGGGATCACCAGAGTGCTCGTGGTGTCCGACGTCTGAATCACGTCCACCGTCGTCTGCGTCGTGGTGCCGGTCGAGGTTGTAATCGTCACGTCCTGCTTGCCGTCAATGACCGGGCCGTCAGTCGTCACCGTGGCCGGACCAGTGGGCGTGTCCACAATAATCGGCGCCTGAGTGTCGGTCTGCTGGTTCGTGGGGGTGTTGTCGCCCGTCGGCACTGTCACCGTCGTGGTGTCACCGCCCGGGCCAGTAGGAATGTCCACCTTTGTGCCCTGGGACGTCTGCGTGACATCGATCAGCGTCGTGTCCGAGTTGCCCTGGTTGTCCGAGATCGTGACTTGCTGCTTGCCGTCAATGACGGGGCCGTCGAACGTGACAACCGCGGGGCCATTCGGAGTGTCGATAGCAATGGTCTTCTGGCTGTCGCCGCCTCCATTCTCAGTGGGTCCCTGCGGAGTCGTGTCCTGGACGCTGTTCTGCGGCACCGTCACCGTCGTCTTCTGGCTGCCGGAGCCCGTGGAGATATCCAACTGGTTGTCGCCGGTCGAAGTCTTGGTCACATCCACCGTCTCCTTGGTCTTGCTGCCGTCCGAGGTCGTGATCATCACGTCTTGCTTGCCGTCGTGGATCGGGCCATCAAACGTCACAACCACCGGGCCATCGGCCGTGATAACGTCGATTGTCGGGGCCTGAGTGCTGTCGGTCTGCGGGACCGTCACGATCGTGGTCTGGCCGTTGGTCGTGGGGATCTCCAGGTCTTTCTGGCCGTCGGTGGTGTCCGTCACCTTTACCGTCGTGGTGGTCGTGTCGCCATTGTTGTCCGAGATTGTGACCTGCTGATTGCCGTTGATGACGGGGCCGTCGATCGTCACCGTCACCGGGCCGGTGGGCGTGTCCACAGCGATCTGCTGCTGCTTGGGCTTGATGCGACGCACCTTCGGCAAGCTGTCGACCCCGGGCCACTCCGGCACCTCGACAAATGTGGTCACGTCGCCGGGGCCGATCGGGACCTCGACTGCGGGCTTGTCGGTAGTGCTAATCGTGACCGGCAGAGTCAACGTCGTGGAGCTGTCGTCCACGTTGATGATCGTGACCAATTGTTGCTTGTCAATCGTCGGGCCGTCGAACAGGATCGTGATCGGGCCGTTGGGAGTCTCGATAAGAACTTGCGGGACGTCGAAGTGGAAGTTGTCCTCGTGGTCGAAGTTTTCTCCGGTCTGTGACTGCGGGGCCTGGGTATCGTACTGGTTGTATCCGGGGCCGGGCTGCGGGTTGGTCTGGCCGTTCTCGTTCGTCAACTGCTGCTGGTTGTTGTTGAACTGGTATCCAGTGTCTGTGGCAGACTGCTGGTTATTGAACTGAGACCCGGTGCCAGGAGACAGGGTATCAGTGTTGAACTGAGGTCCCGTTTGGTCGCCCATGCCAGACTGCGCGTTGGTCTGTGGCACTGTCACCGTCGTGGTCTCACCTCCCGGGCCCGTCGAGATAACAAGAGTGTTCGTGTTATCCGAGGTTTGAATCACGTCCGCAGTCGTGTGGGTCGTGCTGCCGTCCGAGGTCGTAATCGTGATGTCCTGCTTTCCGTTAATGACCGGGCCGTCGGTCGTCACCGTCGCGGGACCCTGAGGGGTGTTCACGTCGATGGACTGCTGACCCTGCTGCGAGCCACCACCGCCGCCATTCTCGTTCGTCCACTGCTGCTGCTGTTGTTGCTGCTGGTTGTTGAGCTGAGAACCGGTGCCTGTGCCAGACTGTGGGGCCTGGTTGTCACCCGTGAAGGTGTCCGTGCCAGGCTGCTGCTGGTTGTTGAACTGACCAGTGCCAGACTGGGCGGCCTGGTTGTCACCCGTGAAGGTGCCAGGCTGCTGGTTGTTGAACTGACCAGTGCCAGACTGGGCGGCCTGGTTGTCACCCGTGAAGGTGCCAGGCTGCTGGTTGTTGTTGAACTGAGACCCAGTACCCGTGCCAGACTGCGGGGCCTGGTTGTTGCTCGTGAAGGTGTCCGTGCCAGGCTGCTGCTGGTTGTTGAACTGACCAGTGCCAGACTGGGCGGCCTGGTTGTTGGACGGATTGTACGGGTTGTACTGGTCTCCGTTGCCAGACTGCGGCGCCTGGGTGTCCATTGGCGGGGCCACATAGCCGCCACCGCCATTGTCAGCATCCGGGATCTTGTCCTGCGGCACAATGACAGTCGTCGTGTCACCGCCGGGCGAGGGAACATCGATCTTCTCATCGCCCGTAGACGTCCTCTGGACCGTGACAGTCGTGGTCACGACGCCACCTCCAGTCTCGATTTCCACCTTCTGCTGGTCGCCCTCGGGCGGGCCAACCAGGGTCACCGACTGCTGGCCGCCTCCGGTGGTTGGGATCGCAATGGGGGCGCTAGTTGGTGCCTCGGTGTCACTTGGCCCGGGCACGTCCGGCACAGAAGGAGTCGACGGAGCGCTTGGGGTGTCCGGGAACATCTCGATGTACTTCTGAGGCACCTCGATCAGCGTGTCGAAGCAGAAGACCTCCAGCATGTAGTACAGCGAGTCGATGGTAGTGCGGTCGAACGTCAGCTGCCTCTTCTTGCTCTACAGGGAGGGAGGGGGCCACAACCAGAAACACACACAGTTAGTGTCATTCTACCACCTGCAACAGTATCTACACTTTAACGCACCGTGATCATGGCCTTCTTGACGCAGGCCGTGTCGCTCTCGATCTTGTCGTCCAGCTGGCTGTTGAGGTCCTCCTTGACGACTTCGGGCAGGGCCGAGTTGGCGATCTTCTCCCTGTCGTCGGCCCAGACCTGGTTCAGGTCTCTCATGTACTCCGTGTAGGACACGATGCCGTCTCCGTCCTTGTCCAGCTCGTCGAAGCTCGGGTAGTACGGGTCGCCCATGGACTGGACAAAGTCCGGCACCTCGAGAGCCGCGGCCATTTGCTGCTCCGCAGGCATCGCGACCGCGCTCGTCTGCGTGGACCGCATCGTGGCGTAGCCGACACCGGCCGACGCGCCGATCAAGGTGGTGGCAGCGCCGGCCATGGCCAGAAGCTTCTTCTGCCGGCGCTTGCCATTGGGGTGGTTGGGCGCGGTCACGCGGCGAATGAAGCTCGTCTCTTCATTGCGGCCGCTCCCGTACTGGCTGGGAGACTTCATGGCCACAGCGATCCAAGAACGATAGTCTCTCTCCTGAGCTTCTCGAGCGATGTTTCTAGCGCAAGGCGAATCGGGAAGTGATCCTTTGGGGCGACCATCGCCTCCTCCAGTCCAAGATCCAATGCAATCCACTTGACAGTCGCGCATCAACGGTGGGTAATGCCCGGGAACAGTCTCCGCTCGGCCACTACGGGCCGCATATCGACGATCTTACATCTTACGTCCGCGATCCAAAAGATTTGGATGGCAGTGCTTGAACCGCCACCTTTTGGGCTAAGGGCCACAGGTCGATCTTGAACCGAGACCGCTCATTTCGAGCGTCTACCACTAAAGGTCACCACGTGCGGCTGTACACAACTTACGGTTTGGCCTTGCGAAAGACCGGGTGGCCCGCTTGTCTTGGCCAATGCAGCTGCGGTGCATGGGCGAGGTGGTCTCGAAGCAGGCCGATGTTGGTGCGGATGCTCGGTTTGAGCTTCCGTTGGTTCGAGAGAGCGTCGGCAGTTGATGCATGAGAGACCGGCACCGTCATCTCCCACGGGATGCGGACGGGCTCCACGACAAGTTGTCGGGTGAACCGCATCATTTGCGGCGCTGAGTGCTCATCTCTCGTAGCACGGGACGCTAAGATTTCGTCCATTAGCCCCTTTTGACGGTCTTGGGACAGCACCACGGGCTTCAGCGGCGAGCGCTCGGTCATGAACCGAGTTTTCAGCTCCCCGAAGCTCCTACAGCTGCCGGTTGTCGCTGGCTTGGGCCTTTCATTGTTATTGTTGCCTCCAGTAGTATTTGGGCTGCCTGTGGCAATGGGCCACGGCGGCAGGATGAGCTCGTCGTCCTCGAAGTCGTACAACGAGTCCGAGTCGGACTCCTCGGACCGCGTGGTCAGGGCCAACGCTGTCCTTGGATGGGCGTGTGATGTAGCACGAGCATGGCCCATCGAACGCAGTTGAGCCTGGCGAGAGGCCATGGCCAGCGGGGACTTGGGTTTGTTGGTGTGGCTCATACTCGTGTGGACGTCGTCTCGCTTCGAGTCGTCTTCGGGCGGCCGGACGAGGTCCTCCACTGAGCGGTGGCGCCACTTCTTGGCCAGGTACACGACGCTGCGTTTGTCTTCGTTGATGACGCTCGCACTGGCGCCGTGCTCCAGGAGGACTTGGGTGGCCACTTCGTTCCCATTCATCGCAGCAAAATGCATGGGTGTGTTAAGCTTCATGGACTTCGCGTTCACATCTGCCCCGTTAGCGATAATGTCACGAAGAAGCTGTCGGTCTCTGCAGAACGCTGATAGATAGTGTAGTGGGCTGTGTGCTTGTCTGTTCTGGTGCGAGGGGTTGGCCCCAGCGTTCAAAATCAGCCGAACAATCTTCAGCTGCCCTCCGAGACAGGCCTGGAGCAGAGGCGTCTGGCCGTCGGCATCCACAGCATCCAGCGTCGCGCCTGCAGCCAACAGCTCCTTGATCACATCGATCTCTTCCGTAATGATGGCCAAGTGAAGAGCGGTCCAGCCTCCTTCTCTGGTAGCAGCATTGATCTGAACCTTCCCACTACGGATCATGGCAAAAGTTACCTGTCGAAAGTTTTTGATGATGGCCGTGTGCAAGCAGCTTTGGCCCGATCCTTCGTCCAGACTGCTGAAGGTTGCGTATATCTGGTCCGCTGGGGTGTGCGCAAGAAATACGGCCACCAGTTTATCAATGTCAAAGGTCTGCTGCAGAGCGAGGTGAAGCGCGTTGGACCCCCTTCGGTCGCGTAAGTCGGCCTTGGTACCTTCAAGCTTCAGTAAAATCTCCACACAGGCGATGTGGCCGCGCAACGATGCCAGATGCAAGGCAGTTCGCTTTTCGTCCTGAGTCACGAGGTTTACAAGCGTCCTCACATTCTCTCGATGCGGTGGCTTCAGCAACTCCGCCAAAATACCGTCACTACCGTTGGCCGCTGCAATGTGCATCAACGAGTTCCCACTGCTGTCAAGACCCAGGAGAATCGTCTCCGTCTCGCACGTCAACATGCCCACCAGGAACTTGAACAGGTCCGTCAACCAGAACTCGGCCAGCACATGAAACACACTCTAACCAAATAAATTAGCACAAAAAAACTTACCCATGTTCAAGACAAATCTTACCTTTTGCATGTAGTCTTTGATGGTCAAGTCGGCTCCGAGTCTCAGCAGTAACTTCACCAATTGCATGTCGTTGGTCTTGCACGCACGATGCAGCGGAGGCAGTCCGGCCTTGTTCGTACTCATGAAATACGCTCTCTTGACGTCTCCTGGTGCCACTGAGAGGCTGGCCTCGAGGTACTCGAGAAGTCTCAACTCGATGGCCATGTTCCACTTGTCTGAGTCGGTCTTGAGCTGCGTCAACATGGCCGTCTCCTGCCTCAGTTTCTGCTGTTTCGCCGCCTCGGATCGAGCTTGTTCGGTCTGCAATTGGGTCGCGTAGTGGTCCTCCCACATCATCCGGCGGCTTTCGCGAGCTTCGCGCTTGCCATTGCGCAGCGCCTCGAGGCTTTCGGAGCAGTCGGAAATCTCGGAGGTGTTGAAATCCTCCGATCGGTGCACGAACTCGCGCTGGAACTTGAGCGCCGCCGCCACCTGCGCCTTCGGGATCTGTCCGCGTTGCCGCCGCCGCGGGGCCTCAACCATGGAGCGGAGCCGCTCCTGCAGCGACGCCATGGCAAAAATGGCGATATTTAGACCTGTCTTGGCTACATGTGTAATATTGCATACTACGTCACATGTCGCATATTTAGGTACTGTACTGCGCTCGCGGTCATTTAGCGACAAAGCAGTGAAGAGGAAGAGCGCGGTGAGCATGTTCGACTACGTTGCGCGCCAATACCGCTGGTACAAGCTCGAGTTCGGGCTCACGATGCTCAGCTGGTGGGAGGTGGCCATCTTCAGTGCGTCCCCCCGTGTTCATACGCCCAGTATTGGCCCCAATATAGCGATTTCTAACTCTGTCCTCCCTCTCTGTGCGTGGCAAACTCTGTACTAACAGACAGCTTCCTGCTGCTCGTGACCAGCGTCACGGGCTACTACGTCTACAACACGGGCAACTACATCGCGGGTCTCCTGCACTAAGAGAACGGGGAGGAAGAGCGTCGTCGTCCCCCCAACCAACGAAGGGATCGGATAACAGAGGAGGGAGGGAGACTTCTATATAGGGGAGTAGGCAGGTAGACAAACCTCCTGCAGCAGTGACGAGAGGGAGAAGAGTGGCTTCAATGCAAGGGGAGATCTATCTATCACACGCTGTCTCCCACCTTTTATTTTTACTTAAGGACCTGCGCGTATCTGGGAAGAATTCTGTAGTGGTTTCATGGGATGCCGTGCTCATGGTTTCACTATTCTTAGGGGGCTGCGTGGAGGGCAACGCTGTCGCCATCTTGGAGAGAGCAGCGGAAGACTAAAGCGACGGAAGATGGAGGACTTCGAATGTGATGACTTTGAGAGTGGGTGGCGTATTGGGGAGGATAATATACTCTATTGTGTGTGTGAGTGCTGACGCGTAGTGTTTCTCTAGAGACGCTGAAGGTGATCGTGGTAGGGAACGGCAATGCGGGCAAGACGAGCATGACGACGAGGTACGCCAAGGGCAGGTACACTGGCACGTACAAGAAGACGATCGGTGTGGACTTTATGGAGAAGACGGTGGAGTTGCGCGATCTGGGCGAGACCATCAACCTCATGATCTGGGATACAGCTGGCCAGGAAGAGTTCGACACGCTGACCAGCAGATACTACAAAGGTGGGGGGGAGGCTAGTTAGTCTATTAGCGAGCTGAATCTAACTTTATTTACTCGACTAGGAGCTGGAGCCGTCATTTACGTGTTCTCGACCGTGGATCGAGCGTCGTTTGACGACCTGCCCAAGTGGAGGCGCAAGGTTGAGGAGGAGTGCGGCCAAATCTGCAGCGTTCTGGTGCAGAACAAGATCGATCTGGAAGATGACGCGAAGATGACGCGCGATGAGGTCGAAGACATGGCCGACTTCCTAAGCATGCGGCTCTATCGCTCTTGCGTCCAAGACAACATCAATGTCGGCGAAGGTTTGTATTAACCTGTCCCCAATGTTCGCCCCATAGCTGTCTACTCACGTTGTCCTGTTCAGTCTTTCGTTATCTGTGCCGGAGGTTTCTAAAGAGTGGCGACGACGGCGACGAAATGGTGCACGCAGTCACGGACATTTCGACGCTGAGCCAGACCGTGAAACCCGCGGATATCTCGCGCTACCCTCCATCTCCAGAGCCCCACACGAAGCGGGAGATCTCGGATATCTCGGACATCGAATCGGATCGCACGTCGACTGCAGCTCCGTCGCCGACATCTCAGACTTGCTTAGGGAAATCGTTTCCTCCGTCTCCGCCTACAATCATCAATCGCGAGTGCGACAGTGACAGCGGCGACGACGCAGCACCCGATTCCCCCCGACGAAGTCGGAAGAAGAGTGACGATGTTGACGATGACCGCAGGCAAGTCAAGCGCCGGAGCTCTTCGAGACGAGAGGAAGAGCGAGAAATCCCACTAGAAACCGAGGAGTCTCCACGCCGCGCACCATCAGGACGCGAGTACGAATTCGACGATGACGATGACGACATTGAAGAGGACGAAGGTGCTAAATCGTCGCCCAAGTTACAACCAAGCAAGAGACGCACAAACGGCAAGAAAACGCACCCGCCTCCAGACTGCGTCATCTCCTAAGGAAGTTTGCAGTCTGCTAATATCAACTCAAGGCGTGCTTTTCCGATCTCCTTCAAATGCTGTTTTGTATTGAAAGATGCGCTGCCCCTGCCGTTGAGGGCTGCGCTTACCATTAAATCATTCCTACTGGCAAAATATGGTATGGTACGTCACTGCTTGTGTCTGGCAATGATTAATATTGTTCGCCGTGAATCCTCGAGCGGGACAGCGAATACAGGTCCGACAGGAAGCCGTCCTTGTCTGTGTGGCTGGTGCGTCCGTACCGAGGAGCTCGTCGGCTCTGCGGGCGGTGGCCATCGTCCGAGTACATGCTCAGGTCGAGGTTGTCGAATTCGGCGACGGGGGCGGCCTCCACGACTCCGAGGTCGAACTGGCTCAGGCCCAGACTCAAATGCGACTCGGTGAGCGGTAGAGCAGCCACCTCCGCTCCGTCGTCGCTATCGCTCGAGAGAACAGTGCAGCTACCGGTCGAGCTCAGCGTCTTGGACTCGGAAGTCGTGTACGGAGACCGGAAAGGGGGCAACGGGGCCGGGTACCGCTGCGCCACGTAGTTGGGCTCATACTGTCGAGACGGTGCCGCGTACTGGTCCAGCGGCGACTCATACTTCTTCTTATGCACTCGGTTCTCCTGCACGCGCTTGTTGCGGCCTTCCGTCTGCTGCCTGTGCGACTGAGGGTTGGCCGGGTACGGAGAGAACTTGTCCTCGGAATCCAGATCCGACAGCGACACCTCGTCGCTACGGTTGCTACGGTTGCTACGGTAGCTCTTGCTCGTGGTGCGGTCCCGTCCGGCCGCACTGCGCTCGCGGAGGTACTCGGGGTCGTCGTCGTCCTGGCTGCTCCAGTCGCTGGCCCAGTCGAGGTAGTTGGATCTCAAACTCGTCTCCGCTGCGGACTTGGAGTTGACGTTGCTCTTGGCCGACAGCTTGAGTGCGTTCTGGCGGCTGGAGGTGGATCGGGGCCCGCGGAGGGCGACGGGCTCCACCTCCGTGTCCGTGTCGGCGTTCGCGTTGCGGCCCTTCTTGATGCACGCCTCGAAGTTGAGCGCGTCGATGATGACTGTGTTGTTGATGCAGAGCTTGCAGAACCGCTGCTGGTGCGGCCGGCCGGTCTTGGCGTCGATGTGGTAGATGAAGCGGTAGTCCGAGCACGACTTGCACACGCTCTGGAAGCAGCCTGCGCACGGCCGGTTGGTCGACATGAAGGACCGGCCGTAGCAGATGTGGCACAGCGAGCTGGCCGGCCACTTGTTGTTCTGCGCGTGCTTCATCAGCAGCGAGTACTTCTTGGCCCGCGCGCTCTTGACGCAGTCCGTGACGTTCAGGAGCGTGCCGGCTACGACGTACTCGGCGAGACGCTGTGCTACCGAGTCCAGGTTGTACACGGTGGACCAGATGAAGCACTCGACGTTGGTCTCGTCGCGGTTGCGGTACAGGAAGCACGTGACCTGGTGCTCGCGCTTGATGCCCTTGATTGCGTCGATGGGCCAGTCCGGGTGGTCGATCGAGTGCAGCACGTGGTAGGCCAGCTCGTTGCCCTTGGCGTCTGTGGTCGTGCCCATGCGTTCGTACGCCAGCACGTCGCGGTGCTTGGACAGCCCCCACGCGGCCTTGCCAGCGAACCACTTGATACCTGCAAAACGGTAGGGCGCCTCGGCGCTGCGGGACTCGGTCACGTTCATAATGGCGCCGTCGACCAGCTTGTACTTGAGCAGCGTCTTGCAGGCACGGAGGTCGTCCGTGGTGTCGCAGTAGAGTCCGTCCATGACGTCCTCCACGGGGCCGTGGATCAGTCCCGTACCTTTGAACAGCGTCACCTGTGGGTCGCTCGTGCCGTACACGCTTTTGTAGATGTTCAGCTGGCCGCGTCGGCGCACGTGGATCCAATAGTCTTCGTTCGTGTGGCCGCCCTGGGACGAGTACTCGGCCACGGCGTCGCACAGGAACGAGGTGACATTGCGGTCGTAGCGCGCCTGCTCCTCGGGCGTGAGCTCGATCTGCGGGAACGGCGGGATTTTATCTGTCATGGTATCGAGTACCTGGCCAGCCCCGAAGCGGTTCGGTGGGCAGGCGAGGTGTGTGTGTCTTTCAGTGGGCCGGCCGACGTGCGTCCAATCCGGCAAATCTCCTTGTGAGATTGCGAGTCGAGGTGTATTCGGGGCAAGTGTAAGTGACGTCGTCGAGCCTGCCAGAGAGACGCTTTGGCGCACGAGCATTGTTCCCTTCACGGAATCTTGAGACCGGGACGTCCGTCTTTTGTCGCCAAACAGATCTCAAAGCGAAATCCGGCGGAAGGGGTCTCGGTGTCACGACCGCGCGGTTTGTGGATGGGGGAGCCCCGCCAAGCAGGGCTCGGCCAGCTTGTTCCGAGCAACGAACACGTTGTGCTGCTCGTCTACGTGGAGACTTGCAAGAGAGGGTTCAAGGATGAGGTGAGGCCGCAAAAGTTGGAAGGTGGACCGCGATCCGAAGCCACCTCGGCCTGGAAGGCATCCAGCATGCTGCTCGGTACACTGTAGCAAGCTGGTGCCATTGAAAGCGGCCCAAGCGTTGCAGCCAGCATGGTGGAACGCCTCTAAGCAGCACGAGTGTCTCCCGGTGGACATGTTCGAAAGGCATTAGTACACTGCACATAGAAATACATGTTACATCTACATTTTCGAAGGTCATCTAAATTTTAGAAAGTTAGAAGTTAGATGTACAGCACCGGGACGCGAATTTCTTAGAGAAAAGGTAGCTTGCTTAACAACAGCGACACTAACGGACTGCATCCGATTCAAGCTCGTTCATCTTACCTGCTCTTCTACATGACTTCGTAGCAAGCGGTTAGTGGATGTACATGTATTAAATAAGTGTAAAATATCTTAGAAACAAATCTCACAGTTTTCTCCGACTCTTTTTGAAATCGTTTCAGATTGGACGTCAAGGGCTCATTTCGGCACTTGCCGAGTTGCACACGCCTTCCCGAGTATCTCACGAGGTCCACCCCGGGCGGCTTGTCGAGGAAACATCAAGGGCAACTTCAACGTGGTCTGTAGCCGCCTCCATCGAAAACTGCTCACGTTGCAAGAGCATAACTTCTACATTGGTAGGTAGAAGCTCGAGCTGCGCGGGAACGAAGCGCTTTCCCGGCTTGGCCGCGACTTATTGTGTAGTTGATCCCTCAGGATCTCAGGCACCGCTGACACAAGATTGGCGGCGCTGGATCAGTGCGGCAAACAGCAGTTGACACACTCAACAACTCCAACCTTGCTCGCTCAAATCACCTGCCGATTTGTCTGCAAGTTTCGACATTTCCAACGCAGCGTCAGCAGCACCTCGTGGATTCGCCTACAGCAACCGATTATTCGGCAAGACGAACGGAAGTTTTTGAGCTTTCGTCCTTGAATCATCCATCGAACTCTGCACTACAGTATCGCCCGTTAAATTTCGTTTGCGACGATCAGTCTTTGAGTCAGCGCAAGACGCCAAGAACAGCCCGATAGCCGCACAGTGTACAGCATCCCCCAGGAAAAATCCGTCTTGGTCGGACACTGCAACGCGGTGCCGGTCGACGCTTTGTGCTTTGTGCACAAACGGATCCAGAGCTCGGTCCGACATAAGTTGAGAGTGGTTGCTGCACCCGTCTACTGGAGTCATCTTTTGAATTGTCCGCACCAATAACCTAACCACGCTTCTGACCTCCATCCGAGCTTCGTATACGCGATATACTTTCGACTTTCAACCATTCATTCGTAAAACTGCGGCGAGCCGCCACACGCATGAATCCCCCCCCCGCCGCGCGGTCGCCCTGTTGGCCGTACAAGCATGCGCATGATGTCGACGACTACCGGTAGCGCCTAGTGGTGCTGCAGCGACACCTTGTGGCGACGATGACGTGGAGCGCTCCCTGGCTGGCTGCAAGACTGCGGTCGACGCAACACAAAAGGCGTCAGAGCCCCCCCTCCTGCGCGCGTTTGAAGAGATGCACGAGCATCAGGCCACCTCTCAGTCCTGTCAGGCAAGTAACTGTTCGGGGGAGATCTATGCATTACTTGGTGTATTCATACTCGTGTCTGTACGCGCAGCGGCCAGCTTTAACCGGCGGAGACAGAAGGCACTTCCTGCTCCGCTTTCAAACAGCTTTACCAGGAGAACAAGCGAAAGAGCGCAAGCAGAATGCGTGAGACTTCAGCGTTTGGGATCAGTTCGAGGGCGGGGCTCGCTATGGCTATCGTCAGTCGGGTACAGCGGTATCAGTCGGGGAAAATAAGCTTCCAGTCGGGTACGGTGACGGGTGACGGGTGACGGTGTTCTCAGTCGGGTACCGGTGGTGATGTTTGTTGTTTGCTTGGCTAGGTCAACGCATGCGCTCAAGTTGTTTACCTGTACAAGACTACAGCTCGTGGCGTGGCCACAAGAATCTTACGAGCTGTTGGTAGGAGTTAACGTAAGAGAACGATGGAAAAAACAATGTAATGGACTGTCCGAGATGTGTAGTCCTGTACTGTTCGAAAATTCGCTCCCCGTAAGCTATGCACTTAGTCATTTCACTTAGAGGCCTCAGAGAGACCATTTGCAACCGAAGCAAAGCATAGGTCTGCAGTGTTCGGCGCGTGGGCCGGAAGGTATGCCTAAGTAGGAGTTTCTATCTAATCCAGATACGTCGCCTGGCCGAGCCGAGGACTTAGCGTAAGGCTCGAGGGGGTGGGGCAGGTCGCGCAGCGGAAGTGCCGTTGCTAAGTCCACAGGCGAGAGCCAACGTGAGAGTGTCCTACCCTCTTTAACATCAAGTAACAAGTGCTTAGTCGCTTTGGTGGTCGGCATTGGGCCTTCTCGAACATTCTTCATCTAACCGGTCTATACATGGAGTATACAACTTGCTTCAGTTATGGTCGGTTCTTGGCGGTCGTGGTCGGGCGCAAACGGGTATAATAGTCTCGTCACAGCCCAGTTTTCCATATGGTGGACGGGTGCAGCAACAAGTGCCACATAAGTTTACGGTCGGTGCACGGGTCATCGACTAGCGCGTGGCATGCGGAATGCTTCCACGCGCGGGGTTTCCATGTGGCGCTGTTATATTCGCCTGGGATGCCCCAACACGCTCGTTAACTCTTTCAGTGAAGGGCACACCGGAACCACCTCGCCACCAAGTCGGACAAGGACGGCATGGCATGGCATGGCTTGCCGATTGTGGCCATGTGTACAGTGCTTAATCAAGCAAAATCGTCGAGACGTGGAGACTCACTCGCGTATGGCCTCGGTTACGAAGACGTTTGTGCAGTAATCGACACCTCGTCCGTGTTCGTCCATTTCGCACACTTGCAGCGTTACTGCGAGCCTGGTTTCAACTCGCGGCCATAGAGACAATGCGAAGATGGCTCCAACCCACAGGAATGACAATCGCAGCATTTCTTCTTGCGGCTCTCCAAACTTTTTACATCTCGCACAACATTTCCCCTTTCCGAAAAGTTGTGGTCACCACGATGGCAGAATGCAACGCAGCAACGAACCAAGTGGACCGCTCTTAGCACGTTGGGGCGCCAAGTTAGAAGCCGGCGCAGAGTTTTAGTGTGTTTCTTGCCGCACGTGTGGCTGTGCTCACCGATCGTGTTTCCGACGAGCGGGCTGTTTCGAGAAATTCGAGCCCAGAGCACCTCACGTTTTGCGTACAAACTGCTGAGTCAGCAATGCAGTTCGCCTGTATGCTGTACATGTACATCGAACCTGTAGCTCCAAGGCATTTTTAACAATTAGAGCTAAAGCTCGATTCAAACATCACAACGGAGGATGCCTCGAAACGGTTCAAAAGTATACTGTAAGCGTCGTTAAGCCACGTTAGATCTTCTTGGCAGCCACTTCGACAATTGCAAGGGTGGTTTACTGTAGCAACTGACACGATGTTTGATATGCTTTCCTCTGCGTGTATGAAACCTGCAACTAAAACCCCTTTGATGAGCTTTTGAAATACTACGTACACGTAATTCATTTTACTAACTGGCACCCAGTTTAAGTTGGCAAATACTAATACCTGTTCACACAAGAAACGAGCCGTTCCTGTCATCTGGGCCGGAATCGGTCATCGAGCTCCCTTCCCGGACATGATCAGCGCCTTCACCGAAAATGGTCAACTTGCGAGGAGGAGAAATCCCGCCTACCACTTTCTTCACACAAGGGATGCAAAAGTGCTCGGTGAGAGGCTTCCCCGTTCGTGTGCTGGTCTCGTATATGTTTTGCTCCAGTGAGCAATTCCGGCACGTATTCTGTGGTTGAACCATCGAAACCGAAATAGTCAGTTAAGCACACACCACACTTTACTGCATCGTGGAGACAGAATTTCTCACCTGCATGCACCCCGCGCACTGCGTGGTGCCACTGCGAGATTTGCAGCGAGCGTGGCACACATCGCACACATCACTAGAGTATTGCAAGCGAGCATTTAGTCAGAAGCTCTGAAGAGTAAATCGAAAGAGAAAAATAAACCAACCAACCTGGGTAAACTCCGCTTCACATCCGCAGTCTCTATCAGACGCGAAAACTTCTTCGCCTGCGCGCACTGAATCGCATTGCTCACAGCGAGCCACTTCCCCGCCATAGCGTACTCTGACACCTTCTGCATCACCTTTCCGCGAGCGAAGAAGTCGCCCTGGAAGAAGCACTCGACGTACTCCGGCGAGTGCTGTCGGTACAAATAGCACGTGGCTGTCTGCGCGCGCTTGATGTTTTTCATGTTGTCTGCAGGCCACTCCGACCGCTCGATGGATTGGTAACTGTGGAACGCGAACTCGTTGCCGTGTTCATCCATCACCTGCCCCATTACCTTCGACAACGGCAACAATCTCCCCGTTAGAGTGCCACACCTGTATCAATAGCGCATTCAACTTGTACTTTACCTCGTAGTTCAGCATGTCACGATCAGCAACAAGTGGGCCAAGTGGCGCCTTAGCCGCGAACCACTTGATCCCAGCAAAGCGATACGGAGCGTCGGGCGAGCGGCGCTGGCTGACTTGGAACACGGCACCGTCGATGAACTTGTAGCTGAGCAACGTCTTGACCTTGCGCAGGTCCTCGGTCGTGTCACAATAGAGTCCGTCCATGATGTCCTCCACCGTGCCTCTCATGAGGCCCTTGCCCACATAGAGCGTGACTCTCGGGTTGGAGGACCCCTCGATGTTCTTGTAGACGTCCATCTTGTCGCGCCGACGCACATGAGCCCACTGCTTCCGCTTCAGGTCTGGCTGCTGTTCTTCGTGGTACGCGTGCAGCGTCCGCTTGAGCAGGTCGTTGCTGACTCGGTCGTAGTATCGCTGCTCTTCGTCCGTGAGGTGAATTGTCGGGAAGCGGTTGGTCGCCAAGCACAGCACCATGGTGGCACCTTCTTTGGCTGGAAATCAGCGGCGGATTTGGGCCGGGGGTGACTGCGATGCCGACAGAAATTCAGGAATGAGGTGCCTGCGCGACTCGGCAAGATCGTCGTGTGGTAACTGCATCCACCTGGCTATACCAGTCATTGTGTCATTAAATTTACGTAAACTAAGTGAATTAGAAGTGTCAATGTAAGGAAAAGTTCTTAATTCGAGGGAGTCTAACAACTCAGAGACCGTCGTTGTGTTGTCGTGCAAATGGGAAACATGGCGCACGCTCTCGTGGCGCTGACCTCGCCAGAGGTGTCGAAGTCTTCACAGCAGAGCCTCCTGAGCCAACCATTGCAATGACCGTCGACCTAATGGCCAATCCTTGCAAAGACCTGCGTGCAGGTTACCTAGGTAAGAGTGTATTTCTCGAGTGACCGCAGGCTCCTTTACTCCTGGTCTTGCACGAACTATAGCCACCTCCGCGATCCGTCTGCTTCAACCGAACTTGCGTTGGTGGTCGGAGGTCGGAGACGCCCGTGGCTGGAAGGGGAAACGTAACTTGCATCCTGGTTAGTTAGACGCAGATCCCCTTGATCGGGGTCGAACCGAAGCAAAGAGATTCAATTCCAAGCGTGCATTGAACACCAGGAGCGACAGCGATTTCCTGCGTCCTCGACGGGGACTCTCTAGTGTGACTCGCCGCCGCCTGGACATTGTTGCGAGGTTAACGGATAGACTAGGAGGAGAGGAGTAGGGAGGAGTCGTCAAAAGACGAAGTGAGTTAGATTAGAGATGGCGCACTGCCAGCAGCAGTTAGATGGTTGGTTCTAGCAAAACTACACTGGTATAGACTATACAGAATAGTTACTCCTTGACTAACAGCTTTGAAGGGACCTTTTGTATCAGATTATCCGCTTCCAGAGGTAGTTGGTACTATGTGCCACTATCTAAAGGGTGCAAACATTGACAGCCTCCCTGCATCTTTGCATATGATTGGCACATACCCAAAGGCATCCAATATTACAGGTCTATGGAGAATCTCGTTACAAACGCCTCAGTCTTCAAAGAGTCGTCTACCAAGGAAGCCCCTGAGCTAACTGCTCCGACTTAACCCACTCAGCCCTGCTGTGTTGGGAAGAAGGACTTCACGGGCAGGCCATGGCGACACTCTCGAAGACAGCGCAGTCAGCAGCACTGGTGCCGGGCACGCTGTCCTCAGCGCCGAAAGGCCTGGAGAAAAGGAAGCTCGGCACTGCAGCTAAGATTCGAGAGCGCAAGCGGAAGCGGGCAGCTGCTCGCAAGGTGCTGGTGCCAAGTCCAGCGTGGAGGCAGATAAGTGGGGGATGATGTAACGGGGTACAATCAAGTGTACCCATTACATGAAGAGTGACGGGTGTCACTCTCCCGAGTACATGGTACATAGTACCAGTAGCTCCGCAAGCCAACCATTTGAGTTTGTGTGGGCTTTTGTATAGTTAACTTGTAGTTTGTATTACGACCAAGTTAACCTCTACCAAAATACAGTCAGTCTGATAACCTACTCCTTTGTAGCAAACCGTTCCCTTTGAGGCCGGGAACTGGTGAACTGCTGTTCACCTGGATAGTAATATCCGCACACACTTCCTCTGTGCATTGTGCTGTGTGACCCCGTCACACTTGGTAGCACTCGTAGTCAATCCTACGCCTACGCGGGTAGATTGGTCTACCTGAATCCTCGGTGGCTCAGGTCTGTGAGCCACGATGGACCCCAGTGAGTTTCCTCACTTGACCGACTCGCAGTTCGAGTCGGTGCGGAAGATGGCGGGCATCTTCGGAAGAGATGCCCTCCGGACCTTGGCGGCGGCGACACCAGCCGAGCAGGCCGAGTGGGTGAGCGCGTTTGACGAGTACGAACGCGGGCTCCTCGCTCATGTGCAGGGAAACCTGCTGGCTCAGATGAGTGAGCCCAAGCGGGTGCAGCCTAAGCCTCTGCGGCTAGCTGTGCCACCGTTCGAAGGGAAGGAAGGCGAGAACATCCACTTCTGGATCCGAGAGACCGAGATCGCAATGAGCGCAGGTCTCATCTCGACTGAGAACCGGGGGAGGAGTGCTCGGAAGCACTTCCTTCCTCCAAGGGCTTAACACCCGGTCGTCATGGATGACGTTCGACTGGGTGTCGACCAGCGCAGCTGTGGCCTTGCGCACAGAAGACGTAGCCTGGGTGCATGGCGTACCTGCGGCGATGCATGTTGCGTCGCCGCCGACTCGGCGGACATGGTCGATCACGACTGGAGAGTGTCTGCCGGAGGGCGACACCTCAACTGACCACATGCAGGAGCATGCTCGGTCTGACTGCGAAGGCCGCGGTCACTGCACGGCGTTGGGACAACAAGTGTCCAGGACTCGGTGCCGAGATGGAAGAGTCTGAGTATACGTGCATGCCATGCAGCTACTCTAAAGAAAGGACAAGCCGTACGCTGTCATGGGTGTCTTCACCCGCAGACGTGGGTAACAGAGTACCACGTCAAGTCACGCAGACTCAAACTGCATACCGGCTGGTAGATACCAAGCCTTGGTCGATGATGATGACCAGGAGCCCAAGCAGGGTAGCTGCTCGCGCCAGCGGAGTCTGCTGGCGCAATGACTCGGCGCTGCAGGGCGGCGCGAGGTTAGGCGACCGGCTGGCGCCTGGCCCGCCGGGGTTCGAATCGTAAGTGGGGGAGGGGGTCGGAAGTGCGTTTCCTCCCGACGTATCTGGCATGAGACTTGCTTCGTGATAGAAGCTGGTGTAGTGGCTGCATGGTGCAACCACTCACGAAGTATTGCACTGGACCTGATGCATCGGTACTCAGGTCCCAAGGTCACGGTTACCGATGGCCAGCAACGTTGGCAGAGGTCGCTGCCGCTGCTGGGCCGAAGATGGCGCACGTAGACGCGCTACCGGAAGGCTACCTCGGTCTGGCGAGGGCATGGCAGCTAGTCTGCGACTTGGTCCACAGACGAAGGCGTGTGCGCTTACGCGACGCTATGCCGCAGCCCGATGCTGTTGCTACACTGGGTGCGGTACGTCTACCGACCAGATAGCCACCAGCACCATACCATAGCTCAAGGCTGTTGCTACGCTGGGTGTGGCACGTCTGCCGGCCAGGTAGTCAACGGCAAGGAGCTTGGGTGTAGCCCACGAAGGGTGAGCCCGAACGTGTTGCCTTTACGGGCATTCACACTTAGCGCGGTGCATGCTGCGCTTGTACGGCGCGAAGCCATACGCGTGCACGTGGCACATATGTCTGTGATGTAGACGCGGTGCCGTCGGCCCGTGACGCTCACTGTGCGCGAGGTACTCGCAGTGCACGCAGCACTTGCCGTGCTCGTGGCACTCGATGTGCACGAGGCACTAATGGCAGTCGTGGTACACGAGGTGCACGACGTGCCTTTGGTGTACGGGGTGGTGCCCCTGTACACCGTCATGTCCTGGTATGGACTGTGCGTTATGCTGCATAGCACGCACACTGACCTGGTGTTGGTCGCCGCGATGCATGAAGCAACCGCTGGCGGTAGAGGGCAAGACACCTCACACCATGATGAAGTACCATTGCGGTACCTTGGTGTCGACGGAAGACACCTCTGCGTCGATGGCACGATGGCCATGAGGCGGGGCAGGACATTGAACAAGTCCGCCGCGTTGCTCGGAATGATGAGCGGGCTGTGAGCAACAGCCGTGGTCCCCGGGACTATGCCCCCCCCCCGATGCTTCTTGGCTTTGGTCAACGTTTGACCTCTGCCCATGGGTCGTGCCGACGAACTCAGACGACCGACACACTGCGCCGTGACGAGCGGGGTCTGTCGGACCGCTGTCATGGCCGGAGACGAGCAGCACAGCTCTCGCTATGGTTACGCTACGCGCTGACCTAAAAGGTGCCGTCCCTCGCGGGAGGCACCGCAGCACGAACGTGCCAGCGGGGCCCGTGGGCCATGCGACGCCAACTGCTGGTGGTCTACGAGGGACACCGCAAGTTTGGAGGCATATGCATCCCGTGCCGAGGCACTCTGCGCCTGCTAGCGCTGTGGATACAGCCACTAGAGGCATCGGCTTTGCGGCCAACATCGCCGAGGGCAGGGGGGTGCAGCGCGGGATGCCCGCTGCGGGCACAAGTCACTGTGGGTGTGACAATGAGGCGCGCCAGCCTTGCGGCGGCGGCGCCCGAGAATCCGACCTGTGGGTGTTCGGATTCTCTCGAAGCTGATTGGAGAATCAGATGTGATTCTCAGATAAGTGGGGGGTGATGTAACGGGGTACAATCAAGTGTACCCATTACATGAAGAGTGACGGGTGTCACTCTCCCGAGTACGTGGTACACAGTACCAGTAGCTCCGCAAGCCAACCATTTGAGTTTGTGTGGGCTTTTGTATAGTTAACTTGTAGTTTGTATTACGACCAAGTTAACCTCTACCAAAATACAGTCAGTCTGATAACCTACTCCTTTGTAGCAAACCGTTCCCTTTGAGGCCGGGAACTGGTGAACTGCTGTTCACCTGGATAGTAATATCCGCACGCACTTCCTCTGTGCATTGTGCTGTGTGACCCCGTCACAGGGACCGGAGGGTGTGAGGCCGCGGGGCCGGGGTGAAGAAGGTCGCGGGGGCCAAGGAGAAGAAGCTGAAGAAGGCCGTTGGAGCCAAGGCGAGGAAGGCTGTTGGTAGGCCGCTCGCAGAGGCCTTCCAAGCAGCCATGGCCGAGGCTGCTGCAGAGTCTTTGGAGACAGCGCCCGCAGCAAGCAGTGTTGCGCCGTGCGGCTCGCGCAGTGGCGCTGGAGCGCCGGCTAGTACGTCGAGGGAGCATGTAGCCGCTGCCACGGCACATTGTTCCTTAGTGACATGGGTTCAACATCTCGCACCACCGACCAGGCTGCAGCTCAGATCTTGACGGAACTTGCAAGCCGTGCTATCGATGGAGGCGTGCATCACCCGGAGGTCAAGAGGGCTGCTGGTAGGACTGGCAAGGCATCTCGTAGAGCCCTTTCTGCTGCAACCGACCAGCGTGTCACGGCACGTACGCATGTACCTCGTGCCACCAAACAGGATGCAGCCACCGAATGTGAAGATACAGTCATCGAACTGGGCACTTCTGACACCAATGAATCGTCAGATGGTGACGTGTATTACCCAATATACGGTAAGTATTACAGCAGCAAGCAGGTGACGGTAACAGCGGACTATGCAACTACGAAAACGACCTGGAGGGTGGCCCGTATCAACGACCGCCGCAATTCTTCTCGTGGCCCAGAGTACCGTGTGCTTTATCTCAGCCGTCTGCTCATCAACCGCCGCTACTATCAACGCACTTGGGAGCCTCTTCAGCAGCTTTTGGACGATGGCTTCGCCAACGAGGTGGACCTCGTGGATCGCTGGAAGGAGTCCGGCGAGGAGAAGTTCAAGGACTTCTGACCTAAGGACGACCTCGGCAAGCGTGCAATTGGTGCTGACGCTCGTGGCCTGTGCATGTTCAATGCACTGAAGCGTGCGGCCGAGCTTGCCGGACGCCCGGACATCGTCACGCAAGATGATATCGACACGTTTGTGGCTGTGAACTCCGAGAGCATGGAGTGGACCTCACAGTGGGCACTTCGTGGAAGGTGGTGCTACGGTTCCTGCGCCGCCTGAGGGATGCTGGCAGGGATTTCATCTTCAAGGCCATCGACAAGGACAACTTCACTATTGCTGGACGGCGTGGAGCACGTGTGCTAGAGGAAGTGCCTCTCTACAACGGACTTTACTTCGTTGTTGCCTACAACCACAGTCTAGTGAGGCACGCGTTCGTGCTAAGCGTCCAAGGGAAGAAGGGCAAGGTTCGGCGCATCTACGACTTGAAGGAGCCCAAGCCAGTGGCGTCGGCGATGGGCTGGATTACCTTCGTGGCCTGTATTCGACCTTTCATTGTCTTTAAGAAAAAGTATGTAATTAGGAACCACGTTTGCCATATCGAAAATACATTTCCCATTAAAAAAATGTGACTGCATGGATATGGGGAGTCATATGCCTAATATAATTCGGTACAAAACCAGGGAAACCTCAGTGAGGAGAAATCCTTTGAGCGAACAAAAGATAAAACCCAGTGGGAAAAACTAAAGGAACGCAATTGAGTAGGCACGCGTCATGCATTAGTGTTATTCTCGTACACTATACGGAATGGCTAATTAAGCGTCAAGGGATTCCATCCTGAGCTTTGCCCTTAGTTCTCTAAACTGAGGCGTGTCTAAAGCTTTAGTAAATATATCAGCAACCATAGTTTTGGTGTTGCAGTAGGCGACGGAGAACTCGTGTCGCTCGACTTTTTCCTGCACAAAACAGTATCGAACATGAATGTGCTTCGACCTCCCGTGTAGTTCTGGGTTATAGCAGATCTTAATGCAGCTTGTTGTCCTCATGAATATCATGGGCTTGCGTTGTGCCAAAAACTAACTCTTTGAGGAGCAGTTTGAGGAAAATCATCTCTTGCATGCAGTGACACAGAGCGATGTACTCTGCCTCTGTTGTAGAGAGAACCACTGTGTGGTGTTTGCGCGAAAGCCATGAGATAGGACTGTTTGCAAGCATAGTCACATATCCACCAACAGACCGCCTCGTGTCGGGGCAGTTGGCATAATCAGAGTCGCTGTAAGCTGTCAGCTTGTCGCCCAGGTTCTCGGGTGTGACATCGAGAGATCCACCAAGGAGAAGACCGTAGTCCTTAGTCCCTAATAGATATTTCAGACCTCTAACTACAGCTTTCCAGTGCTCCATTCCCGGATTAGCAAGGAATTGGCTGACCTCACGCATGTAGAATGCCAGGTCGGGTCTCGTGCCTACCATGAGATACATGATACTGCCAACGGCTTCGCGATACGGAATATCTTTCATCGCATCTTTCTCTGCCTCACTACTAGGCTGGCTGCTTACGGAGAGTTTAACGTTCCGCTCAGCTGGGGTTGCTATCGGGTACGGAATGTAGTCGCTGAAGCGGTCAAGGACCTTCGTAGCGTATTTGTGTTGGTGGATAAAGATCGTTCGGTTCTTACGGTCACGTTGAATAGACCAGCCGAGTAAGTACTTCACCTCCCCTAAATCTGTCATGGAGAACCGCTGTTTCAGGGCGGATTTCAACTCGTTTACGAGGGCTGGTGTAGGCGCAATGATCAGGAGGTCGTCAACATACACAGCAATGTAGCATGTAACACCATTAACCGTGCGTTTGAACACACAGCTGTCCTTAATGAGTTTGTGGAACCCTAGGCTTTCAAGGAAGGCAGACAACGTTTTGTACCATACACGGGGAGCTTGTTTCAATCCGTACAGGCTCTTTAGGTGCTCCTTACCGGGGACTTTAAAACCTTCCGGCTGAGCCATGTAGATCTCCTCCTCTAGCAAACCATTGAGAAATGCTGTCTTTACGTCCATTTGGTGGATTTCAAGATCAAGCAACGCTGCAATGGTAAGAAGGAGTCTGAGTACCTCCATCCTGATAACAGGTGAGAAAATCTCGTTGTAATCAATGCCATGTTCCTGAAGGAATCCTTTGATCACTAGACGCGCTTTGAAGCGGTCAATTTCGCCTGTGCCGGTATATTTCACTACAAAGACCCATCGGCAGGTTAAAATCTTCCTTGCTTTCGGAGGGGGTACCAGAACCCAAGTTTGGTTGTCCATGTGGGACTTGTATTCTGCTTTAGCTGCTTTACGCCACCGATTAGCGTGAGCCGATTTCATAGCCGCTCGATACGTGGTGGGCTCGGTTACATACCGAATAGCTAGCAGTGTATAGAGCAGTTTTCTACGTTGCTGCTGCTCCTGTAAATCTTCCTCAGAATTGAGGGTTTCTTCCGTGTCATCCGTCATGACACGGGGACGCTTAGGAGTAGGAGGCGATGGAGTTTCAGAGGATGTCTCTGTTCGGAACGAGTAATGCATTTGTGTCCTGTCGAGCACCTCCCTAAGGGGTGGTAGCTGACGCTTACGACAGAGGGCACGACAAACGTCTGCGCGTGGGCGGGCACAAGTATCTTGACAATCAACCAAAACAACTAAGCAGCCGCTGCCCTCATTCGGTTACCTTCTGGACGGCCAAGACCCAACCCAGCGCCACGACGGCGCTCGAGAGCATGAAGTAATTCACGACCACCAAGGCGTGCACGCCCTGCAGCTTGCGGACCGTACGAACCCCTGGCCCCAATGGCGTCCCAGCCTGGGACTCCCAGGACGCTGTGGACGTATCAGCCTGGGGCTCCCAGGAGCTCTCGAACGCGAAGAGGAAGCTCGGACGCACGACGAACACGAGCCCGCTGAAGGCGAACATGGCAGAGAGCAAGCTCACGGGGTCAATGCGCTCGTTCAGGAAGCAGGCACCCTTCACGTTGTACGGCAGCGATTAAGAGTGCAGTAAGGCGTGGTATCACCTCAATGACCATCGACTTGAATAGGTTCAACTTCACTTACCGCAAAGAAGGTCAGGACGGGCGAGATGAAGACGATGGCGCTAGCGTCCACCAGCACCATTTGAGAGATGGCGTAGAACGCGAAGGCGATCGAGGAGAAGCCCGCGAGGCAGCGACGTGCCAGCATCATGCGCTGGTCGGGCGCGACGTCGAGATTGTTGAAGGGTGTAGTGGGGCGACGGTCTTCACGACCTGACCACGCATCGGGCTGGCGACCGAGGACGGTCCCAGTCGAGGCTGGTGTAAGATAAGACTCGGAGGTTGGTAGGCCCTAGGAGGATAGCTACATAGTGCAGTGGAGGTATCTGACGAAGTCCCTGCCGATCTCAATCTGGAAATTGCAGACTAGAATACAAGCAAGAGTTTACAGGAAGCACCAGCTTCCCTAGCGAGTGTGTTCATTCGGATCCCACTACAAAGTTAACTTTAGTGTCGCAGGAAACGACATGGGCAACGGAACGACGTCGACGGATGCGACTCCTGCTGCCGCTGCGACTCAGCAGGCGGCTAGCACGGGTCAAACCCTGCGGCCAAGGAAGACTGCGGCTGCATCAACGAAGCAAGCAGGCCAAGCCAGGCCAACAAGAGGCACGGGCAAGAAACCTGTGCGCACTGCTGGCGCGAGTAGAGCTCGGCAGCAGGAGACCGAGTCGGTCCCGGTGGGGTTGGGAGGTGGCTCGATGCCGCTGACGACCAGTCAGGAGACCGACTACCCTTCGGTCGCGCACCTGATCTTTATGGTCACTGCAGCGCCGAAGGTCGAAGACATCTCGCACGAAGCGCTCACCCGCTGGGTCGACCTTCGGCTCGAGTACGAAGAGATCATGAGGGCGCGCTGTGTGTCGTCTGGGGAAGACCTGAAGTCTGTCATGCGTTCGATACGCAACTCGTTCGACGACAGCTTTCTCGAGACACTGTGTGAGACGAAATGGGATAAGGCAAAGGACGAGCTCACCGATGAGTTCATCTGGGAGTGGATCATGGCGACCGTACGGAACTTCAAGAACAACGCTTTGCCGAACATCGACGAGTTGTTTCAGGCTCAGCTAGTGATGTCAATAACCAAGTCTGATATTGATGCGAGAGTCATGGACTATTTCCACCTGTAGTGAAAACGAATGGGCTGACAGCTTTGTTCTCAGAGGAGGACGGGACCAAGAAGAAGTGCAAAGTCCTGCTCAACTGTCTACCTCGAGAATTGAAAATCCGAGTGAAGAACGAGATTGATTTCGCTTGCCTGCCGCAAAGTCCAGTGTGTCGCTGCTGTTCAAGCTCGTGAGTGAGAAGGCGTTGGAAATTGATCGCGAGGACAAAGCCCACACGAAGAACAAGAGGCGTCCTCACACGCAGAAGTCAAAGCAGGAATTGGCCTCGAGGCCCCCGAAGCGTGGCAGAATCGTACGTGAGAAGCAAAACCCTCGCGAATCTCAGGCACCGGCAACTCAGAGGACTATATTTCGGACCGACTCGGAGCAAGCCCAGCCAGGACCTAAGGGTGGGTGTTGGACCTGTGGTGGCCAGCACCGTCAAGCCGATTGCCCCGACAAGCCAGCCGACGATTCCGCTGGAACACGGAGGCAGAAACCGGGGAGGAATCGTAAAACTAAGACGAATTAGAGAGTGCCTACCCGATCGAGTGGGCTAAGCCCGATTACTGCGTGTTGGTGGTGTTGTGGATGTGGAGTACTGTCCGGACTCGGGAGCGGAGACATCGTGTATCAGCTCTACGACTGAAGAAAATTGGTGAGCGAGGTGTGCATTTTGAAGTAATGACATTGAGCGCTCGAGTGCAAGCTGCCGGGTGGAGGGAAGGCGTGGGCGCGCGAAATGACGAAACTAAGGCTCTCGCTCATGACCGCCGCTGGCCCTGTCAATATTCTGAAACCAGTGCCGTGTTTGATTCTCGATAATAAGGAATATGTTTTTTACTTGGAGATGATGTGCTGAAGGCTTTAGGAATCGATGTCGAGCGCCAATTGGAGCTGCTAGCCACACCAAGAGGCGACGACGGAGATGACGATGAAGAAGTTCCTGAAGTAGCAGCAGGAGACAATGACGCGGAGGCGATTCGACAGGCAGTAGAGGCAATGATCCAGCGGGCTCTAGATGAAGGCTTCCCTGCTGACAAAGTCGAGCGACTGCGCACGATTGTGTACGCCTATGATGTCTGGAGGCTAGTTCTCGGCGATGATCCACCTGCAAATGTGGAACCGATGAAAATTAGGATGAAGACGGGCTGTAGGCCGTACAAGGCGAAGGCTCGCAAGTATGCGCCCGAATACCAGGCATTTCTTGAGTCGTTCAACGAGATGTTGGTGAAGCTCGGGTGGGTTTACGAGAACCCGACCAGCCGTTGGGCGTGTGCCGCGCTACCTGTTCGGTAGCGTGGCGCTGGTGATTTTAGGCAGACTGTGGACTACAAACCTTTCAACGCACAGACTGAGCCTATGGCTGGACTAATGCCCAACTTGCACGTTGATTTGGAGAATGTGAGAGGCAGCAACCACTTTGGGTTGTTCGACTTCATTAAAGGCTACTGGCAGCTCCCACTTGCCAAAGAGTGCCAGGAGCTGTTGTCCTACATGACCCACCGCAAGATCTACACCCCAACGCGAGTACCTCAAGGCAGTGCCGACGCTGCGTTGTACACGCATTTGTTAGTCTGGATAGACGACTTACTGTTGTACGCCGCCGACATTGACACATACCTGGACAAGTTGCAGGAAATGCTTGAGTTGACGGCCAAGTTCGGCTTCAAGTTGAGTGTTTCGAAGTCCTGCGTATATAAACGTGAGGTGAAGTGGTGTGGGAAAGTGATCAACGGTGAAGGTGTGAAGCATGACTCAGAGCGCATCCAGGCCTTACGGTCGATGCCCTACCCGACGAATGCCGGAGAACTCCAGCAGTTCTTGTGCTCTACAAACTGGATGAGAGACAGTATCGTAGACTATGCGCGATTAGCACGTCCTCTGCAGGACACACTGGACAAAGCGATGGCTCAGGCGTCAAGGCGAACGAAGCGTGCGGCTGCGGGTATACCGATCGCACTTACCGAGCAGGAATGCGCGGCGTACGACGCGATGAAGCAGACTCTGGCTGATGAAGCCACCCTCGCGTTCCCAAAGCCGGATGCAGAGATGGTTTTGCTGACGGACGCCTCAGACGTTAGATGGTCAGTGGTCGTGACGCGAGTGGCCAGTTGGAAAAGTGATGCAAACATCCAGGACCAGCAACATGAGCTGCTTATCTGTCTTGGTGGTACTTTTACTGGAGCACAAAAGAATTGGAGTGTTATCGAAAAAGAGGCCTACCCTATCATCATGGCGTGCGACAAGCTGAGCTGCTTGTTGTTGCGGCCGGGTGGCTTTCGCATGTACTGTGACCACCGCAACCTGATTCATGTGTTCGCGCCGGGTCGTGAGGTGAAGAAGCATGTTCGTGGCAAGCTGTTGAGATGGTTAATGAAATTGATGAAGTTTCGGTATACTATTGAGCATATCGATGAAGCACACAACGTGTGGGCTGATATGGTGTCTCGATGGGCAGGCACACGGCCCGCACCAAGTGTGGCAGTGAAGCGCGTCACACTGCGCCGCCAGCGTGATGAGGACCAGTCCGGTGACTCAACTAGTCGACCGAACGACCGACCGCGAATTCGGCCGTTCAGTGACGGCAACTTTGAATGGCCAACAGTTGAAGAGCTGCAAGAAGCTCAGCAGCGGCACATTGTCGACCGGCCACAAGGCCTGACACGGAGTGATGCTGGTCTACTGTGTGGTAATGAACGGATTTGGGTTCCTAGTGCCGAAACGAGTCTGGTTCAACGACTTTTAGTGATCGCCCACTGTGGGGCGCAGGGTCACAGAGGCCGCGAAGCGCTGATGAACGTGGTGAACCGCAGGTTCCTCATACGGAATCTCTCCGCCCTAGTCAAGACTTTCCTTGCTGGCTGCCTCATGTGCCAGCATGTAAAAGGAGGGAAGGTGGTGATGAGACCATGGGCAGAGACATTCCGATGCAGCGAACGAAATGGAGCTTTACATTGGGACTACCTACATCTTGGTGAATCATTTGGCGCCTTGCAGTACCTACTGGTGCTAAAGGATGGTGCGACCCACTTTTGCGAGCTAGTGCTGTGTGCTGTACCTACAGCAGCGGTGACAGCTGAAGCAATCCTCGACTGGCACAGCCGCTACGGAGTACCTCGGGTATGGATAAGCGACCAGGGCACCCACTTCAAGAACCAAGTGGTGGCCGAGGTGGCGAGACGTCTTACCTGTGGGCAGCGCTTTACGGTGGCATACAGTCCGTGGACTAATGGGTCGATTGAGAGAGTCAACAGGGACATTGTCCAGGTCCTCCGCGCTATGTGCCTCGAAGCCAAGGTGGACATTCGTGATTGGGTACATTTTGTTCCGGTGGTACAGTCGAACTTAAACCACACCCCAGTTCCGTCGCTAGCCAACAAAGCACCAGTGGAGTTGTTCTGCGTCCTACCGGCTGCATCCCCGCTTGACTTTGGATTCAACGGCGAGGACAACACATTCCTAGAGCTCGGTACAACTAGCAGCCAGATAGAAGCAAAGCTGGCACTGCTGCGTGCCAGGGTGCAAGAGATGCACAAGCGAGTGCAAGTGGCAAGGTCGGAACAAACAAAACGGAATCAGAAAACGCAAAGAGGAGCCAGAGGCGAATTTCGATGTCGGTGACTACGTGTTGCGGTCTCGAGTGGACCAAAAACAGAATGACAAGCTGCTTGTCACTTGGATAGGCCCGTATCAGATCGTTGGTGCAGACGAACACTCTTTCCGCGTGCAGCACCTAGTGACTGGCGCGGAATCAGACGTACATGCGTCACGCCTTAAGTTCTACGCGGACGCGTCCTTCGAGGTAACGGAGGAGATCCGTGAGCACGTGGCTGCTCAAGGCATTGTCCTGACCGTTGCTGAGCTGAAGGAGCACCGGTGAAACTCGGCGAAGAGGTGTTACGAGATACTGGTTGGGTGGAAGGGTCTGGAGCCAATTGAGGAATCGTGGGAGTCGCTCAGTTCACTGTACAAGGATATCCCTGTGATGGTGAGGCAGTACGTAGCCGCGACGAGTGAAGTGCAACTACATGTAACATTGGAGCAACTTTAGCACTTCAATTTGAAGTGACTATGTTGCGGGTACATGGTACCATTCCATTGGTACACTGGTACATTCGAGCAACGTTACCAACAAATCCCAGGCTGGCCACTTCCAAACGCGTGGTCAAGTCTTGGTGGGGCGGTGTAGTGGGGCGACGGTCTTCACGACCTGACCACGCATCGGGCTGGCGACCGAGGACGGTCCCAGTCGAGGCTGGTGTAAGTTAAGACTCGGAGGTTGGTAGGCCCTAGGAGGATAGCTACATAGTGCAGTGGAGGTATCTGACGAAGTCCCTGCCGATCTCAATCTGGAAATTGCAGACTAGAATACAAGCAAGAGTTTACAGGAAGCACCAGCTTCCCTAGCGAGTGTGTTCGTTCGGATCCCACTACAAAGGGCCAACAATGGACTCCATGATTGCGTCAAGCATTGTAGGTACTCGTCGAGCACTCACAATGCTCTGCTCGGTGGGTTCGTGCTCATTCTCCAAAAAGCCACCAATGGCGCACTGGAGGCGCCTCAAACAACGCATCACGGCCGCACTGGGTGAGGTGCGGTCAATCACCTTCATCGTCCTCGACGACGACCGTGCCTGTCTTCGCGTGCGCTGTTGGCTCGGACGTGCGAAGGAGCCCGTGATCATGCGCACTGTCAGCCTCCTGAGCCACGCCAAGATCGCAGCCACCCTCCCGACGCTGCAGGAGTGTATCCAGCAGCTGTGGCAGTTTGTGCATGACGAGCATGAGCAGTTCCTCGCCGTCCCCGGCGCCCTGGAGCCCTGGAGCGTCGCCAGCGAGAAGACCGACGGCAGCAAGTCCAGCAACGAGGCCAAGAGCAGGACGACGCAGTGCGCGAGGAGCAGGATCGAGTGAGAGAGCCCACTTTCGACTGGGCGGTGCTACTGGACGTACTGAGCCATTTGGTTGTGCACTCACTGTTGGGCTCGTTCCAGGCGTTCGCCCCGCTCTCACAGCGCCTGAGCGCGGAGACGCAGCAGAGCATGGACGCCATCTTCGGTGACCCGTATCGCGCGGTGCTACAGCGCGGGGAACTCCTGGAGGTCGACGAGGCAGCGCTGCAGCCCAACTTGCGCTTTCGGTCCTGGGCTGCGATGGTCGAGTGGAGCAACCTTCGCCCCATTGAGAACACGCGGCAAGATGTCCGCCAGCGTCTCAACCGTGCTGACTGGGGCGTTGATCCTCAAGCGCAGCAGCTCAAGATCGACGCGTACAACACGCGTGTGCAGCGCAAGCAGCGCGAAAAGGAAGTTCGAGCCCAGATAAAAACTGTGAACGCGCGTTTGAAGGCATCACGCGTGACGCGTTCACAGGAGAGCGCCCTCGAGCAGGAGAAGTCCCAGCTCAGGAACGAGATGAAGCTGCTCGAGTCCGAGGACGCGTTGCTCATCAGGCGCGTCCGCCAGTTTCGACTGAAGCCGACGCCCGAGCAGGCCCGGCAGCTCAAGAAACGATGGACGCGTGCCGGTACACGCACAACAAGTGCGTCGAGTACCGGCACAAGCTCTTCGTAGCGCGGCCCAGGCAGCGCCAAGTCCCGCTGGAGTACCCGGAAGACAAGGGGCCGGTCCCCGAGTGGGTGCTGGAGACACCCTCCTCCGTGAGAAAGCACGCCGTCAGTAACTTCGTGTCCGCCACCAGCGCGGCCTTCACGAACCTGGCGCGCGGCCACATCACCCACATCAACATGCACTTCAAGTCCAGACGGGAGAGCAACTACTTGACAATATACGCAGACGCGGAGAAGACTCACCTCAACTCAGCACGACACCGCAGGGGCACGCGGCACTTTGGTCCAGCGCCACTTCCCCGGGACCGCAAGCTTAAGAAGGTGGATCAGTACCTAACGATCCCCTCCGTACCCAACATCCTCATCAGAGCGGACGAGGGCACGGAGATCGAGGGCGAGGTGCGCATCGTGTACGTACACGGATACTGGTACGCCCAAATGCCGCACGTGGTCGCTCCTCTGCCCGTGGATGACAAAGGGCGCTGCACAGCGGGGGACCCGGGTCTCAAGGGGTTCCTGACCACGATGGACCTGCAGGGCAACATCGCCCACCTTGGCCGCGCCAACTGGGAGCGGCTGTTGAAGCTGAAGGTCCGCCAGCGAGCGGCCCAACGCCGAATGAGCAACCGCAAGCGCCACCACCTCGGCCGCCACACAGGCCGAGAGTGGAAGCAGTTCGTGGCAGCTCGCCGCGAGTTCTACACGGTGACGGCCAAGCTGGACAACTACGTGAAGGACCTTCACTGCAAGGCAGCTTCGCACCTGTGCCACAACACGGACGTGATACTGCTGCCCAAATTCTCGACTTCGTCCATGTTGCGCTCAAGTGCCCCGTGGACACACGCGTTTAACGACCAGATGAACACGCTGGCCCACCACCAGTTCCGGCAGAAACTGCAGGCGAAGTGCGAGGTGGCGGGCAGGGCCATGGTGATGTGCTCTGAGATGTACTCGAGCCGCACCTGTGGCCGCTGCTGCCGCCTCCACCTCACACGGCGTAACGAAGATGTATTCCGGTGCCCGCACTACGGCTTCCTGGCTGGACGAGACGAGAACGCGGCCTATAACATTCTGCGGTTCGTGTGCGCGGGCTCTCTCTCGGTTTACGCAGTGAATGGTGTAGCGCAGTTGTGGTTGGTAGTGTAGTTCTCGGGTTATGGGTTTTCCAGATCGACGAGTTTTTACGCACACGGCTCGAGAACCAGTAATCTCGAGCCACAACAGCGCGACGGAGCCAAGGAACGCGGCCACAGTCGCCCAGTTTGATTTTAGCCTAGAACTAGAGCCGTCGAACCTCAGACTATCCGCCTTCGCTTCACGGATGACCTCTCCGCGTTTCTTCTATCTCAAGCCGCACACGCTCGACACGGCGGGTTTCGCGTACGGCTCAGGACAGCCCTCGGACGACCAAGACGTGGAAGTCCATCGCGTTGCGAGCGGGCGCTGGAGTGAATGAACGCCTACTCGGTAGCGCTGCCCCTGGCTTCTGTAAGCCGACGAGAGGTGGCGCCTCGGAACGTACGTCGGGAGCTGTGTCTGCGTCGCGCATCGTTGGGATGGTGGCGCAGAAAGATGGACATATGGTGTGGTGACCGGCTACCGCTGGAGCTCTGACTCGAATCGGTGCGTCCTTCACGTCGCCTCCTCTGCCGGCAACTTCGACTTTGCCTACAACAAGGAGCTGCTGCAGGATTTAGCGGTCGAGCCGTATGCGATGCGCCTGTGCGAGGGGCAGTCTACGCTCTCTTCGATGCCCGCGGAGATGCGGGCGATTCATGAGGCAGCCTACTCAGCGTTCCATGCCCGTGGGCGGGGAGCACTACGCTCGCTCGAAGCAGTCTGTAACAAGATCGGAGTGGCTGCTGTCGAAGAAACCGGTGTGGTGCCAGTGTTCGACATCAGTAGTATGCAAGTGGCCCAAGTCTCTGCGAAGCATGTGCTCAATTTTGTATTCTATCATGATGGAAACCGCCGACCGCCCCCTTCCGTCAAGCTTGGAGACTCTATTTTTGATGATCCGGCTGGCCAAACACCGGCCGCGACAGCAACGGCTCGCGTCAGTTCGACTCCGGCAGTCACTACTGGGGCAGACCCGCTACAAGACTCCGACGATGATAGCGACAACAGCGTGGAAGAAATAGGGGAGGCGGCGGTGCCGAGCCAGACCAGAGCCTCGACGAAGCGTGGCCGCGAGGGCGACTTGACAGATTTCGGTCTACAGGCGCACGCTCGACCGCGCCTCCGCGACGATGAAGCCTCCTCCGCGCAGCTACTCCTGGATGGTGTACCTGGTGAGACTGGTGGAAAAGGTCAATTTCGGGCGTCGCGTCTCCAGAACACGGTGCATCAAGCCATTGTCAACGGTACGTACTCCTACATGAGTTCTCAGTTGTTTGTTGAGCACGTGCAGGCCCAGATCGAACTGCTAGCGTTCCTCCTCCACCCTGCCGTGCTAAAAGGCTTCTTCGCGTGGGAGTTCGGGGCTCGTGGACTCTCGCTCCTGCACTTTGGGCGGATCGATGCAACGTGCCGACGTCAGCTGCTTGCCAAGTACGACATGTGCGACTTTTCAAGCAGCAATGTGAAGGAAGGTATGGATCTTGGACACGAAGCTCGGACGAAGCGGAGGGAGGGACGTCGCAGACGGCGGGACCGGAGCGAAGGCACTTGAGGGGTAGAATGAAGATTCGAAAGTGATTGAATTGTTGGAGCTTACACCCTACTGTTATAGACACGCGACCCTGCGTCCTATCACCTAGTGCATCCAATCAACCATCACTCACCGGTGTTCATCCAATCATCCTACTCGTCTAATCATCGGTGGCGTAAACAACTTACCGTAATCACCATAATCAACGTGGGTTCGGATTGGACCGGTTCGGGTTAACCGGTTAATGGGTACAACTGGTACACAGTACCCAAGACCAGCAACCCTCAATACGCCCCCTCAATGCGAAGTCCCACGAATGCCGAGAGCCACCGTCAGATCCGTGTGGCGTGGTCCCGCAAGCGCCTTCGTCATGGTGTCCGCTAGCATCACAGAAGTCCCGCAGTACTGGAGCTTGACTTCGCCGCGCTTGACTTCATCGCGGATGTGGTGGTACTTGATGTCGATGTGCTTGGCCCGACCGTGGTTCACTGGGTTCTTCGTCATCTTGATGCACGACTGGTTGTCTTCGCGGATGATGAGTTCGGGTCCAGTCTCATTAGCGGCCGCCAGAATCTCGCATAGCAGGCGATGAATCCACTTGCCTTCTTGGATAGCCAGACTCAGCGCGATGTACTCCGCTTCATTGCTTCTTGCTTCCCCAGCTCACAGGCGCACTCATGAGCATGAACGTGTAGCCTGAAGTGGACTTGCGGTCGGCGAGGTCGCCGGCCCAGTCCGCGTCCGAGTAGCCACGAAAGTCGATCTTGTCGCCCGGCTTGAAGCAGATCCCATGCGTCTTGGTGCCTTGCAGGTAGCGAAAGATACGCTTGACCGCAACCCAGTGTTCCTCTTGGGGGTTCTCCATGAAGCGCGATACATAGCCAACGGCGTACGCGATGTCTGGGCGCGTGGCGGTCATCAGGTGCATCAGAGCACCAACAGCTTCGCGAAACGGAGCGTTCACCTTGGTCGCCGCGTCGCTTGGAACCAGTCGAGTGCTCATGTTCACCCGACTCACCACGGCCTTGCACTCGTCCATGGCGAAGCGCTTCAGGATGTCGTCCACGTATCGCCGCTGGCACATGGTCACGCTGCCGTCCGGGCCGTCCACCAACTCGATCCCAAGAACAAACGCGCACTTGCCGCTGTCGGTCATCTCGAAGCGCGTCTTCAGGTCGGTCTTCGTGCGTGCGATCAGCTCGGGCGAACTCCCGGTAATCAGTACGTCATCCACGTACACCAGTACAAGCACGCAGTGACCGTCCACCACCTTGATGTAGAGGCACGGATCGAAGGCCGACACTTGGAAGCCGATGGAGCCCACGAACTCGTCGAAGGTCTCGTTCCACACTCGCGAAGCTTGCTTGAGACCGTAGATGGCCTTCACCAGTTCCAGGCAGTCGAAGTCACCATCCAGTTCGACGCCTTCCGGAACCACGCAGAAGACCACCTCCTTCATTATCCCGTACAGGAATGCTGTCACCACGTCGAGTTGGTCGAGGGGCCAGCCAAAATACTTAGCAATCGCGATCACCATGCGCAGCGTCACATACTTGACCACGGGCGAGAACGTCTCGGTGTAGTCAATGCCGTACTTCTGCTTGAAGCCCTTGGCCACGAGGCGCGCCTTGTACTTCTCGATCGAGCCGTCCGCTTTGCGCTTGATCTTGAACACCCACTTGGTATCGATGGCGCGTTGTCCGTTAGGCAACTTGGCAGCTCGAAACACACCACGCAGTCGCATCGACTTGAGCTCCGCGCGGATCCCTTTGCGCCAGTGCACTTGATCAGGACCGTTCACAGCCTCTTGGAACGTCGTCGGCTCCGATAGATCGGCTGCTGCTTCCACAGCGTTGGCACTGGCACGCCAAAACACTGGAGGCGTCGAGTCGTCGTCTTCATCTTGGTCCCCAGACTTTTCTTCTTCGTCGGGGTCGGCTCGGCGCGAGGAGGATACGTCCGGCGCACTTGCTTCATCTAAGCCAGCTCGGTGGCGAACGGGGCGCGATCTTCTGGCAGTGTTGTCGTCGCCACTCGGTCGGTACTTGCGCTGCTCTTGTCCAGCTTGGCGTGATGCAGCATGCTGCGGCCAATCGTGATGATGGTCCGGATGGCGCGTTCTGCCGTGCCGTTGGTCTGGTGCGCGTACGGAACCGTGGTTTGCTGCTCGATGCCTTCGACTTCGTAGAAGGCCTTGAGCGAGTTGGTCGCGAACTCATGGGCTCCGTCGTGCCGCACAAACTTGGCCTTCTTGCCGAACTGCGTCTGCACCTTCGTGACGTACATCTTGATGCAGTCCTCGTTCTCCGACTTGGCACGCAGGCAGAACCCCTTCATGCATCCGCTGGCTTCGTCCACGATCAGCAGCAGATACTTGCTGCCACCCAGTGACTCTTCTTCCATGGGGCCGCACACGTCGAAGTGGAGCAGCTCGAACGTGTCGTAGTGACGCTTGTCACGGTTGCTTGGGAACGGCTTCTGGACCATTTTCCCTTTCTGGCAGCCGCGACACACGCTTGGTCCACTCGACTTGGAAGGTGCCTTCGCGTCCTTGATGATGTTGTTGTCGACCATCTTGCGAAGCACCTCCACCGGAGCGTGACCCATACGCGCGTGTAAGTCGACCGTCTTCCCACTGGTCGCCGCATTCGCCGATCGCTGAGGCGTCTGGAGCCAGTAGAGTCCATCCACGAGGTTTGCCGTCGCCACCACTTGCTTCGAGCCCTTGTGCGCAATCTACATCTTGGTGCTGTCGAACACGACTTGGAACAGACCACTCTTGTTGATCTGTGGCACCGAAAGCAGATTTTTACTCATGCTTGGGACGTACAGCGCGTTCTTGATCTCGATGTCGCGCTCGTCGCCGTTGGGCAGAACCACTCGTTCCACGATGGTCCCCACACCCATGATGGCCGCCTTGTTGCCGTCGGCCACCGAAAGTTCGCCTTCACCCCGCTCAATCAAATGAGCGAACTTGGCCTTGTCGTTGCAGATGTGGTGCGTTGCGCCGCTGTCGACCGCCCACAACCCGGACACATTCTTGCCCGTCGAAATGCCACACTCCAGTGAGACCGCGAACGCCACTCGATCATAGCCGTAGTCGTAGTTGTAGCTGGCGTCGTCGTTCCTCCACTGGGCATTGTTGGCCCCGCGTCCACGGCCATTGCCATTGCCGCCGCGTCTTGGGCCCCGATTCTCGTCCTTCTGCTTGGTCCAGCACTTGTCAATCGTGTGCCCCAATTTCCCGCAGTACGTACACTGGCGAGACTCTCGGTCGGTGTTGAACGCCTTGGCCGCATTCTCCGTCTTCACCGTCGCCGTTTTCTCGCCTTGTCTCTTGATGTGCTCATTCGTCAGCACCTTCACGACGTCTTGCGATCGTAGTTCAGCGCTGCTCATCTCCAAGTTCAGCACGACGTTCTCGTAGCTCTTGGGGAGGCTGCGCAACAGGCAGATCGCCACGTCCTCATCCTCCATCTTGGCGCCGATGCTGCTGAGCTTGGCGCTGATGTTGAGGACCTCGTTGCAATGATGCAAGACGTTGCCGCCTTCCGACATCTCCATGCTGAAGAGTTGGCGCTTCAGGTAGATGCGTCCAGCCTTCTGCGAACCACCGTACAGCGTCTTCAGGCGCGTCCACGCAACCCACGCTTCCTCGCAGTCGTCGACCACATGGTGGTAGTCCGCGTCCATGTGGAGCAACATCAGTCCGAACGCGATGTTGCTCGACTTGACGTAGTCGTCCTTGGCCCGCGAGTCCGTGAAGCTCGGCGTCGTCTCGCGGTTCACGACATGCCACGTCGACTTGGTCAGGAACACGCCACGCATGTAGCGGTTCCACGTCGCGTAGTTGTCCCCGTTGAACTTGTCAATGGAGACCTTGGTCGAAGCGTCTTGGGCAGAGGACATGGTGCTTGGGCTCATAACCTGATGGAACGTATGGATCTTGGACACGAAGCTCGGACGAAGCGGAGGGAGGGACGTCGCAGACGGCGGGACCGGAGCGAAGGCACTTGAGGGGTAGAATGAAGATTCGAAAGTGATTGAATTGTTGGAGCTTACACCCTACTGTTATAGACACGCGACCCTGCGTCCTATCACCTAGTGCATCTAATCAACCATCACTCACCGGTGTTCATCCAATCATCCTACTCGTCTAATCATCGGTGGCGTAAACAACTTACCGTAATCACCATAATCAACGTGGGTTCGGATTGGACCGGTTCGGGTTAACCGGTTAATGGGTACAACTGGTACACAGTACCCAAGACCAGCAACCCTCAATACAATGGACTACCACGACCTATAGCAGCGAAGTCGCTGGACGACATTTTGGCTGCGTTGGACGTACTGGCTCTATTAGTCGAAGAAGTGTACCAGCCCTTCGTCGGAGGTGTCATCAAGGCGGCACGGAAATTCTTCCTCCTCCAGAAAACATTTCGCTGCACTACCGAGAGGAGGAGCTCGCAGATCTGGTGTTCTGGATCGACGAACGCCTGGAAAAGGTCCGCACATGCGTGGTGTTGGGCTCTACTGCACGGTGTAGTGCCATTCAGGACGAATTCAATGTTGCACACGAGTCGTTTATCCAAGTCCAGAACATCATCCACGAACGGCGCCTTGGGTCTCTGCAGGCTTCAGCGGCAACAACGAGCCTGCCACCCCGCAGTTGGGGATCTTATCGGTTTGCGGACCAGTGGCGCGATGTGGTTCGCCAAGGCGTTGTTCCCCGATGGAAGGACGGCTTCCCCTGGCAGGATACCCCGCCGCCAAACCATGGCTCCGCCCGCCGGGCTCTCAATGCCTTGATCAAGAACATCAGAAAAGGCCCAGATGAAGATCGCTACCTCGTGCTGGACATCGACCTCCTGGGTCATCTCGACGGTATCTTCTGCAGCCCTTTTGGGGCTGTCCCGAAGGGCGATAAGCCGCTCAGCGAAGATGCCCGTGTGATTCACGATTTATCCTTTCCTGTCCATGGCTCCGTTAACGAGTTTACTGTTCCTGAGACCGAGATTGCAGTCCACTACGACGGGGCGCGCGCGATCGCAGCCCGTATTGAAGAAGTTGAGACGCACTGCCCGGGTCTAGCGCGGCGGATGTCTGGGGATGTGAGCGGCGCGTTCCGGCATATCCCGCTGCATGACGACCACTGCGGCCATTTTTCTGGTACAATCCCGGAGCTTGGTGTTCTCATCGTGGATTTATGCTGCCCGTTTGGGTGGCGGAACTCCCCAGCCGCGTATGCTATCGCTGGAGGTGCCATTAACCACTTGTACTCGACGTCGAAGCCCCTGTGGCCTCTCCAACCAGCGCACGGGACCAGGGAATTCGACGGCAAAGTGTGGTGTGACGACCACAACTGCGTGGAACCTGCTGTCGGCACTCGGCTGGAGGAAGCGGCGACGGAGCTCCGCGCAGCGATGGTTGCTGTCTTGGGACCGTCCGCCTGTAACGAAGACAAATTTACGGCGTGGGTGACTCGGGGGTCGGCGCTCGGCCTCGACTGGGATCTCCAGCGGCGCACAGTTTCGATGCCCCAAGCGAAGATTGAGAAGGCGAGGCAGCGCGTGTGCGACTTACAGCACCGTGCCCGGGCGTCACGATCGCAACCGTGTTATCGGTTCTCTCCGTCATGTCGCCACCTGCGTGCGCCCAGCAGCGCCATTCTTTCAGCGGTTAGCTGACGCGCAGCGCCGCACCCCTCATGTTGGCTGTTTTCCGTTGGCTGAGTCTGCGTTGGATGATCTCCGATGGTTTCGGGCCATTCTGTCTGCCTCCCATTTCAACTCCATTCCGCTGGCGCGGTTTACTCGGTCGCAGCCACCCAGTGTCGAGGTGCTTATGGACGCGAGCGACGTTGGACTCTGCGCCCTTCTCCTTGCCCGTCGCGAATATATTCAAGTTCGTTTGGACGCGGAAGAGCGGGCGGCCATCCACGAGCAAAAGCACGGTGGTGCTTTCACGTTCGGCATTAATATTCGCGAATTAATGAGTGCCGCCTTCGCAGCGATCACGTGGGGGCACCTGTGGACCGCCAGCGATGATGGAGCGGACGTCCACGTTCGCTTGCGCATTGACAATACATCTGCGGTGGCCTGGAGCAATAAGCGTGCGGCTCGGGACAATCCCTACGCGCAAATGCTGCTCCGGCTTATCGCGCTGCTCGAAGTGCGGCACGGGTTTTGCCTGTCTGCGGAGCACATTCCGGGGTCGGAGAATGTGATGGCAGACGCTGGCAGTCGCAGCTGGGAGTCACGGGCGAAAGCGGCGGCGTTTACTAAGCTTTGTGTTGGTTGGTCGCAGGTTACAGTCCCTCCGAGCTCGCGCAAACTCTCGCAGGTCTGGGCGCGCTGCTCTGCGCGGGAGCTTTAGCGACATCCACTAGCCGTGCTTATTCACATGCGTGGCGGCAATGGGAATCCTGGTGCAGCTTGATGCAGTACTCGCCGTGGTTACCTCAAGATGCATCAGTTACATCCACGGCTCAGCTTGGAGCTTTCGCCGTCTTCTTATGGAAATTTGGTATGAACCGTAAGCGCATCGGCAATTCGTATGGCACCATTTGCTCGAAGCTATGTGCGGTCCGGTGGCGTCATCGGTTTGAAGGCGGGTATGACCCCGGTGTCACTGCTCAGCATGCGCTTCTGCTCCGCGGGATCCGCCGTTTCACCAGCCCCGAAGTTTGCTCTCTTGAATACACACCACCGGGTGAAGACGAGCAAGGTGTGCCACGTCCGTCCCTGTAGGTGCGATTCCGTTCATATTGGCGGAGACGATGCTGAAGTTGTGCCATCCAGGCAAAACTTTAGCATCGAGGCGACGGCATGGTGGCGTCCTGCGACTCCGGAGCGACACCGGTCAGCTGCATATCCATCCATGCGGCTGTCGGCGAGGCCTGAAGATTGGAGAGCTCCACAAGCGTCGGTAGGCCTGGAAGTCGGAGGAGGCTTTCTGTCACAACTGAGAGACCGTAGCTGGACTGGATAAGCTCCCGTAGGGTAGACTCAGCGAGGGACGGAGTCCCTTCCGTTGCAGGAAGCAAGGCGCGTCGTGTAGCAGCAGTACGGAGAATCACTCATCTTGACGGAAGGTGTAATTAGCCAGGAGCAGCAACAACAGCTCAAAGAGGCTAGTACACCTCGCGTGAAGCCAAGAGGTCTGTCCTTCAGCCGTAGCTCCAACTTCGGCTGTAATAGTATCGATGAGCTGAGCGCGGGAGCCGGTCGAATACCAGTTGGCTGCCTTCAGCCTGGCAGTGAAGGAGTTACCGCCATTGTCAGGCAAGCGCAGGAGTTGTCGGTTGAGTGCGTGTAGGGAGATAAAGTCCTCGAACTGTTGTACCACCTCAGCTTCCCGAAGAGCTAGCTGCCAGGCTTGGGTCAGTGATGTTAACAGCGTTTCCGCGCTTTTCGCCCGAGAAAGGTCCTTTTTCACGGATTCGACGTGACGCTTAGCAACCTCGCTGCATTAGGATCCACAGCTGCCTGCGCAGTGAGAGAAGTCGCTTTCAGGTCATTAAGGATCTGGTCGATGGCTTCGCCCGCGTCCACCGCCTCTCGTTCAGAGGAAGTCGTCTTGGCCCGTTTGGCCTTACAGCGCCTGGCCACCCGTTCCTTCGTCGCCTCCGAGACGCGGAGGACGAGTTGGCAGACTTCCAACTCGCCTCCTGTTGTGGTCGCCAGGTGCAGATCCGCGTCCCCCTCGAAAGTTTCAAGAACGCTGAAGCGATTATCGACGCCGACAACGGGTGAGACAGGAGGTGAGAGCGGAGGCGTGTGTGCCCGTTTATTACCCGAGACTTGCTCAAACATGACAGTATCGTCTTGGGGTGTCCCGGTCGGTAACTCAGCCGGCGTCGCCCTCTGCGGCTCCGTCGACGGCGCATCCACGGCCGTGACCTGTTGGGGTGCCGTATCGCGGGAAGTAGAATCCGCGGACGGCTCAGACGTCGTGCTCAGACCCGTGTTCGTCGCATTGGTCGTATTCGGCGCAGTGACTGTACCAGTACCCGACGGCACCTCCGGCCGTGGGGCAGAGGGTCGTTGCAGAACGGAGAGAGGTGGAGGGTGGCTGTACGCCCTGCCAATGGGTGTTGGGGGTTGTCCCGTTGCAGGTCGCCATTGACGTTTAGCCGACGAGTCGTTTTTACCAAAGCAACGGTAAGAAGTCTTGCCCACCCTGATATGAGCGAGCACACTCCCGTCGCGAACCAGAGCGGTCGGTGGCTCGTCCCCGGGGAAGTAAAACCTCCACGTCGACGAGCAGAGACCCGACCGTCTCTCGTAGGTCGCGTCGGAAGTAGACCGCCCTAGCTCCTCGCGACGCCAACGCCTTGAAGATTGCCGTGGCCGTGGCCGCTGTGTCCACACCAGTGATGTCGACGAAGAAACATTGAGCCAGAGGGGATTCTGCAGCAAAACGGAACTTCCGGCCGAGCACAGATATCTCCACGCCTAGCAGCGCCTTCTGCGCGTCTTCAGTTCGCACCAGGAATCGCAGTCCGCCTTCGCGGCGCTTACTCAGGGCGCCGAAGACATGTTCTTCGAAGAGTGTCTTGAGCACGGTGTTACGATTGTCGTGGATGAGCGAGTCCATGATGCGCGGCTTTGAAACCCCCTGGAAAAAGCTGCCCGAATCGAGCAGCAGCGGAAATGTGGCGTCCGCCGTTCCCACTGGGCGGGCAGCACACACCGCACGAGTGAACTCTTCGAGGGAGTCACCAGCTTGGTGACGATCGAATAGGTGCTGCAGCGTCTCCGGAGAATGCAGCGGCTCCTGAAAGTCGAGAGTTGCCATGGAGGTGCCGCAGGTGCTCCGCCATCGACGGCCCCAGTGATAGGGCTACGGTGGCAGACATGAGAGTGATGGTCGTTGGTGATCCGTTGGTGGCTAAAAGCGCGCAAAACACGAAGTCAGCAGCACGAAGTAAGACTTTTTTCGACTGGTGCGAAACTCCAACCTAGCATATGTCATATGAGGCCTTAGAGAGACCGTTTGCAACCGGAGCGTAGCGGAGGTCTGCAATGGTCGGCGCGTAGGCCGGAGTAGTTGCACTGCGAAGTAGTTACTATCTTTTTACCGACGCCTTGCCCGCCATGAGCGAAGGGAAGCGTAGCGGAATTGGCGGGGCAAACGAGCTCACCTGTTCTCGGTTAAATACGATTCGCACCAAATTCGCACGGTTTTGAAAGACTGTCGCACCAGTGGAAGAAGCTTGCTGCTGAAGTCGGCGCGAGGCAGGAGAGGGGCCTCCTTATCGTCGTAGAACCCGATAGTCTCGATTTGCACTTTGATGTTGGCATCCTGTTCGTGTTACAGTACGCCACCCGGGGGTGGCTCACCCCGTCAAGCCTAGCGCTTCTCATCGGCGGGGCCATGCATGCTCGCTGTTTCCAAAGCTCTTCTCGTGGGGGAATCACCGTAGTGTATTGCTGCTCGTGCCTGGGAGTGGCGTGGAGGCGCCCCACCTTGAGAATTCCTTCGCGACGCTTACTGGCACATCAGGCTTGACAGACCTGCTGTTCCTTCCGAGGTCAGCACAGGATAGTCCTCGAAGCAGGAGAACATCCAGCGCCCAAGCAGCTTAATCACCAGTCTGTCGCAGAGGCGGCGTCCTGACTATAGTTGATCCAAACTTCCCCGGATTAACGTCAGCGGGCGAGCTCCTCGAACATCGCAGGTACTCCATCGTCCGGGTAGTTGTAAATGAGGCCGTTGTCTACCTTCACAACGTCTACGCTCCGACAGACGCCAGAGCGCGAGCCACGTTCTTTTCCAGTCTGCCACGGGAGTTCACCGAGGATGCGTCGCATCTTGTCTGCGGCGACTTCAACTTAACACTCGACCCAGCTCTCGATGCTTTGAAGCCGACCACAGACGCCAGCCAAGGTGAATGTCGTGAATGGATGGGCGACCTACAGCTCGAAGATTGCTGGCGCGTTCATCATCCTTCGGGCTGGGAACGTGGCAGTACCGCGCACGGACCTTTGCTGGACGCAAGTTGGTCGTTGCGACAATGGTACTCTCGTTGCTATGGTACCAGGCGCTACACACGATCATTCAGCCAAAAACTATCAAACGCTGGCAACGCTTTATCATCGACTTCGTAGTCGCGAAAAAGGTGCCGCCTGACAGAGATCGCTTGCACCGCATCTCGACCACACAGGCATTGACACCGCCGTCCGAAGGCGGTTTGGGGCTCCCAGACATATCAACGTTCGTCACACGACACAAGCTTCGACTCTTCCAAGAGCTTGCGCAGATTGCACAGTCATCCACAGTCGCCAATGTGCCGCTCTGGGCGGTTCTCCCGCTTTTGGCAGCGCATGCCGGCGAGATCGCTTACTCGGGCCGGCTGGACGACGTCTTTTATTCTTCCAGATGTGTTCACTCCTCCTCCAACGTGTCGAAGTGGTGGAGCTTCATGTGGACTACGTGGAGCAAACTCTCCTCTCGACTCTGCTCACCGCCGGTTTTGGACCCGGCTCACACGCGCCAGCTTCTCCACACTCCGGTCTGGACGAGCACGATTCCGGCTCTGTGGGTCATACCGTCGCTAGGGATGCCGGCGGAACCTTTGGCGTCAGGACTTCCCAGTTTTGTGGCTTTCTGCCGCCAGATCGAGTTTCTCGGTTATCGCTCAACGAGGGATCTTTTTGTCGCCATCAACGGCGACTTCACGCATGGGACTTTCATGACTTTCATGTTTGGCTACGCTGAACTACGACGTTTTCGCGACGCCACTAGACACCTACAGCGTCTATTTCAACGGCTTTCAGTACTGCTGCGAAACCTGCGGCTTCTTGGACATGGCCGTGTGGATTACGGGCACTCGACTGTTGCTTCTGGGCGACTCGTGGGTGTGCCAGGCTTAATGCGTTTTCGCTTCTTTCCGCAGCTCCGCAAGGACGACTGGACTGGCTTGCTTCGTTCGGGCGAAACGCAATGGTCATCACGGGCTGTTCACCTCAAATGCACATCAGCTACATTGGCATTTTCTGCGAAACATTGTGTTAGTCTAAACTTTACAAGCAAGCCAACAGCCAAACTATTGCGCACCTTTCCATTCTGCACGTCAATAAAAATTCGACCAATATTCCCAGGTTCATCTGAGAACTCCACCTCCACTTGAGATTAGTGTCGAGTTAGACTGACAACATTGACCACGCAATAGTATCTACACATATCAATAACACACCTGTGCTTTGCAGTTGAGGGATCGTGCCTGCTGGCAAGGCCGCTTTCCCTGATCGCGGCCTTCGTACGTCCCTGCATGGGTACACTCAAACGTTTTGGCGTAATATTCCCACGCTTCAGTGGCGCCCTCCGTCGACACGGCCAGGATGGGCGTCCCCACCTGCTTGGCCAGAATCAAGGAAGCTGTCGAGTTCTCTTGCGTGATGATCTTGTTTCGAGCTTTTACAGTCTTGTTTGAGCGAATGCGAAACATCTACCAGAAGAAAATTAAATACAATGAGCGGAGATGGCAAGCTACGACTGTAATGTAGAGCTCAGCGCAAAAGATACCTGGTATGTCTTAGCCTCGTAAGAGCTGAAATAAACGTCAAATGCCTTCCAAGAAGAGAATGTGGTCGACTCGAACGGCGGTCCTGCATTCATTCTGCTGGGGCCAGTCTCTTCTTGGGCACAGGTAGCTTGTGTGTACTCCCGGCTATCAGCAGCCATGGGATCACCAAGGTTGTTTTGCGAGGTCTCGGAGAGTTCACCAGTCAACGTGTCGCCATCGCTTGCTATTTTGTACAGGGCACTCGCTTTCCGCTTCCCAGTAGCCGATCGCGGCCTCAGCTGCTGCGCCATCCTGGACGACCGCTGCAACGTGCAGCTCGCCTCCGATTCCGGTGTTAAACGCCGCGTTGCCGCCGTGTTCCCTGCCTCGTCTGCTTGCTGCTTAGCGATCGCAATACTGTACTAAGTTGGAAAATGAATGGCCAAAGGAGTGTATACGGCTGGCAAGCTGTGTATACACATAGGACGCGGAAACAGCTGTGACGAACGAACGAACGCTGAAAAAGGGAGATGAGCCAGTCGGGGAACGCAGGCACTTTCTTTCAGAAAACCAGAACCTCCTGGAAACATTACGATAGCCCTACGCGCCCGCTGTTAAAGGGTGGGGCAAGCCAAGCGACTTCACGAATGCAAATTTCCAAAGCAACATTAATGCACACCTGTAAGAATACAGGTGTGCATTAATGTTGCTTTGGAAATTTGTTATTGTTTATTTGGTATGTATTAAGACTGTTAAGGAGGCGGCAAAAGCGGCAGGATGCCTCGTACGGGCAAGCTGAACGCATTGGCATCGAGATGGTCAAGCTGCGAGAGTCTGCCCCCCCCCCCCCCCGCGAATACTGAAGGTAACGTTGCTCTGCGCTCTATTGTCTGCTAATGTTGCTCTATGATGAATAATAACACTGCTTCATTAATATTTATGTCTCTATGTTGTTTTGACGTTGGTATTCAGCTTCAAGCTGCGCGCCGCGGGACGACAAGAACGTGCGGGCCGAGAGGGATGTCCACATCTAGCAGAGTACCGATGTTACCAAACCACTATCATCGTCCAGGTTCCTGACATAATGGCTGCTGCTTCGCGTTGCTTGTAATTATGTTCTGTAATTTCCGTACACCTATGCAATTCTCGTCCTAAACGTTTGCGAAGCATTTGCGCCCAAGCGCTTAGGCTTAATCGAATGAGGTCGACACTACCGAGTACTAACGTTGCTTCTCAATAACGTTGCATTATGATTAGCGTTGCGCATTAACGTTAATCCAAGATAACGTTGCTTTATTTTTAGCGTTGCACGTTAACATTGCTCGTTAATGTGATTTGTCCTACTCCCCCTGTTCTTATATAAAGCTAGTGTTCAAAGGGTACAATGCCTTCCCCAAGGCGTACTTATAGTTATCAACCGCCAAACTATTCAATTGTATTACCTGGGTCAGACGCATCCGCCATTACATGATCGCTATAAAATTTAGCAAAGTACTTTACTATAATGAGAGAGGATAGCACTACGGTGACTTAGCCAGCGCGTAGTATAGGAAGCATATTAAATGGAGGCAGGATCACGCATCTGCATACTATGCCTATAGATATATTGAGTCCATTTTTAAGAAAACAGCGATGTATACCGTATGATTTAGAACAAGATCGCAATCTACTTTGATATCACTGCTATTAAATTGCAGCACACAACTGATGAGGAATCTGTTTAACGCTTAGCATGGACATGTCGGCTAGAACCTGCGACCCTTCTGGTAGATTAACTGTGCGATACATTTATGCATCACTTCGATAATGTTACCCTAGATGAGTTTGATAATAGATTCTACGTCCATTCGTTGCATGTGTCGATGTGTGGTAGTTATTGTACACAGTACTACGTAAAATATAAGCATGAACAGCTATGGTTTATCGGCTAAGCAACAGGCAGCAATTCAAGTCTTACGCTGCTTAGGTTCCAAACTTTACAGCGACGTTAACCCTTCAGCTACGAGCTTTAATAGTTCTTGCGCAACGCCAACTGGTTTTACCTAACAATTATGATGCGCGATTGACGGTAGCACCACTCGTACTAAGCCTTTTACACTTCATACTGTTAAAATATTGAAGCCTATTTATTGTAGGTGAAGTACACGCAACCTGGTAATGTAGTCATTGATAATCTGGCGGATGTACTAAGACGGAGACAACGAGAGTATAACTAAATAGTAACCGAAGGTAATAGACGTGCACCTAATAGTTTTATTGTACATATTCTGACACGACTTTATACAGTAGACGTGGAACTTCCGTAGTAGACGCGGAACTTCAGCGTCTACTATTATTCCAGATTTTCTGAGAAGAGGTCAACTAGTTTGTCTGAGAATAATTTTTAAACTAGTCAATGCACGATGGTACAGCATTAAATGCATAATGAAAGTGTACGTACACTCACAATATCATAATTTTATAACCAGCGACGTGGACCTGGTATGTTACTTGATTTATCAGTAGGGTTTGTTGCCGTGCAATACTGTCACCAACAACTTACCTCGAAGAAAGTTAATGGGCGATGTGATCGAAGGGCAACGTTAGCGGGCAACGTTACTGCGAGAGCAACGTTATCAAAAGAGCAACGTTAATGGTTACGGAAAAAAATAATGGTCACTTTTGAAACGCTTTTACAAGCGCTTGATTAGTTATATACTCTTACAAGAAGACCTATGTCTCGTTGTCGAAGAGGTACAGCCCAGAAAACCATTGGCATCCGCGATAAGACGTACCCATGCAGAGATAAATGAATCCGAACACCAGAGTATTCACATTTTGAGCCTCTGTTAGCATACTTTGCGCTCACAAAAGTGTACTCGTGGTGTGTGCCACTTCAGAACTCTCCCACCCTCACCTCAGTGAGCGGCTCGATGGATTTGCGCACCTCGTGAGCCTACTATGTACTCATTCAGCACAGATAATACCTCAGAAATAAATTACCTATGTGCAACACACGACGAATTTATCCGATAAATTACAAGTCCGACCTTGTCCTACCATGTACCCATGTTGCTAATAACGTCGCAATAAGGCCCTAAGTTGCTGTAAAAGCGCTGTGACGTTGTAAAATGATGACTGATAACGTTGCAGGAACGCCATCCAAATCACGCCGCGAATATGTCCAAATGAAAACGTTATTGTGAAAACCGCCATCTGTAGCAACCCCTTCTTAGATCTTACTAGCCTAATTAGTCAGAGTACACATCAGGGTTTAAATCGATTGATCCATATGCATTGCCAGGTGCGATAATCAGGCTTTTTCAGCCAATGGGCGGGCTCGCCTTCGCTGCACGATTGCCTAGTGAATGGTAGGCATTGGAACTCTTCCAAAACACAAACGCTCTCACAAATCACAATTTATGTGCCAAATTTGCCCCCGTTTGCGTCGTGTTTGCTACAACCGATGATACCAACCAAAACCATCACACCTGAGTGCTAAATACATGGCTACGCTCACTTTTTGTACATGCTGGCTAGTGACCGTGCCGCGATGCGGCCAGTCAGCTCATTAGACAGCAGTAGCAAACAATGCGTAATGTCCACGTACAATCAACTTGTGGTAGTAAACACTCAGCCTCTTCCGCTGGCTCTGCTGTCCACGGCTTGGGCGCGCTGACGCAGAGCTTGCGAGCGCGGGCGTGAACGCACAGCATGAGTGGTGATTGCGAATTTTACCAAAATAATGGTACGTTTCATTTGCGCTCGAAGTAATTTGTGGAGACGAATTTGACGTTTCCACAAATTACGACGGATTTGCTACGAGAAATACGCCACAATTATGACCGTAACAAATATCGAGATTGTGTGGGTTTTGGTAGAGCTCCATTCTGTTCCAAACGCGTCTACATGTATATCGACTGCCCTATCATAAATCGACCGCCTAGCCTGCACATCTACTCAGATAGGCATCACAGGGACATGATCGATTTTTAAATCGATCGAGCTAAATCAGGGTTCTAATCGATCGATTTATGAGCAAAATGGGCAAATGAAGCGGTTTTCACAATTTTATTTTAGCTCCAAAATGGCGCCACGCATTTTCAAAATACAGCCCATGTTTCCAAGTAGGGTTAGGGATCGATGTATAATGAGATCAAGTAAGATCTCCAAACTAGTAAAACATGTTGAAATCATGGTTTCGGTTTTCTGGACGGCTGCCATGGTACTCGAGGATATTTATCAGGAGGATGATATTATTTATCAAAAGAGGTCAAAAATATTCTACCGCGGTGGCAGAGGAAACTTGATAAGAATAGTAGGTAAAGCGCAAAGCGCGTGCCTAACCATCAGCATAAAGAGAATAAGCTGCTCCCGATGAGTTCCTCGCAGAGTAGAGCGCACAAGTTCGATCTGGAGTCTCGGTCAGAGCACCCAGAGCATGAAAAACTAATATACTTCGATGATTTGGACACTGCGAGTTCTTTCATCGGGAAGTACGCGTTCAACCACAACAAAAATCTCCAACGAAAGAAAGGAGGAGGAGGAACCCACGTAAAGTGGTTGTGTTCAGATCACGAAGCTGGATGCCCACGGTTTGTTTCTCTGTCGCGCAAACGAAAATCGACTATTGCTGAAGGCACAAGCAAGACTCAGCGAAACCCACCTAAAACGAAGCTATCACATATTCCTGAAAAAGCCTGGTACATCTCCAACATGAAGCTAAAACACGCACAACTTTGTGCTAGTGTTGCCCCAATGACAACCGAGTTTTTGATGGAGCATCCTGGTTTCCGTGGGACTATTCTGGAGAGACACAGCACTTCAATGGCGCGGGTTGTAAAAAAACATGCGCGGAATTTACGGGGTAGAAATCTCTCGCCAACCTGCAATGGCTTACCGTGCAATCCAGCGCGTCAAAGCTGAGAAAAAGGTTGATCCTGCAGTTGAGTACGGTCGTCTTCCCAGCTTCTTGCTTGAGTTTGCCCGTCGAAATCCTGGACCTCGAGTTTGTTGCCAATTGGATTCGAAAGGCAGGTTTTTTAGAGCCTTTTTATCTATCTGCAGTGTTGTTCAGGCTCAAGACGCGTTTTTGCCGGTTTGGGAGTGTGATGGCACTCACATGAAGGACCCTTTCTACAATGGAATTTGTTTGTCTATCATCGGTAAAGATGGAAACAAGAAAAATATTCCGGTTGCTGTAGCCTACATCCACAAGGAGACTGTAGACAACTTTGCCTGGTTCTTTTGCAACTGTATCGCTGCTGGTATGAAGATGAGTTTCCAACCTGCGTTTTGCGGCCGAGGCAAACAGTTAGCCGCTCAGGTGTTGTTGCTCCGGCTCGGATTGAAGGTGAACCTGAAGTTCTGCACCGTACATATTCGGTTCAATACCATGGATACGTTTAAGTCGCTAAAGCTGAACCTGCAGTCAGTGAAGGACGATATCTCGGCATTACAAGGAGTGTCGACAACAGAGGGGTACGAGCATGTAAAATCGGCAATAACCGCTAAGTATCCGACGGGCATTTCCAAAGTGATCGGGCAGAAAGTCGTCGAGGAACATGTGTGAAGCTATCTTAGCAGTATTCATCCTACCGATTGGAGCGTTGTAGGTAATATGGAGTCTACACCGCAAGAAGCAAAGTGGTTATTGGAGAATTGGGCTGGTGTGCCGAAGCATGGAGATCCGTTGCCTTTATTTGGTGTACGGACGACGAGCGCAATTGAAAGAGAAAACAATGGTCTGCTGTGGAGTCGGGTCCGGAATCAACTTGTGCTCGGGTCAATTATGACGTACTGTTTGCGAGGACTCACCGTACTGCAGAAACGTAAGACGTTGATAAAGAGCTGAAAGAAGGCGGACTATGACGTTACCCTCACGCGCTGAAGTTGTTTGAAGAAGAGAAAGTGTTAGTGGCTCAGCAGAATGTTGTGGAGGGATCAGCCCAGCAGTTCTTTGTATTTGACGCATTTGACAGCCGCAGTGTAGATGGAGACGCGCATCTATATGAGGTCGACATGGTCAGCGGAACTTGCAAGCGATGTACCGTTGCTGAGCAAATGAAGGTACCTTGCCGACATATTAGGCGGTGGTGTTCTGGAGGGTGAAGCAGGAAAGCAGTAATCTCCCTGAGTATGATTCAAAGAGCCATTTTCACAAGTCGTACACTGTGCCGACAATGTGGGAAGCTTCCAACCCAATCGCGATCAGCCTCCCTCTTTAGGACACCCTAGCGATAACGGACAACCCTCATTGTATCGACAATCTGGTCGTTCATGCATGCGACCAAGAATGCCTCAGACTTCGCCAGAGGAACGAAGCGGAAACCCAACCGTGGAGAATGTGCTGGGACATCAACTCGGAGCATTCGTCCACCTTCAGCTGAAACAGGTCCAAATGGTTGTGATGACAGCGATGATGAGAGTAAAGCAATCGCAGCATACTTCAATGAGCAGGTGAAGAGCGCTAGAACGATCAAGCGCGGGGATTATACGTGTAGCCGCTGTAACCAGATCGGTCACAATACCAGGAGCTGCACGACACCGCTGACCGAGATCGAGGAGGCTGGTGTAGGTATTGTTCCAGGTGTTTACGTTGTGGGAGAAGCGCATACAGCGCCTGCGGAACGCGTGATGAGTATGAAAGAGAGCTACAACACTATCGATGAGCATGACGGATGGCGACGAAGCTCGCGTTCGTGGAACTGGAGCTCGTGGCGCTTCCGTTCGACGAGGAGGAACCGCAGGCCTTGTAGCAGTAACACGCAGCGTCCTCGAACGTCTGGCCGTAGACGACGGAGGCGTTGAGCACGATGTCGATCGTGAGCACCTGGATGCTCAGTTGGTCCGTGAGGCTCAGCTTCTCCATCGACAGAGTCGTTTCGTCCAGCGCGAAGGTGCTGGGAAACGACTTGTTGAGACCCTCAGTGACCAGACCCATGACCGAGTCGGTGGAGACCGGTGTCCATGGCCTCCATGAGCTTGAAGAGCGACGTCGCGGGGCCCTGGAAGATCCTCGTCCCGTCCTCGGCGTACGTCCACGCGCCCGTGCTGGTACTGGAGTCGTTGGGGGACGCGTCGAGGTCCGCCCGACCGTCCGACTCGGAAGGGTTGTGCTGGCGCCGCTAAGTAAGATGAAGAGCAGCGCCACAATCTCCACCGCAGGCATCACCACGTTCTGCGGGCAACGCGAGCACGGGAACGAGGACGGTCGAGAACACGGACGGCTTCGATATTCAGCAGCAAATACTGCAGAGGCAACCAGGAAATCTCTGTCGAATTGCACAGCGGAGACGCCGTTGACGAGCCCAGCACAGCGACTCCGACAGGCGCAATGTCTGCAGGTACCATAGTAGGCTATGACGCCTGCGGGTAGGCTCGGTATCGCGTTGCAGCGCTTGCAACGCATCTTCTCTAGAGCTGCATAGCACACAAAAATTCAGGACATATTATGTTAGGCCAAAACATATCCGCCAGCATAGCTCTGCTATAACGCACAAACTGCTTGGGCCCCCCGTGGCGCAACGGGAAGCTAACGGCTGATGCGCCGTACTTGACAGTCTGGTACCGGGCAATGAGTTGGTGCTGTCACTGAAAATGACCGCACCCTCGACCTTGGCGTTCAACACCAGAAAGATGGTTCCTTGCGCGGGGGGAGGGGGGGGGCTTGACCGGTATTGTCCGGAATATCCCGGGACCAAACGTCACCAAAAGTGACCGAAAGTGACCTATTCCTGGCAGTTTTCCTGCTTCCCGCGGCAACAATTTGTGGAGTAGCGCCCTCGCCGAAATCTCGCGGAGTCGATCTCGCACAAACTCGGCGCGTCCGGATAGCGGTCGCGCCGAGCAAATTATTCCCGGTTGTTGGAGTAGCGTATCTTCGAAATACAGGCCTAAGTCTTCGCAGGCTTCAGAGTTGGGGGGTTCTTGTGTTTACGCTTGTTCCTTGTCGTAGGGCGTCGAGCCTTGGGCGTGCGGCGTTATCGGGCCGGCGTTTCCTGAAGCTTGTGTGGCGTTATCGGGCCTACACGGGGGTCTTGTGCACGGCGGTTATCAGGCCAGTGCGGTCCTTCGCCTAGGTAGCGCGTTATCGGGCGCCCACCTAAACGGTATACGTTTAACGTGCCTTTGTTCCAGCACGGGTCTGTGGGGGGTGAGCACCCGAACCAGCAAACGACGGGGGGCCGCGATATCGAGGCGGCTCTACTTGCCGGCGCTTGGTGGTTCCCCTGGAACCTCGGAGAAGACGGGAGGTCTTTGTGGTTCAGAGAAATTTCGGGACTGAGTCCTTACCCTATCCTATGTCCTTGCTACTGGCTACTCTGTACTACCGCTTGCTAAGCCTACCGTTCTGTGCCTATCCTTACTTCTGTCGTGCTTGCACTACCGTGCTTCAACCTGATTTACGTGGCGCAATCAAGATCTTACCTCGGCGCGTTTTGGTCGGCGGGGGTTAGGGCGCATTTTGCTCGGCGCGTTTTGCTCGGCGCGTTTTGCTCGGCGGGGTTTAGGGTCGGCGCGTTTTGCAGAACCGGGCGCGCTGGTCGACCCGTCGGATGATTACATGATTACGCGTCGCACTGGATTCTGGCACCGTGTCTCACGGCCCATCACCCACGCCGACTTTCCCGTCGAGCTCGGCCCTGCGTCGCGCCCATCCATCCGCGTCGCGTTCCATCAGCCGCGTCGAGGTCCATCACTCGTGTCCTGGCACCGTCTTCCTCCTCCGCTCGGTGCGCCCACTTCTTCGGCGGGGTACTACACCACAAATTTTAGCCAATTCAATTAGCCCGAAAGCAAGCAGGAGCACAACAAGTATCCAGGCAAGTTACCATTAATCAACACCCTCGTGGTCAAGAAGCCCTCGCTTTCATCGTCACTCGTATGCTGGTTCGCACGCTCAGCAGGGCGCCAAATGGGCACTTTCAGCCCCCACAATGTTCTATTAATAGTCGCCAGCTACGTACCTTCGAAAAGAGCTCCACAAACGCTAAAACGTTTCGGTGCAAGGTTCGCAAGCGAGGCATGCTTCTCGTAGCTTATATCGAGAACAGCAATGGTCAGTATCTGGGACTGGCACGACGGGCAGCTTGCAGCCGAGCTAGCGCAGAGACTCCTATAGCAACTCCATCAGCTGTGTAGTCGGTTCTGTGCTCACTGGGTGCTTCTTTGGGAGAGTACTATAGCGATAGGTAAAGTAGGCGGCAAAATAAATAATGAGGGGGCGGCCTAGTGGATCGATCGATTTCTCGCCAAATACTCGATCATCCGTGCGGGACCGGATGAACAGCGATTCTAGAATCTTCCGTTGAATTGTGGGCTATCGAACATTCTCAGCGTATTTGTTAGAGCATCTCCAACGTTAGTGAATTTCACCTATTGCAAAAATGTTGTCTCCAACGGTGTAGTGATAGGGACCCAAAAGTAACCCTACAGTAATGATGCGGAAAGGATTGTGCAATACCAAAACCTCGTAGTGATTATACAGCGTGTATTCACTACGGCCCCATACTTATTGCAAAGCAAATTTACATAGGGCGCCCGCACCATTTTATGTCCTTTTCCCTACGTAATTCGCACTACCGTTGTATTGTGAACGTTAGTGCGCCTTAAGCTCAGGAAATAAGTGATCTACACTCTCCAAACGTGGTCCACACACACTACCCCTAGTAGTGGGCGGCCACTAATTGAGCTCCTACTCTCTTCTACGTCACGATCAGCATACGTCAGCACTGAATGGCTCCCCCTTCGGGGTACGCGCTAAGTCTTGGTGGCGGCGTGTCCGCTGCTTCCGTCCCCCGCATCGGTCTTGTAGTCTTGGTTCAGCTGTACTCGGGTGACTACTCCTTTCCCCAGCGACTGGAATCGTGGCCGACCAACCACACAGTCTCAGCCAGCACGCCCTTGTTCTTCAGTCTTGTGTTGCCTTATGCTGATCCGCTTGAGCACCTTCCCTTGACGATTGACTTCCGCAGCGTTCCCCCCTCGCGGACGCTCGCGCCTCGCCGCCGAATCAGCTTCCTAGGCGGTGCCGTAGTCACCAGCCCACGGGAAGTCGGTGGCTGAGCACTGAGCGCGCTTGGTTCGTACGCTCCCGCCGCCGCAAGTCGTGCCCGCGTCGAGATCTCAGCCCAGAGACACTTGCGTCACATCCTTTTCCGTGAAAGACTGAGGGCGCCGCGGCGGAGCCGCACTAGCGCCCCCGAGAACGACGCCGCTGCGCCGCTCCCCGGGAGGGCGTCACCCCAACCCGTCCAGGATGCACTACCGTTGGGGGAAGCCAATTATTGACGCAATTGGCTTGTTTATGATTCTAGCCGACTATTCACTTTGCCTTATCACTTTTGCAATACTAAAGTACGCAATACACCATTTCAAGGTCAAATTGAGAGAAGTCGTGATTCAAATTGAGAGCCGCCAAAATCAAAATGATAATCCCTTTCCAATTTGATAAGGCCTCTATCGCCATCTTAGACGGGTCATTTACGCGCGCGCGCGTAAATCGTTCGCTCTCGGTTGCTCTCGGCCATCAACCACCGATCGCGCTCACACACCTCGCTCGCTACAGCCACAGCGCTCATTCCGCTTTTTGCGATGGTCTACCAAAGCTACACACTCGACGAACGCCAGCGTGTCCTCACCGCCGCGAAGAACCACGTAGACTGGGCTCTTGTTGCAAGGCTCAACGGCATCGTGTATCCTACGACCGCACGCTGGGTAGCTACGGCGCGCAACACAAACGTGTGGACTGCTGTGCCGTCGAAGCGTGGCGGTGCTCGGCACGTCAAGATGACGCCGGAGCGCGTCAACTTTCTAGTTGCCCTGCAAGAAAATAACTGTCTGCTAACCTTAAATGACGTGATCGATGAGCTAAAAGTTTTCTACGGCGTTGACGTCTCCGTTCAGACTGTGCGCAATGCACTCGACGCGGTCTGCTTCTCCGTCCGGAAAACCCACGCCGAATCAAGCGCAATGAACTCCGATCGGGTCAAGGCTCTACGCCGTGAGTAGGTCCACAAGATCATGAAGGCTCAGCCCAAGCGCAAAAGGATTCTCTACTTCGATGAAACAAATTTCAATTTGGTTTGCTCGAGAACGTGCGGCTGGAGCCGCCGCGGAAGCCGTGCGGCCGTCGTCCGCCCGGGGCCCAAGGGCGACAATCTCAGCGGCATTGCGTGCATCTCGGCACAAGGAATTGGAACGGGCTGAGTTTCGGTGGGGAACGAACAACGCGGACACGATCGACAGCTTCGTGATGGCACTGCTCGACGGACTGATGGACAAGGGCGTCTCCATGTTCGACCTCGTCGTTGTGTGTGACAATGCGTCCATCCACACGAACGTCAAGGAGATAACAAGACGGGCGGAGTACGCGGGGGTGGAGTTCAGCAACCTCTCCCCGTACTCCCCCATGTTAAACCCCATTGAAAACGTCTTCTCCGTCTTCAAGTCTGGGGTCAAGGCGTTCCTCGCAGCGCAGCGCGACAAGATCCTACAAGTCCCGCCGAATCAGACGAAAGCAGCACACCGTGCTCACTACCTCCTCCGCGCAGCCAAGTACAGTATGAGTGTCAAGGTGACACCGGACTTGTGTGATAGTGAAGCTGCTCACATCTTATCTTTTCACGCTGCTGCATTGGACGAGCACGACATGCTTGTAGGCTCTTAAGATGAAACTAGTAATTTTAAAGGTTATTAGTTTGTTTGAGTATAAGAGAGTAGAGGTTTTATTGTTTTGATTTTGGCCGCTATTGTTTTGATTTTGACTTCTCTCAATTTGATCTTGAAATGGTGTACCGTTGGAGATGCTCTTAGTTTGCACGCTCATTCGGTGGTGTGGGAATTCATATGGTGATTTGACTCGAATTTTACGTGATGATCAGAATTTGCGTCGGAGCTCTAATGTATTTTCATCTAATCACCTTTAAGACCGAATATATTGTACAAATCAACTGACTTGCCCACTCTATGTCGATCAGAAAATTCCCGCCGGAAAAATTTGGCCGGGACATTGCCCTTTTTCTCGATCTCTCTTGTTTTAATTTTGGTCAGTTTTGTTTTGATTTTGACTTCTCTCAATTTGGCCTTGAAATGGTGTTGTACACCCTTCGATCACAGCGCATTTCTTGCAAGTATATCATGTGATCCATGCTTTAGCTATCATTACCGTCGAGGGACATCGATTATGCATGACAGGGACAAATTAAATGGATATGCGGGACAGATTCTATCCATCCCTAGGATTTGTCCGATGGATAATTATGTGCATTTCCGGACCTATCAAAGAGACTTCATGAAGATATGTAGTTTATTGCTGTCGGTGCTCGAGGCCGAGCCCGACCGCCGCCTTGGGAGCCGACGGCAGTTGTGCAGCCGCCACGGACCCCCTCAGCATACAGGATCACGCACAAAATAACTTGGTGGTGTCGATTATCTGTACACTGTGAGCTTGTGTATGTACTGTTCCTTGTAGCAACCCTACAGGTAAGGCGCAGATTGCTGGGCAGAAGCCGAGCAGGAGGGCACGGATGCTCAAAAGCCGAAGTGCCGTGCGGCGACGGCAGTGCCCTCCTCAAGTGTATTGCAGTGAGAATGGTTGGCTTAGATCTACTCTGTTCTATCCTACGATGTGCAGGCAGCCGCGCTTCGGGCCGCGACTCTGGCGAGTTAGCATCAATACTTCACACTCCCACTCGACCAAGGCTGCTTTATCAGCTTAGATGGCCAACCTTGGTCGTCACACACTCACAGTAGTACTGGCAGCTTTTGCCAGTACGCTTCTGTCCAGCAGGGCAGCGCATACCCAGGCAGGTTGTTCTTCTTGATAGGCATAGGCAGCACGCATTGGCGAACAGTCCTCATCACTGTGGCTCCCACTTAATCTCCACTTTCCTCTGTTGAAGATCTCTTGCTGTCTGGGATTGGAACCACTTTTAGCAGTTCTCGGCAGTGCTCGAACTTGGCCCGCCCAAGTGCCTTGGTCATCACGTCAGCAGCCATGTCATTCGTACCAACATGCTGGGTTGTAAGGCGCTTTGCCTCCACAAGGTGTCGCACCAAGTGGTACTTGTTCTCGATATACTTTGTCTTTGAGTGCTTTCCGGGCTTAGCAGCCAGGTAAATGCTGCCTCGATTGTCACCGCAGAGTACAGGCCTTCAACCTCCCAGTTCAACTCCAGGCACAGGCCCAACATCCACAGCAAGTCCTTTGTGCCCTCGTTCATCGCCACGTACTCCGCTTCGGTAGTACTTTGGGCATTGATTTCTTGTTTTCGAGACGCGTACGAAACCACGTTGCCATATAGCATAGTCACATATCCGCTGATACTCTTGCAGTCATCAACATCGTTTGCGTAGTCAGCATCCGTAAAGCAGGTCACAGTAACCCTTGATCTGGCTCCGATTGTGTTGACTAGCCCGTAGTCGACGGTGTTGGCTAAGTACCGCAGTACTCGCTTCGCCATGAAGTAGTGCTCGTACGTGTAGTTGCTCAGATACTTGCCCAGGTTCCGCACCGCGTGGGCAATGTCCGGTCTTGACGCCGAAACCAGGTACGGGAGCGCTTCCACTAGCTCACGGTACGGGAGGCACGATTTATCCACAGGAGCTCGTAGCTGCAGCGGTGTTGTTGCTTCTGGTGTCGCGCAGCCGTTGCACGACGCCATGTTGAACCGCTTCAGGTTGTCCTTGACGTGCTGGCGTTGGCAGTACACTACTTCCTTACGTAGGGGGTCAATTAGGATCTCTACACCGAGTAGATTCTTGACGGGGCCCAACTCTGTCAGCTCAAACTCCTTGGCAAGCTGCTGTGCAACGCTGCGGCACAGATCAGGTGGTCCAAGCAGTAGGACATCATCAACGTACACCGTCAACAGCATAGAGATTTCACCACTTTCTCCCACTTTTCGTGCGTAAAGGCCGTAGTCCGAGTCAAGCCGTGAGAACCCGAGACGCTCCAACGCTTGTGCAGCGTCCGGTTCTATACATTAGGCGCCTGACGCAAGCCATACGAACTACGTAGGAGGCGACACACATATGCGTCTGGTTCACTCTGGAAACCTGGGGGGTTGCTCCATGAATATCACTTCGTCCAGGTGCCCATAGAGGAAGGCCGTCTTCACGTCGTATTGTAAGATGACCCAGCCGTGTTGAAGTGCAAAGTAGATGGCGGCACGGATCGTCTCGAACCTAATCACAGGCGCGTACGTCTCCGTGTACTCCAAGCCAGCTAGCTGCTTGAAGCCGTGGATCACGAGGCGTGCCTTATAGCGCTTGATCCGGCCACTCTCGTCTCGTTTTACTGCATAAACCCAGCGACAAGTGATTGTTTTGCGTCCACGCATCTCGCCGCGACGCACCAACCGCCAGGTGCCATGAGCCTTGAGTGATGCAAGTTCCTCAAGCATAGCTTCTCTCCACTTCTTCCACTGGCGCGATGCCCGTGCTTGCTTGTACGTGGTAGGCACCACAACTTCTTCATGCACATGCACACTATTCACCACGTAGTCACGTAGTCGCACCGACGGCTTTCGCTGCCGCTTTGGCAACGGTGGCCGTGGTTCACACTCAGCAGTCGCTGACCGGGTCGGCACCCAGTCCTCGTCATCACACGCTGCACGAAGTAATTTTTGTTGCTCATCTGACCGTTTCCGTTTGATGCCACCACGCTTATCACTCGACACCGGGGACGCTGGTGCCGACTCTGCAGCAGGAGCACTTCCAGTAGCAGAAGCAGTAGGCTCCTCAACGATCTCAATCTGTCGTCCTTGATGTACTGTCCATGCTCGACTTGATATGCACCACTGGAATATCTCTCGACAGCTGAAAATTTCCGTGAAAGAATGTGTTGAGCACCAACTGGCCCACATAGTTAGACTCAATCGTAAATCCCTCATGGAAGCGGATATTCTCTCCACGCTCTGTGACTACCGCTCCGCTCACAACATCCAAGAATTTGTAGCCCTTCTTGATACTGGTATACCCCAGTAAGATGCACGTCCGAACACGAGTCGCCAACTTTTCTTTTCGCTGACGCGAGGAGTCATTGATATGTACGTGCGCCAGGCATCCCCGCGTCCGCACCGATCGTAGACTTGGTAGGATTCCGTACAAAACTTCATGGCGGCTGCGGCCTTGCAGCGCACTCGTAGGGCAAACGTTGAGCGTATCAACAGCATGCAGGGGTACTTCACCCCACAGCGAGTTCGGAAGGCGAGTAGCATCCAGCATCGACCTTACCCGCGAAACGATAATTCCATTGTTCTTCTCGACGATCCCATTCGCTTCAGGGCTATCAGCATGAGTGTAGTTCAGTTCCACACCTTGGTCAGCGCAAAATGCAGTAAAGTCATTGCTGATAAACTCTCCTCCTCCATGGCGTGGAACAACATCACACTGAGTGGCTTGAACTTCTTCTCCAGCTTCAGGATGAGATGTTTGAGATGGTCACTCGCGTCCGCCTTGGACTTGAGAAAGTACGCCCACTTTTACCTCGAGAATTTATCCATGAGCAGCAGGAACATGGTAGACTTGTCTGCGGACACTTCATTTATCGTGCAGATGTCAGCCGACAGTTTCTCCAGCGGCCTGGTCGCACGTCGAGGATTCATTGCTGTAGGTCATCCGCTTCATTTTGGACTCAATACATGGTACACACCCATAAAGGCTCAGATCACGCGTGTTCATCTTAATGCCCATGTCCACCGTGCTAGCTACCATCTCCTTGATGGTGTCCATGGCAACATGGTTCAGACGGTTATGGAGCAGCTCCATCACATTCGAGTCAGCGCTCTGCTTCTGTGCGCTCAGCACGAGCTTGTTGCGGCGCTCCATGCGCATGCGATAGAGTCCGTCCCGCATCACAAACTTCAGCTTCATTGTCGGCTTCACCAGCCACGTCACCAGCTGATCATCCGACACACTCAGCTTGTAGCCACACTCGAAGTGCATGTAGGTCTGCGAGATTAGGTTGACCTTGGTGCCCGGCGAGTAGCGCACATTCTCGAGCAAGCGGGTTTCAGTGCTCGTTCACAACTGACATGGCCACAGCACCTTCAATCTCAACACGCTCAAAACCACCAGTGGCGTCTTCCAACAACGCCGCCAGCTTCAGGTCATTCACGTTGTTGAGCAGCGCCATTTCGCTAGTGACATTGACCTGAGCCCCCGAGTCCAAAATCCACTCAATTTCATTTTCAGGCATCGCGTCGTGCCGTCCACTTCTCGATACCAACACACGCCGCGTGGGAAGCAGACCAGTAGCTCCATGCAAACTATCGTCATCATCATCTGGTGGGGACGTCGGAGAATATACAACAGTACAGCCCCAGCCATGGTGCGAATCTCTCTTGGATCAGTAGGCTTCCGCTCAGGACACTCCTTTCACCAATGACCACGCTGATGGCATGCATTACATTCGCTGTTACGTTTCTTCTCAGCAATTTCATCTCGGCGCTTACGCGCAGCCTCATCATCTTGCCGCTTCTTCTTGCCACTGCCACTGCCACGTCCACCTCCGCCGTTGTAGCGACGCTTGTGTCGCTCTGCCGCTGTTGTTCACGGCCTGACGAGCTGTTGCGCGTGACCAGGCTCATCTGCCGTTGCACTCCTTGACCTGCGTCGCGGTTCCCACGGCTGAGCTGGTCGCGGGCTGTGCGCTCAGCTACAAGCAAAAGATTGACAGCGTCCTGCATGCGCTGGACCTTGTCATACCCGCCACGCAGGCGGGACACACGCTGCGTGTGGTCGTTGGCGATGAACGGATAGACCGCCAAGGCGTTGGACAGCACAATGCTGGTCATCTCTCCCTCTACTAGCGCGATCTCCATGCACTCGAGCTCGCGGCGCATCCGCTGCAAGTCGCCTACGTACTCCGTCACTCCCTCGCCTTGGCGAAGGCGGTGCGCATACAGACCCTGTTTTAGGTACACTGCATTGGTTCTCTGCGTGCCGGCGTACGTGCGCAGCAGTGCGGCCCATACCTGCGCGGGGTTTGCTGTCTCGATGTCGGACTTGAACCGGTCCAAGAGGTCCCCGTGCAGCGAGAGCGATCTCGGTGTGAGCCTTGCGCTCGCGCGTCTCGTAGCACTTCTTCCAGTCCTCATCGCGGCGAGCGCGCTCCTCGTCGAAGCACTCACGCCCTTGCACTAGTTGCAGCAGCCCCTGTCTGTGGAAGATTGTCTGCCACCGGTTCCAGTTCTCGACCCTGCCGTCGAACTTGGTCGACGCCAGCTGAATCTGACCTGCCCTATTGCGACCGGTTGCTCCGACTCGAAGGGGACGCTCTCGTACGCGCTGGGAGGAGTCGTTCTCGGGTTGACCAGAGTGTTCGTGTGCGTGCCGTACGGCGTGATCGCGTCCTTGGGCACAGAGGCGACGAGCTCGGAGTCCATGTTTCTTTGTGGCCTGGGAGGGGGAGCGAGCGGAGACTGCCCCACCGACTGTTCGAGAAGAGGGCCAGCTTGGCCAGCGGCAGGCTGGACAGCCAAGGCCCTCACTACCGCAGCTGCAATCGTCTGGATAAGCGTCTCGTCTGCTGGAGCTGCGCGGCGTTCGCCTTCCTGTGAGGCCACCTCGTCTGGTAAGTCTTCGTCTCTTGAGGCCCGTGCCCGCATTGGGGTCGTAACCTGTGAGCTTGTGTATGTACTGTTCCTTGTAGTAACCATACAGGTAAGGCGCAGATTGCTGGGCAGAAGCCGAGCAGGAGGGCACGGATGCTCAAAAGCCGAAGTGCCGTGCGGCGACAGCAGTGCCCTCCACAAGTGTATTACAGTGAGAATGGTTGGCTTAGATCTACAGTGCTTACAGTAATTCCTACAGGGGTCTGTGGTGTTGATTGGATAAAAAATGATTTCGTGC